GAGCTGGGCGTGCACACACCCCGGGTTAGTGCAATGTTCCTTTTGTCCCTTGCCCATATTCCGTATCCCGCCTTTCGCCTAGTACGGAAAACGTAGATCCCCGGTTGTCGACGTGCTTGTGGCGGCAAGGAATCGTCCAGAGCCGGAGAAGGCGAACAAGAAGGGGCGGGAAGGGAATGGAACGGCCAACATTCGCAAGGTTTGATAGAATTCTTTGTCTGAGCGGCATGGCTTTTGAGTCAAGTCTATTTACAGGAATAACATTGTTGACTGTACTCCGTAATTACACCTTTGTTGCTTTTGGATTTTAGGCCCCTGTCTCTGTTTCCTCGCGTAGGAGATCCCCTTTCATGTATTTCTTGCAAAGGTACTACTCCGTGCCCGCAGTAAAGAAGCCTGTCGACACCAAATTGCGGACGTCACATTCCGGTCCTGAACTTATGCGCCGGTCATGTTCCCACTGATCCTAATCGTATTTCGTAATTTATTTGTTCTCGAGATTTTGGCTTCTGATCATGACCGCAAAGCCACAAGCCACAAGCTGCCACCACCTACTTAGCCACATTCTCGAAAACACCATATTGTCTTGCGACTTTATTGCAGAGTGGAGGGGCCAAACAAGAGGGACGCTTTCCATAGCATTGCATACCTCAGAGTACAGATCGGTCTTTGAGACCCTAGCAGAACTCGGTGTCCCATCATGGTGGTTAGGACATGGGTCGACCAAGACAACCGGGAATTTCCCCCTCTTCAACAACTAATGTATACGTTACCTGTCATTTTTGATGAATTTTCTCTGTCACACCTCGATGAATGTCCTTTTTTTCTCGTCATGTTTCCCGGGTAGATCAAGGCCAAGAGCACACGCTCCGTTACAGGTGTACATACACCGGCAGCACCACCAGGGCGGACACAAACGAGGGGACAAGAAATGGATTCGCTGCAACATCGAGCCGAGGTGCAGCGAAAACGATGCCTCGATACTCGATTCACGTTGCAGCCTCAGTTTTCTCACTGCTATGTCGAAGACAGAGGTCTACACGGTATTACAGTGCTGTTCAGGTAGGAACGAGCTAATTTAGCTCCCACTATCGTATTTCCCATTTCTCACTTGTTTCCTGTGTTATTCCCAGCACCGGTCGGTTGTCGGTCCCTCTTTCCTCAGCATCGCTCATGTTTACCCCCGTCGAGCCAAAGAAGCCCACTTTCACAAGCCCCGCGAGCCCCGGTTCCGTTCACCTTGTCTTTTCTTCGCTCGACAATCCACATTATTTCCACTTCTCGTAACAAGTAACCGCAGGCGTCTCCAGTTTTCCCGCGGAATGGCGTTGGCGCTACTCGGTCGGCTGCCCGCATCTCGCCTCTTTCACCGACGGGGAGAGATGACGAGAACAGGACCCATTGCAGACCACCGGCGCATTATACGCAGAAGGGAAGGTGCCGGGGCGCTGCTTTCCTTTCTTGCTCTTGCCGTTTTGGCTTTGCACGACCCCCTCGGTAAACTCATCCGCACCTGCTGTGCCGAAGTACGAAGTAGATACTGATACTGCCAGCCGTGCCTTCCTCAGTTGCGCAACACCAGTCCGGTGGGCAATTCCCCTCCCCTTACCCCGTGCTCGCCCTTGCAATATGGCACCTCCTTCGCCTGGTTTCGGTGTCCCGCCACCCGCAGGTCCTAGCAGTTCGTAGCCCGCGCACAATACACAATACACAATACACAATACACAATACACACAGCGGACCCCCTCTTCTTTCAGCCCGCCCTCCCTGCCTTGATCGCCTTGACGCTTGCCAGTATCTGATGGTCACAGTTTTGTACTTTCCTCTGCAAGTATCACTTTTGTATGCAGTCCCGCTTGGTCTGGCCTCCGCCTTCCTGTTCCTACTGTTTGCCGGCCCACCGTACCTTCCTCATCTTCCTCATCTTCCTCGCCTTCCTTGTGATAAACACATGCGCAACCCAGGACAGCACGACGGCCAAATAGGCAAGCACGACAGCGCCATCCACGTAGACTAGAGGGAAGCTGCTCCAGAACATCGTTAGCCGTGCCTTCTCCTCCGTTCACCTGCTTGATGGACCTGGCCTAGCGTCCACAACGCTACACCACTCGTACCTGCCCTCGACACGCTCATTCTCTTTCCGATAGGTCGATACATGGGGGGACGGCGGCAGGAGCTGCCCTCGTGTCTTGTGTTGGTGATGATGATTATTACCCCGTCAATACTCCGTGAATTCGAGACCTCCACACTCGCCAGCACGTCGCTCCCGCGCACTACGCAAACACCTCTGCTACCACTTCGGCCTCACCCACACCCACACCCACAACCCACAACCTACACTCCCTCCCACTCACTTACACCGTCCACACACGCAGACATGCCTACTTCGGAGTCGTCTGGTCTCCCTTCCGTGGAGCACGCTAGCCTTGCCTTCTCATGTACCTTCCATCTGTTAATCGCCATTTTCCCTCGTCCTTTTTCCTTCACCTGTTCCCATCCCAGGTCTCTTTATTGTCAGCATCAACACCCCCCTCTCTCTTCACTTCTTTACTGCAGGCCTCTGACAACAGAGAGCTGAGGTTCGACGCAGCCTTCTGGCATAGATGCACGGAGTGACCAACCATCCTCAAAGCGCCTCTGACCTTTGAGGTCCACGTTTCTCCCTTCGTCGCTGGCCTCCTTCTTTTGTCAATACACGTTCGTTTTGCAGATCTACAACCTCACACTCCCTCGGCTTGACGCCTCTCTATCAGTTCCTGCTTTTTTTACCCTCGCCTTGGCGTAGTTTATCGTCTTCTTGACTTTCTCTCTCGCTTCGCCAGGTTCCGTTTTCACCACGGCCTGTTTGTCCCCCCACGAATGATCCGTGTGGTGGAAAACCAGACAGCTACCGTCCTCCGTTTTCCCCCTTGGGCTGCAGGCTCGCTTTGGCTGCCGTCCCCCCTCCTCTTCGAGTCTGAAATTTCGCGCTCTCGGTCTCTCACAGCGTGGTTGGCTGTCATCTGCACCGGCTGTCGTTTTGTCGTGCCAGCTCTCAAAAGGAGCTGATACTCGGGCAGCATCAACATTAATATCCAAGCTTGACGGCGGAATGCTCCTGAGATAAGCCCGCGAGAGTGCGGCCAACGCCAACTGACTCGACTGTCTCCTGGCCACCTTTTCTTCCTACTCGCCCAACGAACGTCTTGGTATATCTCGCCTAAAAAAAATCAACAACAGCAACAGCAACAACAAATAACCCGGGACAAATGCCAGTCAAGTCGATACAAATTTTGTTATGAAAACGCCTCTTCTGAAGACATAAGCTCATCCTCGTATTCCTTTTCTTTCTCGTTTCCGCTTCTTTCTCGCCGAACCGTTGCCGCTTTTCCCTCCATCCACATCTTCCTGCGGCTCTCTTTACGCGCCCTGTTCTTCTCTGTTCCACACCATCTATATCGCCAGACCACACAACTGAGCGGCAAAAGTAGTAGACAGTTCGGAGACGACAAATCTACAAGACGTCAAATCGGCCGCGGTCTTAACCAAAAAGGAAACCGGCGAACTATAAATCGCCTCCACGCGGAACTGCAAAGATGCTCTAGGAGCCCATGGTAAATATCAAAAGAACGCAACAGCCCGAGTGTCCAGAAAAAGTCCAGGGCGACGCCTTTGAAAATCGCTACATAAACACAGACAACATATTCGTTTCCGCCACTCCGTCTATCGGCACTATCCAAGGCATTTCTTGGTCTGCCTGCTCATTCACTTTTTCGTTCCATCTGCATTCACCACCGCTGCCCGACTCACACACTCACCACTCACACTCCTTTTTGCCTTTGTTACCCCCCCCCCCCCCTCCCGGTGCCTTGCTGCCACCCGCAACGAACCGCTCCGTGTGAGCAAAAATACCACTCTGCCAGCCACAGTAATTACAAAGTTCGAACGGCACCTGCGTCAGCAAATCACAATCTCTCTTCAGCACCTGGACTACGCCTACACAGGTGGTGGCATTGCAAGGGCGACCACTACCGGTGATAGCGACAACACGAACGAGTGAATAACAGTGGCTGCAACGGCGGCTGCTGCCACAGCACTGCATCGTGCTTGGACAAACGATCTGTCCTTCCCTACGTCTCTTCTCCTGCTGTCTTCTCTTTGCCTCCTTCTTTTTTTTTTGTTTGTGCGCCGTTATACTGCGTACGCACGCCTCTCCTCTAGGCTCGCTCTTTCTGCGCCTATTGGAGCATCAGGCTTGTTCACCTGCTTCGTTATTTTCAAATACCCATCGACCATCCTTGCCGCCTTTCCTGTGGCGAGAGGCTTTTCCTCCCATCCGACTCTTCCTCGTCTCCGCATGGTCCGTCCTCGATCTCAACCCAACATCCGGTGCGGCCATTCTCTGGTGAGCAACTCTACTTGTCACTGCTTCTTTCCGTGGTGGACTGCATCGAACGCCGATACTCTGGTAGTACTATCTCTGGACCACTCTACCTCTGGACCACTCTATATTTCTTTTCTTCGTTTTCCGGGTCCTCTTTTGGTGTCTCCTTCGTCGATGCTCTGACCTCGTTCGGTCTTGTTTTTTTTTTTTTTTTTTCAAATCTATCGTCGATACATAAATCGAGCCCACAAGCCTCGGTGCTGCTGTGCGTCTCTCAGCTTTTTCTCGGTTTGGTCATCAACTTCATCTCACATTTACATCGCATCTGGATCAACCCTCGACCTCCGTCCCCATGGAGTGCTGACACACGATCTTACCATCCCACTCAACTCGTTGCCATATAGGTTCACGTCCTTATCATGAAGTCAACCAACGTTACAAGCGTTTACGCCTCTATTTAAACCCGTCATTATCTGCCTTCACATCCGTTCTCTTCCGCAGGCATTGTCAAGTGAAGCAGAGACTTGCGTTCCAACGACAGTTCGGATCCTTTACACGCCATAGAATGCATCCTGCGCCTAGCCTTCTCGAAGCACCCCCTTTGCGAGACGACTCACGCCAAACCCAGCATAGACCAATGTCCGCCGGATCCGCAGCCACCGACCAGGGCCGCACGCCTTCAACACCCTCCTCGCCACACATGCGGCTGGACGCGACGACATCTACCTCTCCGACTGTCACAACGGTGACGAGTGGAAGCGCTGGTGCGGCCACGGTGGCCGAGTCCACCGGTGACGCGCAGCCATACATCGCAGGGGACGAGGTCTCGCCTACATTTGCCGCACAGGCCATCTTCTCTGTCAAGGACGGCTCCGACCTTGGAGGCATTCGGCGGCCCAGTCGCCGACGCACTGGCCCCCTTTCTGCGTCACAAAGAGAAAAGGCGGCCTTGATCCGCAAGCTTGGTGCCTGCATCGACTGCCGGCGCCGACGAGTTGCTGTACGTATTTCTCGTGGTTTTGAATTTGATTATTTTATATTTGGCTATTTGCCAGCTTTCTCTCCTGGGAGGCGGCGATACGAAAGTGGCAGTTCCCGAAAAGAAGAGGATGCAGGCTATAGATGCTTACGTTATATTGATTTTCCGAAAACAGTGCCACCCGAATCATCACAACATGACCTGGGAAGACGCGGTACGAAAGTACAAATCGCACAGCCCGACGCAAGAATACAGTCCCCTGGCTGGCCGACCCATCAGTCCGGCACGAGGTGGCCGAGTGTCCTTTGGGCAGTCTGACGCGCAAGACATGGAGATCGACACCACGCCAACCCCAACGACACCGCACCGAATGGCCGAACAGCAGCACCAGTCGCCACCACAGTCACAATTGCCACAGCAGCGAAACGTACAGCACCAGCCACCGCATTCTCGCACCCTTCTCCAGGCACAAGCAAAGCCGCATCCCATCCCATTACCGCCGCCCATTTCGCGCCGGCTGTCTGTCGGAACCGAGGCACGCCTACGAACCCCACTGCCTTCGGGTCCGTCAGGTCGCAGTCTCGAGAAGCTCGCTTCGGCCGCTCTGCCGGGTATCGAGAGCCTCTCGGGTGATCTCCAAAACGCCGCAGCACGCATTATCAACAGCACGAACCCCAGCCGCACACGCTACGATGCTGTTCAAGTCATGATCCTGGTGTGGTCGAACGACACCGATTATGAGGTCCGGGACGCCATTGACGACTTGGCGGAACTGTTCGAAAAGAAATACAATTATTCGGTGGACATCAAAGCGATTCCCGTGGGGGCACAGAGCCCGTACCGCTGGCTTTTGCACACTGCGTCACAATTTATAAACAACCGCGACTCGCGCGATACGCTCAAGATTGTCTACTATGTCGGTCACACGTACCTGGATGTAGAGCGTGAGATGGTTCTTTCGAGGCAAGTGTTTTGTTTTTTTGGTCTAGTTTTTTTTTTCTCTTCATTTTTATACTTGCCGAGCCCTACGCAACATCATTTTTATTCATTTTTATTATTATATCCCACATTTATAGTCCGAAGTTGCTCGACGCTCAAAGATGGCTGTTTCCTAACATTATTTTGATGTTTATAGTTCCATGGAAAAAGTTTCGACTCAGACGACGACCATCCGCTGGAGCGGTATCCAACAAGTTCTCGAGGACGCAACGTCGGACACGTTGATGATTATGGACGCAGCCTTCTATCCCTGCTCTAAAATGGCACGGCGAGAAGGCGTCTTTGAACTGGTTGCCGCTTCTGCTGGCGAAGATCCAAAACGGGCGCTCGGACGTGTCGCCTTTACACGTGCACTCATCGACGAACTCAGCACACGCCTCAATCAAAAGTTTCGCGGCCCCCTGTCTGCTTTCTCAGCTGCAGAACTCCACGTACGGCTCATGTCAAACTACCCACGGATCATTGAGGACCGAAACCCCGACAAGGAGCGTCTCACGAGCTTCCCTGCACCGCTCCACATCCTAATCACGTCGGATGCTCGGCTTCCGTCAATTCTCTTGGCGCCTTCGCGAAAGCCGCTACCAACGAGCCCTGAAGCAACAACACCGGGGACACAGTTGAACCTCACGCTCCGACTCGTCGATGGCGCGGTCGACAAGCCCGGTTGGATCGAGTGGATGCGGCTGTTGCCTGAAGGCGTGCGGGAAGTCAAGTGCGAAAGTCCGTACCGCAACGCGTTCCGATAACAACGAACCAGAGGCCAGGTCAAAGTTTCCTACCTTTTTAGCGTGTGCATACGCATAGCCCTTTTTTTTCTGCGCTGCATTTCCTGTGTTCATTTTCATATGCATTGGCGACTTAATATCTCCCCATTTTATGTTTGATGAGTAATACTGTCTCGTTGTTTTATTTTCACATTCTCTCAAGATTACAAGTTGTGCAATTCTACGAGAGATGGATAGCAGGATATGATGGGATCACCAAAAGTCTTGGCTGAGACTGCAACGCAACATGGTGGGTGTTGTTTTATTCGAACTCTGCGCTCTTGGTCTGCTTATGTGCGAGCCTCACCTCTACTCACATTCGTACTCGAACGCTTGCATCTCGCCCTTTTTTGCAGTTCAGTCTTCACAGTATGTGCGATTCCAGTCCATGCCACGGACATGGCATATTACCATGGCCCCTTTATATTTTCTCTAATACTTCTTCTTGCTTCCCGCGTATTTGTCTTTTTGTCATGCAAAGAGCACTATGTGCCTTGACGAATGGGATTTGGACAAATGCGGTCCAACGAATGGCATTGCGAGAATCTTGTGCTCAATATGATACCACCCTTTGAGGTTTACTTTTTACTTTCCAGTTCATTTGGCGGAGCATAACCCTGCACTTATATTTTTTATTTTTATTTTTATTTTTACTTTTACTTTTACTTTTACTTAATATCACCGTGTCCACGTTTACACGTTATTCAATTTCTAGCATTTTTGAAACGTACGCCGCAAACGGTTCGGCCAAGGCCGTCTTGCTTAATGTTACAAAGATCGTTCCAATCTTGGAAATAAACAAAACCAAAAAAAAAAAAAAGACACCCGCATAAATCATTAGCTTTTCTCAATCTGTCCTTTTCCATTATCTGCCCCTTGCTCACAGTGCCAGCACGACCACGACCGACACACCCACGGCCAGCGCCTTGGCCCAGCCATGGCCGGCGGCGCCCAGACGGCCGGCGGCGTTTGTGGCGTTGGACGACGCGGCGCCTTCGAGCAGCAGGGCCGGCGCGTACGCGCCGTTGTCGGCGGTGCTGAGCGTGCCGTTCCAGCAGTACTGGGCGAAGCAGCTGCTGCAGACGGCGGGGACCGCGGTCTGGGTGCGCGTGAAGCTGCGGCTCAGGACGGCGCAGGCCAGGCAGGTGGGCCAGCGGGCGTCGAGGGTGCCGTTGCCGCGGGTGGCGGCGTTGAAGCCGTTTTGGATGATGGCGTTGCGCTGGGCCAAGGGGTAGCTGGGGTCAAAGGTCGAGACGTTGCTGAACTCGCTCAAGGGGGCGTTGGGCAGGTACACGACGAGCGGGGGCAGGGTCTGGCCGTCCGACAGGGAGAAGTTGCTGGCGTTGCAGCCGAAAAAGGTGGGGCGCTGGTTGAGCTGGAGATTGACAAAGGTGTGGTCGTCGGGGACGGGCGGGAACAGGGTGCCGTTGGCGATGGCGCCCAAGGAGCGGTCGTAGGAGGCGCGCAGGGCGGTGCCGTTGGGCCAGTTGAAGTTGGTGTCGGCGGACGAGTCGACGGCGACAATGACGTCGACGGCGCGCACGGGCTGGATCAGCGGGTGCAGCGGGAGGTTCTGCAGGTCCTCGCCGCCGTCGACGAGCGTCAGCTGGGTCGCGTTGGCAAAGTCGTTGGTCGCCGGGTGGTACTTGTAAAAGGGGTTGGGCACGTATTGGGCAATGTCGTTGTTGGCCTGGCCCAGGTCCGTGAGCAGGTCCTCGATGATGTTGAGCACAAACGTGGGGACGTTGGCCTGGGCGCTCAGGTTGGCCAGCAGGAACTGGTTGAAGAGCGTCGACGAGGTGCCCATGACGAAGCCGAGCTGGTCGAAGCCGCGCACGCAGTGGCTGTCGCTGGCCGTGGGGACCTCGCCGCTGGAGAAGTTGGAGCCCAGGAACTCGGTGGGCACGAAGCCGAAGGTCGTCGGGTCCCAGGAGCCCATCTCGAAGGCGTTGAACTCATAGACGGTCGAGTTCAGGGCAATGATGGTGGTGCCGGGGGCGCGGCTGTCGGCCACGAGGATAGGGAACGGGGTGTCGGCGCTGGCAAAGTTGTCGGTCAGGGCAATGGACGAGAAGGTGTAGTCGAGGCCGCCGTCGGGGGCGTTGATGAGCTGGTACGAGAGGGCGCGGCCCCAGTAGTCGGTCAGCGACGTCTCGTAGCCGGCGTCGGCCTTGGCGGCGACCTGATGGGCCACGTCGGTCCAGTACTCGGCGGTCGAGAGGATGCCGCGGCGCTCCACAGACACGTCGGCGGTGTCGTCACGCTTGGCGGAGCGCGAGGTGTTGCTGCCGCTGTCCTGGGCGTCCTTGCTGGGGCCGACGAAAATGGAGTTGTCAAACCGCCAAAGATCCGAGCCGGGGTAGCCGTCGCGCATCTGCACGATGGTCGAGAAGTTGTTGGCAAACATGGAGCCCACCAGCCAGCCGCCGCCCGACAGACCCGCCAGGTACGTGGACGCCTGCAGCAGACCCGCGATGCTGCCGTTGGCCGGCTGGTCGGCGGTGCGGCTGTCGGCGGCGGCCAAGAAGCCGGCGCCGTTCATCAGCGCGCGGTAGCCGCCGCCGGACATGGCCAGGCCAATCTTGGGCCGGTTGGCGTCGGAGGCGCCGGAAATGTACGCCTTGGCGTCGAAGCCCGAGATGTTGGCGGCCACCAGGAAATCAATGAGCGGCTGCAGGGTGTTGTTGCGGCGCAGCGCGAGCCAGTCGGTCTCGCTGGGGGACAGGGCGTTGGCGGCACGGGCGGAGGGCCGGGCGGCCGGGCAGTCGACGGCGAGGGGCGAGTAGTTGCCGGAGGGGCTGTTTGGGAGGGCGCGGCGCTCGAGGTTGAGGCCATAGTCGTTGTTGTTGTTATTGATGTCGACGGGAGAAAGGGGGACGGCCGAGGCAGCGACAAGGGCTGGTGCAAGGGAGGCGAGCAGGCCGAAGACAACAAGGTTGGACAGAGCCATGGCGGACGAGTCAGACGAAACTGATGAGTACGAACGAGGTGCAGGCAAGCCCAGTCGCTGGTCGATCATGACATCGAGTCAGGCCGAAACTGAGGCAGGTCAAAGTGTCGTGTCTCGCCCACGGAGCCTTTGGCGCGGCGTTGGCGAGTTGTATGGCCGCCGCGGAAGGCACGGGCGAGGATGGAAACAGTATCAAAGAGGGAAGGAACGGGCGGGAAGGCGCGGTGGGAGAGCTGGCAAAGAAGCTTTGACGCTGCAAATAGAAGAAAGAAGGGAAATGGTGAAACAGACACGTCCGGGTATCAGATCAACACAAGATGGACGCTGACGGCCGAGAGGAAGAGAAGAAAGAGAAGAAGAAAAAAAAGCATGAAATGCAAACAAAAACAACGGCCCAACCACCGACAACTTCAAAGGAGGAGATGCAGCTGGGGATCATATATTGTGAGATGGATGAAGTCTGTATTTCCACCCTTTTTTCTCTGCACCAAGACCAACGAGCGTGTATACTAGTTAGACAGCCGGCATTCCTCGCCTGCTGCCAAAACGAAACCAACCAAACAAACTAACACTAGGCTGAGGTTGGCAGAGATGGTCTATTGCACAGACTAAACTCCTTATGAGCAGCTGCTTAGCATACATTCTAGATACTGCGTGCTCTGTTGTAAAACAAGCAAGACAACGAGAGGCGGCCAGACCGTGCCAACAAGAAGGATCCAAATTAAGCCGTAAGACCAGCTCGGTCTCGCAAAACAAAGAGCAGGAAGCACGAGTGGAGGGACACTAGGACGGTGTCACGCGTGCCCGACAGTAGTCTCGCTCCTTTCTCCACCAGCTTGACGGCGGCCTCTGTCAGATACCATCGCATCGGTTGCTTGGTTTCGGCTTTCGTCTCATTTGATTGGCGCCGCGGCGACGTCCTTTTGAAAGGGAGCGCGGTTCTTGCTTCCTTGTAGGGCAGCATGGCGCAGCAGTGGCATGACTTTTCCTCCATTCAAAGACCAAGACAAACAGAAAGCGTGTGAGACATGGGCCTGTCCCTGAGTCTTTGATCTTTGCAGTCCGAGACGTCCATTTACGACACATGAGAGGACGGAGGATGCCGAGATGAGCTGTCTCGTACTTGTTGTCTCGCCAAATACGTCCCATCTTGCAATGCGTCTACACAGTACGTCGTACGCCGTGTGCACACCTTTCGTGCAGCCCCTGCGTCTGACAGCCAAAGTCGGCCCTCGGGATGCTGCAACACACCGTGACGCAATCTCGCGACGACCACAATCAACGTTGCAGCCGCTCTCGACAAGTCTAATGCATGCCAGTGGGCGTTGGGCCCTTGCCTTAGGGCGATCTTGGCGCGTAACTGCACGGAAGGGCCAGGCTCAACGGGCGGAATGCCCGGGCGCTAGGAGGGAAGGGGCAGGTGGGGTACAGGGGATGACAGTGGGTGAGCTGGGTCGGTCTGGACATTGGGGTCCTCTGCTGGGCGAATCACACACAGACACACAATTTTACGACGTATTATTGTGCTTGGCTTGGCCATTCAAAGCCACAATCCGCAAAGGCAAGTTGTCGTGTGAGGTGGAGTATTTCGTATGGTAATATGCCGTATGATATTGAGAGACAAGTCAAGGCAGATTGTCGCTTGTAGGAGTGGTGGTAATTTAAGTACGGAAATAAGCTCGAGGATGATCAACAAGGGGTTTTTGTGTTCTTTTCTTTTTGTTTCCTTCTCTTTCTTCATTCATTACATTTTTTTTAAAAAAAAAATCCATTTGAAAATAAATAGTATAACTTCAACAAAAAATTGGTGAGAATATGTTTGTACAATACACGTAAAGATATCCAAGCCAGGACTGGCTGAAGAAGGCGGATAATAATAATGATAAACATAAAACTAAAATACAAGGATAGATAAAAGTGTGATGGCGTATTCAAGTAAACACAACTCGACCGGATAGCACCGATCGCAACAGGAACACCATCATAGCGCTGCAACCTCCCGGCTCAGATGGTCCAGTCCAGTACTCGCAACTTGTCTTCAAGACCCGTTTCTGCAGTACACTCCCTAGACACTACGATGTCCTTACGAGAATCCTACATTGCTTGCCCGATTTATGCTGACCACCGCTAGTAGAAAGGCAGACGAAAGACGGAGTTCCATATGCTACTTTGTTTTACAGCTCCCTCGAGTATCGCTTTCTGAGCTGAGCAGTAAAATGTCTACGCCGTAAATCTGCCTTGACGTGCCTGAGACGAAGAGACAACATTCGGATGCTGCCCGTCGGAAACAACTTAAACCCTTATTTACGGCCTTTGCTGTGTCGACAAATGCCACATCCCTGCAGACATGGACATCGGTGGCAGGGACGGAGTAATACGACTTAAGACAGAACATATGCATAATTCATAGCCGGCCATTCCTCACGTTCCTATCCACTTCCACCGTCGAGTCCTGCCAGCTATACGACGCAGGTAATACTCCGCACTGTGCTCGCTGCGTATATTCTGCAGTAACAAAACGTCGATGATTGTATGGATGACACGTCCACTTCGCAACAATGCGAGGCTTGGACGTATCAATCCAAGAGAGAAAACCAATTGCAAATTATGTAAAGCAAACAACCAGATGCCGCAGCAAAAAAATAAAATAAAATAAAAAATGGCATGCCTAGATTGGTGATCTATGAGACTACCGTGAGGACAGTGCAAAATACAGTACAAACAATTTTGGCACTATACGACTGCTATCCCATTCGGGCTGCAAGCTCTTTGGCGTTGCCTGGCAACCGCTCCTGTTTACCCTAGGCAGGTCCGTGTCCGACTGTCTCCACTTGCCGCTCCTGCTTTCTCTACCGGACCCAAGGAGTAAGACAGTTCCTTCCTTTTGCAGAGACCTGGTAAACAACGGCATCTGCATCGACACTTTGTGATTTCAACTTTCTTGCTTCAATCAACAACCGACCATCGACAACAAGCGCGACAACGACCACGACAACACGACACCGCCGACAACAACAGCAACCGCCATCGACCCGACGGGACGCACCCATTTTCGCCATCAACAACATCGATGGCCGCGCTTTCCTGAATATCGGCAAAACACGACGACGTCTTTTCCTTTTTTTCCCATTTCGTTTTCTGTTCTTACATTCCGTCTTTCTTTGCTTGCTTTTCATCCTTCCCCTTTCAGAACAACCACCATGGAGCCCCAGTCCCCGCCCAAGAGAATGACGCGTGCGCGTGCCGCCGCGAAAGCAACAACAGCCGACAGCATGTCGTCTTCCGCGCCTACATCCACGACTGCATCCTCGCGAGCCAAGTCTGCCACGGCCTCGTCTCGAGCGAGAACGTCCACCGCCACCGCCACCACTGCATCGGCCGCTGCCAAGCGGAAACTCCGCACCGACGACGTCGAGACCGACAACGAACTGGACGAGCTCGGCCTCGACCGCCCCCAGCTGCCAACCATGCAGAAAGCTGTGCGTGCCGCCCGTGGCCGCCCCAAGAAGACGCCAGTTGAGGCGGAGCCCGTGTCCGCGTCCGCAGTCGTTGCACCTCGTCCTCGCGGCCGGCCTCCAACCAAAAAGACACCAGTGCCAGAGGCGGCCCGGCCGTCTTCGCGGGCTTCTACGAGCACAAACACAAGCACAGTCACAGCCGCATCCACTACAGAAGCGCCGGCTCCACGTGCAACAAGAGCTAAGAAGACGGTGACACTGGCCGAGGATGCACCCGAAGAACCGGCAAAGAAGCGGGCGACGCGTGCCCGTGCTACATCGGCAACAGCCAGCTCAGCCGCCGCGAACACCTTGCCGTCGGCCACGACGCGCATCTCCGTCCGCAGTGCATCGGCCACCGTCGCGGCCAAGTCGGCGGCCATCAAGAAGAAGGTCACTTTTGAAGAGCCCGAGAAGGAGAACATTGTTCCGGCCCGAGGAGGTGGTAAGGCACCCGCATCTGACACGGCCACCGAATCGACGACGACGACGACGACATCGACGGGCCTCAAGGCCAAGCCAGCCCGGCGAGCTGCCAACACATCCAAGGCTGCAGCGACATCGACATCGACTGCCGGCCCTCGCTCAAGAACGGCCTCGGGCAGGGCTGCATCCGCCAAACCGTCGGCACCGCTCAGCCCTAAGAAGGTCACGCAAGTCCGCCTGGCACGCGACTTTGACGTCGATTCCGAGGATGAGCTGGGTGCTAGTGACGAGTCCCACCTCAAGCCTTTTGAGCGGAGCCCCACCAAGCCGTCTGTCGCTGCCGGTATCACGCCCGCTGAGCGCACCAAGGCACTAGCCAACGCCGGCCTCGACCTCGAATCCTCTACACGCGACATCACCGCCAACTTGGTGTCGATGACAGCCCTGGCGCCCCCTGACCTCCAGACAGGCCTTCTCACGAGCCCAGCCCGCCGTCCCCCCCCCTCTCCTGTCAAGGAGGGCCTCATGAACTCCCCGGCGCGCCGGCTGGATGGCCTTGTGACGATGGACGGCGTTTTGGCCTCGACCAGAAAGACCTCCAGGCACAACAGCGGAAGCAGCAGCAACAACAACAAAAGTGACGGCAACGGCGGGGGAAAGAGCCATTCTTCTGTCCTGTTCTCTCCCGCCAAACGGTTCCCAGTGCACCCCAAGAACCACGCGGCTGGCGGCCAGGACGATACCCTTCGCTCGCCGATGAAGCTGTCTTTGCTGCAGACGCCGGCCAAGCGCCCGGCTTCGCCGGTCAAGGCGGCCATTTTACTGCAGCGTCCCGACATGAATCCATCGTCGCTGAATGGCCAGGTCGAGGAGGCCGAGGGTGACGAGACGGAAGAGGAGGTGGCAGAGGACGAGTTCAATGAAGCTGACGAGGCCGACGTCTCCGATGCGGAGACGGAAGACAATGGTCACGAAGCAGACGGCAATGTCGAGAACAATGACCAGACCGAGTCCCTGACTCAGATGCTGCAAGACATGGCCGCCGATGCTGCCTCTGCTCTGCGTGATCCTGAATCGCCTTCGCGCCGCAGCGTCCCTGATCGTGTCTCCGCCGCTCTTGCTCGTGCCGCCGATCCCACCATTGAGGTTGATTGGGAGGAGGTTCAGTCCGACGCCGACGACGAAGTGTCGCCGCCAGGTGAGCCCATGGATGTCGACGAGTCGGTTCTGGGCGCGGCCACAGCGCTTGTGGCCATGTCCCCGCCCGAGCCCGAGCCCAAGGCGCCGTCCGGTGTCTTTGGCCTGCGCGCCAAGGACCTCGAAGACGGCAACGACGACGACTTGGATTCCGATAACGACGTTACCATGCGCATGCCGCTGCCCTCAAACGACGATATGCCGGCAACTCCTTGCCCCGCCAGGACACCCTCGAGCCGGTCGGCGCGTACCAGCATGGGAGGCCAAAGCACGGCCAAGCGTCCTAAGATGGGCAAGTTTGGCTTTACGCCCCTGGCCGACCAGCTCAACGGCTGGAAGGTGCGCAGTCCTGCCAAGGCGGCGGCCACACCCACACCGACACCAGGTGCTGAGAAGCAAGACCCCGAGGTGCCCGAGGTCCCCACGGAGCCTGTCGAGGGAGCCCCCAAGGTGTCGGCCGATTCCAAGAACACCTCTGTCATGCCGTCATACTTTGACGACGCCACGGTTGGCCGGGCTCTTCGCGCATCGCCTCGCCAGAGCGGGATTCCTGTGCCTTTGGACGACAAAGAGTGCGCTGGTCTTATGGAGAACGTTGTGCTGCAGGAGGAGATTGAGACACCCGAGTTCGATGAAGACCTTGTTGTGACAGAGGAAGACTTGGACTTGGCACAAGAGGCCAACGAAATGTCGCTGATGGAGCCTGCTGAGCTTGCGGACATCCTGCACGTGCCCCAGAGCTCCGACGATGCCATGTCTGAGGCCAGCCAGGAGTACGGCGACGAGAACGCGATCCCCATCGACCCGGCCCTGCTCGCGGAAAGCGGTGACTCGCCTGTTGCTGTGCCGCCCGTTACACCGCAGCGTGTTTTGACGCGCACCTTCCACACGGTGTCCAAGGTGCCTTTGAAGCCGGCCGACGACTCGACCCCGAGCCAACCCTTGTTTCGCCGTCGCAGCATGAGTGCCTCGCGCCTCCCCACTTCGTCACGCCGTCGCTCCAGCATCAGTGTTGCGAGCAACGCGAAGAATGCGGACAACGCGACTGGCGGCTCTACCCACGCCAGCCCCAGCAAGCGCAGCGAAAACGGCCGTGGTCTTACGCGGAGTGCGACCGTCATCTCGTACTCCCCGTCGAAGCGGGATGGGCGCCGCGAGAGCCATCGTGAGAGCCGGCGTAGAAGCCGTCGCGAGTCCTTTGGCGGGCCGGCCTTGACCCTGGAAGATGCTCTGTTCGATAGCAGCGAGGATGAGAGCCCCGAGGTTGTGAAGCAACCTGAAGTCGCCGCTGTGATCGCATCGGCACCAGCCACGCCGACCAAGTCGAGTGGAGACGTGAACGAGGATGCTGACCCCAGCTGGTCGACGGCGGGCACGCCGGCACGCACGCCCCGCCGGGACCTGGACCCTGCCCTGCTGCGCGGCGCGGTTGTCTTTGTGGACGTGCACACAACGGAGGGCGCGGATGCCAGTGCCATCTTTGTCGAGCTGCTGACCCAGATGGGTGCGCAGTGTGTCAAGACGTGGTCGTGGAGCCCGGCGAGCCCGGCCGGCGGCAGCAAGGACGGGTCGTCGCGTGTTGGTATCACGCACGTTGTCTTCAAGGATGGCAGCAAGCGTACGCTGGACAAGGTGCGCGAGAGCAAGGGTCTTGTCCAATGCGTTGGTGTCAGCTGGGTTCTTGAGTAAGTCGACTTTCTGTGCAAATGACGAGTGGATATATGACATGACTGCTTGCTGACGTCGTCCGCCTCCAGTTGCGAACGTGGTAACCAATGGCAGGATGAGGCGCCGTACTGCGTCGACACGGCTCTGTCGCCTCGTGGCTCCGGCCGTCGTCGCCGGAGCATGGAGCCCGAGGCCCTTGCTAACATCAACGGAATCCTTGTGTCGACGCCGCCCAAGCAGACCGGTGGTCCTTCGGCCGCGGTTCGTGAGTGCCGCACGGCCCCGCCGCCGAGCACGCCCATGAACCGTCGCGACAGCACGCTGTGGATGCGCACGCCCGACGACGAGGACAGTGAGAACAAGCGCCGCGGTAGTGGCGCCCGCGACGGTGGCCAGGACGATGACCAAGAGAACGGCAGCGGCGATGTCGACGGCTATGGCGAGCCCGACTGGGGCATGACGGCCCTGCTGACGCCGGTGCCCAAGACACCCGCACCGGAGGCCATTGCACGCTATGCGGCCAACATCGCCCTGTCGTCGCCGTACAGTAGCGACGCCGGCAGCCACTACTATGGAGGAGGCGGCGGCGTCGACGACGACGACGACGACAGTACCCTGGCGTCGATGCAATTCGACCAGGGCCCGCTGGTCACGCGCACGTGCCCGCCTAAGCAGCGGTCGGTGTCGTACCACGAGCTGGGCGCGGGCATCCTGTCGCGCGAAAAGGACGAGGGCGTGCTGATGCGTCTGATGGCTGCGCGCCGCAAGAGCCTGCAGTTTGCGCCCAAGATTGCGAGCCCCCTGTCCAAGGCGTGGAATTAGGGGCGTGTGTTTTGTGTTTGTGTTTGTGGGTGTCGATCTGTCTGATTATGCACACATTGCATCGGTTTCCGTTCAGGCGTCTCGGAAATCTCGGAAAGGGCGTTCTTTTTGACTACGAGAAACATTTTGGTCCTTGTTTCTTCTGGTTTTGCTTCTTGGGTACATTGGGTTGAATGTGTTGTCTTCGTTTTCTTTTCTTGTCTTGTTAACATCTCTGCATGCAGTATACGTGCACAGATTGACCATTGGCCATTACTTCTATTAACTCGAATTTTGATTGTCTCTGTCCTGTCGTGTTTTGGTTGCAAGCGAACGTGCTTGTGGATTTGACATCTGTCGTTGGTCGACTTATGTTGTCAATGCCGGTCAGCGATTCCTTGCGGGTGGAGCAAAGTCGTTCTGCACCGACCCAACGCGGTACCATTTCCAATGTCTCGGATTTCCTCATCTGGCAGCTCTGGGCCGATTGCATTGGACCGCTGAAGCCTCAAACGTATCTCGCCTGCGCATTTTGTTGACACTGCTTCCATCGTTCAGCAAATTCAATACGGCCTCCGATTGGCACTCGCCATTGCCTTCCCCGGCCCCTTCTATCCGCGGCCGTGACAGCCGGTCGACGGTAGACACCCGCCGTCTATCCCATTGTTCCCTGGCACCCCAATCGTTCGTTGCCTGGTGTGTCGATATTGTCAACCGCTCGATCTCGGCTTTCTCGGCCATGTTTGGTACGGCAGACCGTGGCTGCAGACCGTGCTGGCCATTGCGTTTGTCGGCCTTGTCAGTTCCGTCGATGTCGTGTACCCATCAGAGCCCAGACTAGCGCCATTCCGGCAGTCGTCCCGGTGGTCCCAGTGGCCCTGGCAGCACGGCTCACACTACAGAGACGGGTACGGACCACCTGGGTTTGCATTCCCGCGCACTCCCGCGATGATGGGCGACGATGTGGATCTGTGGATCCGTGACAGCCCAGGTGTGTCGAGGCGTGGCACATTATGGGCCAGCGATGGATGTGTGGCTTTGAGCAAGGGACACGGAGACGGTATATCCTTTGTATATTTTCACATGTTTTTTGTATCGTCTTCCTGTTTTACATTTCTATCGTGGCCGTTGTATCCAAGCCTGTCCCCAATATACCCAAATATTCTACCGCATCGTATCGTATCGCATCGCATCGACTCCGTCGTCTTTATGCCACCGACACGTACGCGCGCAGCGCCTTGACCGCATCGCCCTCGTGCTGCTTCAGCAGATCCGTCGCCTTGGCCTTGGTCATCTCCAGCTGGTCGACCTGTCCGTGTTAGTAGGCGGTGCTCAGAACACACAGAACAAAAGGGGAATGGAGTCCTCACCAGCAACGTCACATCCGCTGCGTCGACCTTGACCTTCTTGGCCGCCGTGCCGCTCGCGCCCAGCTTCAGGTTCTTCATCGCCTTGCTCATCGCCTCCTGGTCGACATGCTTGCCCGCATCGTTGCCGCCGCCCACCGCGTCCAGCGACGCCAGCGCCACGGCCGCCTTGCGGTCCTCGGCCGACTTGGCCTTGGCGGCCACGTCGTCTTCGAGGTCGACGTCGTTGGCTGCGGCGGTCGTGGCGCCCTCGTGGACGTTGGACGGTTGGCGGTCTTCAGCCATTGTGTGTGTGTCTGTAAGTGGGGTGGGAAAGGGAGTGTCGGACGGAGAGGTCGGAGGTGGGTGAGGACAAAGTCGTCGGTGGAGGTGAGTTTGGCGTCGAGAGTTTGGTGATGATTTCGACGCGGTGCTCTCTGGTAAAAATTGTGGGGTCGTTGGTGGCGAGCGGGAGCTCCTGATTGGCTGCTTTCACCTTGAAATAGGCTGGCCGGTTCTAGCCAGAATCGGCGAGTTGCTATTTGCACAGTTTATTTGCAGCCTGAGAGCTTGGAGACTGCATGCGACACTCTGTACGTGGCCGAGTTCATAAGACGATGGTCCATCGTGTACGAAAGGCAGTCATGCAAAGGCTTCGACTGATATGTCAGTAACCGAATTAATCCTCAAGTTGACCGTTTTGCTTTGAGTAGCACATAACTTTCCTCCCTCAGAGAGTCTGCTGTAGCTTGTGCCCCACAATGCTGTGCCGATAGCCTGCCGTTCTATAACACATTTTCGGTTTGACTCACATCGCAAAAGGAAGGTGCGACCAGCAATTGGGTTTTTGCCTCACAAGTCACAAAACACAAAATGCCCCTTTTCTCCTACATCTCACAACAACAATTGACAATCGAGGTTGGCTTTCAGCGTTCCACGGACCTGGTTGTCTCGTCCGCATAAGAGGGCGAGCTTACGACGACCATTGTTGAAGAGAGCCGGTTGCAGCAACCAGTATCTTCCGTCTTCTTTGTCCGTCTCGTTGGTGAATCTTCACTCTTTTTTTGTGTTCTTTTCTTTTCCCATTTTTTATCTCTCTCCCACGTCTTTCTTTGCCTTGACCTTTCTTGCGTCCCCCGTTATCTCTCACTCTCTCACCCACATCCACAATGTCTGCACCAAACGGCGCACCAGGCGGCTGGACACCCAGCTCGTGGCGCTCAAAGCCCATCAAGCAGAGCCCGGCCTACGATGACCCCGAGGCCGTCGCCCGCGCAACCCGTGAGCTGCAGCGTCTTCCGCCCATCGTGCACCCGGGCGAGATCCTGCGTCTGAAGCAGCACCTGGCCGCCGTGGCCCGCGGCGATGCGTTCCTGCTGCAAGGCGGCGACTGTGCCGAGCTCTTTGACTACTGCGAGCCCAACGCCATCGAGTCCAAGATCAAGCTGCTTCTGCAGATGAGTCTTGTCCTGATCTGGGGCGCCGACAAGCCCGTCGTGCGCATCGGCCGCATGGCCGGCCAGTACGCGAAGCCCCGCTCCAACCCCAACGAGACGCTGCCGGACGGCCGCACCGTGCCCTCGTTCCGCGGCGACATTCTCAACGGCTACGAGCTAGACCAGCGCGAGCTGGACCCCCAGCGCCTCGTACGCGCCTACCACCACTCGGCCGCGACGCTCAACTATGTGCGTTCGGCCATTGCCGCCGGCATCGCCGATCTGCACCATCCTCTGGACTGGGGTCTGGGCCATGTGCGGGATCCGGCGCTCAAGGCCAAGTACTCGGAGGCGGTGACGTTCCTGACGGACATGCTGCGCTTCATGCACACGATTGGCGCCGACAAGAACGACAAGCTCGACACGGTCGACCTGTACACGAGCCACGAGGCGCTGGTGCTCGAGTACGAGGAGCCCATGACACGTCTGCTGCCCGCGACCCGCGGCCACCCGACGACAACGACAACGACGACGACGAGCGCACCACCCGCAGCCTACTTTGACACGTCGGCACACTTCCTCTGGATCGGCGACCGCACCCGCCAGGTCGACCACGCGCACGTCGAGTTCTTCCGCGGCCTCGCCAACCCGGTCGGTGTCAAGGTCGGCCCCACGACGCCGCCCGAGGACCTGCTGACCATTCTGCGGGCGCTCAACCCGCAGCGCGAGCCGGGCAAAGTCACCCTCATTACGCGCTACGGCGCCGCCCGCGTGCGCGAGCTGCTGCCCGCACACATCCGCATTGTCGAGGGCAGCGAGTACCGCCGCTGCGTTGTCTGGCAGTGCGACCCCATGCACGGCAACACGCAGACGACGGCCACGGCGGGCATCAAGACGCGCCACTTTGCCGACATCCTGGCCGAGCTCCGCGAGACGCTGCAGGTCCACACCGACGAGGGCAGCTACCTGGGCGGCGTGCACCTGGAGCTGACGGGCGACGCCGTGACCGAGTGTCTGGGCGGCTCCGAGGGACTGGACGAGGACGACCTGTCGACCAACTACACGAGCTTCTGCGACCCGCGGCTCAACGAGAAGCAGGCGCTGGAGATGGCCTTTTTGATTGCGGACCACCACAGGACGGTGCGGCAAGGCGCGTCCGCGTCCAAGTAGGGAACGTCGAGCATGGGCGCGAGACAGGATTGCATGGCGTTGTAAAAGTGTAGGGCTCTGGAGTTGACAATGTACGATTGCATTCCGTCTTCATCCTTGTCTTGGTTCTTTATTTCATTCAATTCATAGACAAAAGCAAAAAAGACACACAACTTTATCATATCGCAAGAGAGTACATCCATCCCCAGCATCTATAGCAGACTGGAGATGCCTTGTTTCGCACTGGCCCCAGCCTTGCCCGGGACCCGTCACAACAGCGTAATGACCTGCGCGCCCTCAAAGGCGTCGTTGGGCTCCAGCGTCTGCCAGCTCGACACCGAGCCTGGCTCCACGCACAGCATGTTCTTGTAGCCGTCTTTGGGCGCAAAGTCGCCGATGCTCTTGACCTTTTCCGTCCACGGGTTCCACACCACCACGTCGGCCAGGTTGTCCCGCTGCACGCCGTACAGCGGCCTGCCGCCCTGCAGCACCGTCAGCGGCTGCGACGCGCCCTGCGCCGGCACGTACACGCGGTCCGTCTCGCCCGTAATGTCGACAGGGCCCGTGGCCGCCTGCGTCTTCTCCTTGAAGCCCTCCACCTTGTCCAAGTACGACGCGCCCGCCAGGCCGTCCACGCCCACCTGCGCAATGTCGTCGACGCGCAGGTACGTGTGCAGCAGCACCTGGAAGTCAAAGGCCGCGCTGCCCTCGTTGGTCACCACAATCGCCGTCGCCAGGCTGCCCGGCGCCAGCGTCACCCGGTACAGCAGCGCAAAGTCGTACGGCCACAGCGCCCGGAGCGCCGGGTCGGCCGACGCCGCCGACAGGCCAAAGTCGAGCTGCACGCCGTTGGACGAGCCGGCGGCGGCTTTCGTACTTGACGAGGCACCCGCACCCGCACCCGCACCCGCTTTGCCGTCCGACTCGGACGTGGACTTGCCCAGAAACTCCCACCGCGACGTCCGCGCCAGGCCGTGCTGCGGCAGCTTGCTCGTGGGCACGTCCGCCGGCGACTGGCCGAACACGGGGAACACAATGGGGATGCCGCCGCGCACCGCCTTGGAGCCGTCGAGCACGGCGCCCTCGCTGAGAAACAGGCGCTCGGCCGGCTCGCCGCCGTGGACCGCGCCCTTCCATGAGAGCACAGTGGCCCCGGTCAGCAAGATCTCGACGGACTCGCCCGACGGCAGCACGGCAGTGACACGGTCGCCCACGAGGTCGACGCGGGCCTGGGGCGGGGGGGCCGGCGTGGCGGCGAGGGCGCTGGGTTTGTTGCGGCGGTCCATTGTGGCAGTTGGCAAAGGGAGAAGGGGACGTGGAAAGAAGACGAGGAACTGGGAAAGGCGAGGCTCTTGGAGACGATGGAGCAGAGTCGCAATGTAACAGCAGGCGGATATGTCAGAGACGGAGGGGTAGATGCGATGCAGCAATTGGATACAGAGAATTGCACTCGGAGAAGATGGGAAGAACTTGAGAGAAACAACGAGGTGGAAAACGAGAAATGCGTCGTCAAAGCTCAGCAACAGTTTGGAAGGTTGATCGGTTTCGAGACGGTGCGGGGCTGCCCTGAGTCTGAGGCTGAGGCTGTCCAGAAACAGAAGGGGCTCAATGCGCTGACGAGAAGGAGCGGGTGAGGAAAACCCCCCGTGTATGGAAGGAGATGGGATGGGGCTGTTTTGAGCTTTTTAGTGAGGGGCGTTAATGGACCACAGGTGAGTTGGGGGCGGGAGCGGGGCAGGGCTCCTTCCTCACCAAATGTAATTCGTACACGTTGTGATGCTTTTGGCAAGAACACACCGACAACGTGCCAGCCGTCAGGCCAATGGGCAGGCAGGAGCAACTATATGAAACTCTGCGACTCGCAGGCTGCAACTTCCCGTTCTGTCGTGCTTCCGTGCTTCTTCATGGCGTCCCAACTGCGCCTTCCATGCGGACTATCGTAAGGCTACCTACATGAACGAGATGAGCTCCTTCCTCTGTTTCGCCGGTATACGGAAGCAGGTGGTGCCACCAACTCCTGTAGCCGTTGCACCTGCCCCTTTATTTTGGAGGCAGAAGAATTGTAAAGATCGATGTCAACTTGAACTGGACTTGTCAATTTACGAGAATCCATATGAAAGTCCCAGCTGCTGCACCGAAGTATCTACTTCCCACGATGTCAACCATCGAACTCAAATGCCTCCTTGCTGTCTAGCTCGAGCGTTGTGCTCACATCGCGAAGTCATTGCCACCGTCACTCTGTTCTTGTCGCCATCAATATGCTATGCCTTGCCCTCGATCCAGTAGGCGGCATCATCGCACGCAAACGTCAGCTGCGCGTACTTCGGCTGCCCGGGCTGCAGGTGCAGCTGCTCAGACGAGACGAGAGCCTTAAGCGAACGTCTGGTTACAACACCTTCGGCCGGCGGTACGCGGTCCACCTGGACGGTCTCGGAGCCAGCAGCGGAGCTTGAGTTGGTCACCGTCGCTGACACTGCCACGACTTCTGATTCGGTTGCCTCGGGTGTGAATGCCCCGTCGATTGGTGCGTCGACAAAGGAAGCCGAGGTGTCGCTCAGGCCAAAACCAAAGGGACCAGCACCTCGCCGCCGTCCGCACCGCTATCGTACTGTGGTCAAAGTGGCGGTAACCGGCATCGACGCCCGCGACATACTCGACCTGCAAGCTCCATGGCACTGAATGATAGCATGGTGTCGCTCGCATGCGACCAGCCGGCTTTGTTGCGGGCGAGTAATGAAAGGCCAGTGCCAACAGCACATGCACGATGATGTGGTCCACCGTGGCCTCGTTCAGAAACACAGGCAATGTGCTCATGCAATTCAGCAAAAGCAGATGCGCCGCCCTGTCGACCAGATCACCGACGCTGCCGTACAGTGGCGCTCCATACCTACCACCGTTACGTGGTATCGACGCAACTCAGCGGATGGCAGGATTATGGGCAGCAACACCAGGCCCGTCGATACCCCTTCGAGAACGCCATGTTGTCATGGAGGCCGACAAATGGAATCGCTGGCATTGTCGTTGATGCTGGCCAGAACGCATGCCATGCCCTCACAGGTCCACGATCATGAGATGCGATGTCACTGACCTGAACGCGTCGATCGCTGCATATACCAAACTCGGCGGACGATTTTGCAACTTGTCCGTGACGTGGACGGCTTCGAACCCCAACCGCGGCGCACCGCATGTGTGTGCATGCCGGGCCAGACTCGGACTCGATAAGATACCGCACTGCGTTGCAGTTCTCACACAAACAAATGCATATCGTCTTTTGTTCGGTTGGCTGGGAGTTGGAAAAGTGTGGAGAAGCAGAGACATAGCAGCACTTGATAGCCAGACCCCGGGGACATTTACAGCGGGCTCAGGGCTAGCCAATTGTAATGCCGCCGGGTCCAGGGGACTGGACCACTTGCACCTGCCTCGCCGTCGCCTTCAACCTCCACCGAAAAGGCGCTAGAGACTGGTGGCACCTTCCCGAATACATCTGTTCGCCTCTCTGCACTAGATGCGTGCTTGATGGCAATGGCGCTTTGCCTGCTTCCACCCAATTCGCCGGGCTTCTTTCCTCCATACACCCGCTTGGCGTTCCTGCTCTTGTTGGCCCAACAAATTCGTCACAGCAAGGCCTCGTACGTACCCGCCTGCCGCCTTCCTCGCTGGGTCCTTCCCCGCCCCTTGTCGGTCCCCCCCAAATCCGCGCTTGCCAGAACAAGCTGCTCCAGCCTCCTGCCTTCTACTATTCACCGACCGCACGTCTTCCTTCCCTTTGCTACTGCGACTTAACATCCTCGTCTCGCCATTGAACACGTTTCCCCCGTCTTCTTTTTGCTTCGCCCCCCAGACGCCTCTCTTCTCGCTCCTGGCGAACTCTCGTCGCGGCCGTACAAATTCGCTGTCGCCGTTGTATCCTGGCCGACCACTGGACGCCAACCCCGCAGCCAGCCCACGCAGCCAACCACGGTCCGGCCGATCCTCCTCGTACCTTACTTTTGGACCTTCATCCTTCACTTCTCTCTTCAGGCTTCGTTTCCTCTGCAACCATTTGCAGCTTAGGTCGGACAGCAGCATATCTACATCCGGCAGTCTCTTTCACCTCGTTCACCACGTTTCCCTCGGCATCCGCCTACCCCGCCCCTCCCGCAAACACACACACACACACCATGGCCGACACCGAGGGATCATCCGATCCCCAAGTCAGCTTCAAGGTCAAGACCTCAGGCGATGGCCTGCACAGCATCACCATGGCAGAGTCTGCCACCGTGCTCGACCTCAAGGCCAAGCTCGCCACGGAAGAGTATGAGAACATCCCTGTCGAGCGCCAAAGGCTCATCTACTCGGGCCGCGTCATGAAGAACGACGACACTCTCGGCTCGTACAAGATCAAGACCGGCAACACCCTGCACCTGGTCAAGAGCGCCGCCAGCAATCACCCACCCGCCGGATCTGCAGCTGCTGGTGCTGGTGCGGGCTCCCGGTCCTCGGCACCACCTCCCGCCGTGCCCACGAACATGGCCGCCGGCACGCCGGCAAACGACCTACTGGCCGGCCTCACCGGCGCGCGCTTTGCCGGCCACGCCAACCTGCCCAGCCAGGACCTCTTTGGCCCTGACGGTGGAGTGAGTTTTTACCGATGCGCCTGTCAAGTTTTTACGTGTTTTTTTTTTTTTTTTTTTCTATTTCCCTGTCTAACAGTGTAGATGAACTTTGCCTCCGAGGAGCAAATGGCCGAGATGTTGAACAACCCTGCCGTGGCCCAGAGCATGAACGAAGCCCTCAGCAACCCTGCCTTTATCGACTACCTCATCCAGAGCAACCCCGCCTTTCGAAACATCCCCAACGCCCGTGAGATCTTCTCGTCCCCCATGTTCCGCAGCATGATCACCGACCCGGAGACCATGCGGTCTATGAGCCGCATGCGCGCCGCCATGGGCAGTGGTGCCCGTGCCGCCAACGCCTTCCCTGCACCGGGCGCAACGGACAACACACCCGCCGACGCCGCTTCGACGCCCTCCGGAGGTGCCGCTGGTGCGGGCGCTGGTGGCGCTGGTGGTGCTGGTGGTGCTGGTGCTGCAGCAAACAACCCCTTTGGCGGCTTCAACCCGTTCATGTTTGGCTTCCCCGGCGCAGGCGGTACCGGTGGCGGCGCAGGCGGCGACACGGCGACCAACCCGTTTGCGGCGTTCTTCCCTCCCGGGTTTGGTGCCGCCGGTGCGGGCGCGACACCCGGTGCGACAGCTGGCACAGGCTCGGACACAGCAGGCGCAAATACAGCGGCTGGTGAGGGTGGTGACGCCACTCGTGCTACTGGTACGGGCACCGGTGACGGTTCCGCCGGTACCGGTGCTGGTGCCAATGCGGCCGCCAACCCCTTTGCCTCTTTGTTCGGCGGCGCCGGTGGTGCCGGGATGCCCCAGATCAGCCCCGAGCAGATGCAGCAGGCTATGCAAATGCTCAACGGCCTGGGCGGTGCTGCTGGTTCTGGCAGTGGTGCTGGCGGTGCTGGCGGTGCGGCAGGCGGCGCGGGCTTCAACCCCTTTGCTGCATTTTCTGCGCCCGCGCAGGACACCCGCAGTCCCGAGGAGCGGTACGCCAGCCAGCTGCGGCAGCTTAATGAGATGGGCTTCTATGACTTTGACCAGAACGTGGCGGCTTTGCGGCGTAGCGGCGGCAGTGTAGAAGGTGCCCTGGCGCACCTTCTGGGGAACTGAGGAAGTGAGGACATGGTCGAGGGACGACGACGACAGACGACGACGACAGCAGCGACTGAACAAACGAATGCTACATACCCTTGTAAGGGAGTGGCAAGGCGGCGATGGTGATTAGAATGAACTCACGGGCGGCTGAATTACATTGCATGTATCTTACCAACATCATGAGAGGGTGGCACAAACGCATGTTTTTTTGTTTTACTTTTGTCGTTTTTTTTTTTTTTGCGTTGCTTGTTTTGGTCGATTATGGCTCAGCCATGATCCTGATTTATAATATTATCACAGCACATTCTCTGTTCAGCTTTGAAACTCTGTTCTCGTGAACGATATTTTGACCGTCATGATATTAGATTCAAGCTTGTGGAAATAGAATATAATTTCTTTTCAGTAATGTTTTGGAAAATTGGGGGGGGGGAAATAGAAAAGAAACTTGAAAAAGTTTGTTTTCGATGTTATCATATTTAAGGAAATACCAATATTCTTTTTGAGATATTCGTGCTGGTATGCAAAGTAAACCCTTAATTTTCACAAGCTGTCAAAATACTTATTTTTTTAAAATATATATTACAAAGATCTATATTGTATCGTACACCTCGCTCCGCTGATGCCTCCCACCAGACGCCGGTCGAGGCAACAGGATATGTAACCCACCTCCTAAACACATAAGAAACAGTCTCTCTCGCCAGCCCATGCAATACATGTATATCTACAAGTGACCGAAACAATCAACAAAGTGGCAAATAACTAGACTAGGATCACGCCTCCTCAAGGTCGTCACCGAGCTCACCCTCGACGCTGTCCTCGTCCTCCTCGTAGGCCTCGGACTCGGCGTCCGTGACGTCGGCGCTTTCCTCGCCGTCGTCTTCCTCCGCATCGTCTTCCTCCGCATCGTCTTCGACTTGGTCATCTTCGTCGTCCTCAGCCTCGCCGATCTGGATCTCGTCGTTTGAGGATTCGTCGTCCTCAACGGCGACGTCGTCGTCGTCGTCATCATCCTCATCCTCACCCTTGACGTCATCAGCAAAACCGACCGTCTTTTGCGTGTATGACGGCGAGCCGGGTAAGCTTGTCGACGACGACGAAGGCCGGGCGTCGGCCGTCGCTGCACCACCGCCCGCCGAAGCCAGTCTGGACGCCGGCTCCAGCACGTCACCATTCCAGGGCCGGCAGGCGGTGACGAGTGCACCGCACCGCAGGCACGTCCAGCCGTCGCCCTCTTCGCGCTCGATGCGCGTCGCCAGGGACACATAGCAGTAGACACAGCCGCAGGGGACCGCCTCGTAGGGGTTGGTGATGTCGGTTTCCGCCGAGCCAATGACGCCGCTCGAGGCAGCGGCGGCGGCCATGATGTCGGCTTCGGAGGTGGCGGCGTTTTGGTCCTGGTAGCAGATGGCGCACGTGCGCTCAGGCAAAAAGGCGTACTCGCCAGTTTTCTCTGTGCTACCCGCACCCGCACCCGCACCGTCTTCGTCCTCGCCCGCCTGTCCTTTGACGACTGTCGTGGCCTTGGCGACGGCACTTTTGGTCTTGCGCCAGGTGCGGGTGAGCCAGCGGCGCCAGCGGTTGATGCCGACGAGCGGCAGCAGGAACAGCAGAAATTCGGTGAAGGCGTGCCAGACGAGCTGACGGTTGAGGTACTCAAACGACACTTCGCGGCTGACCTGGCTCGTGGGCGGCACAAGACGCATGCGCAGGATGCGGTCGAGCAGCGTGCGATAGCGGCCGTAGCGCAAGAAGACGAGGAAGGAGACGAACGCGGCGCCCGCGTAGAGGTCGGAGGCGACGGACGTGACGCGTGCCAGACGCCTTATTCTCTCTGGCGACAAGGAGAGACGTAACCGGCCGCGTAGGAAAGATAGGATGTCGGAGCTGCTGCTGCTGCTGCTGTCGTTGGTGCTGCTGTCTCCAAGATCGTAGCCGAAGCCCTCGTCTGCCTCCTCGTTGTGGTCCCGCAGCCAGTCCTCCCACTTGGTCCATGCATAGCGCCCGCCGACCGTCACGAGACCGTACGCAGCCTTTTGCCATTTCGACGGCGGGACAGGCACCGCGGCGGCAATGGCGCCGCGCGTGCCACGGGTTGCGCGTGCGTCGGCGTAGCGCAGGTTCTGCAGCGCTGCCCCGTACGTCGCGTCGTGGTCCCACACGGACAGCTTGAAAAGCGCGGCTCGCAGCAGAAGCATGATCTCGGGCTGCCAGTCGTCTTGCAGGGTGCCGCCGCGGATGTATTTCAGCGCATCGGCGACCTGGCCGCGCAGCAGGTCCAGCAGCTCCTCGTCGAGCAGCTCGGCATCAACCTGGCTGACGCGGAATGCGGGGCGCTGCCCGCTGGTGCCGGCGACATCAATCCTCCGCGAGTCGCTGCCGCCGTGTAGTGTAGAGCTGATGGTCGATGCCGCGCGGCTGCCACCGTCCCAGGCGACGAGCGCCGTGCCGCCGAGCCGACGGACGAGGGGCGACGAGGATGAGGTGAGCGGCCCACCAGCATCGAGCCGTGCACGCAGGGCCGCCGCAGATGCTTCCCGCTGGGCGGCAGCTGTGGCGGCGACTTGTGCGCGGTGTGCCGCCTCAGCGGCCGCGCGTTCGCTTCGACGGGCGGCGAGCCGGCGTTGCGCCTCGGCAAAGGTGGGTGCGACAGATGCATTGGCAGCGGCGACCGCGGCCGCTGTTTGCGGTGGGGGCGGTGGTGGTATTCGGTCGGTCATGAGGTCCGCATGGATGTCGTGAGGGAGGAGGACAACGTGAAAGAAAAGGGGATGGCGATGTTCGTGTCGAAATAAGAGTGAACAAAAAAGGAAGGAGGAATGCAATGGCGTCGGTGCAGCTCAGCTATGTTTGCAAGGAAGGCGCCAAAAGCAAAACCGGGGAAGGCGCGGATTACGCATGACCCCCAGCTTTTGGGGGCTTTCAGAGGCAGGTGCGCGTTGGGAAAGAGCCGAGGTTCGGTCCCGCGTGCCAGCGCCTGCCAGCACTGGTCCGCTACAGAGGGCTAGCGAATGCTCCAGCTTAGCGTAGGTGGTCCACTACGGCGATCGCGCTGCCTTTCTTACTTTTCGGTATTCGACGTCACATCCACAAACCACTTCCATACTCCAAATGGATTCATATTGTACAATGAATGCCATACCAGCCGCCACGAAAACACCAATTGTACCAGTACAAATACCAAAATATCAAAAAAATAAAAATAAAGTAAACACTGCTCGACAAAAGCTGTCTGCCAGAATAACGCCGTATCCTTTTGCAGCAAAACCCAAATGCCAGGAAAGGCTGAAACTGGGCGCCCAAAGCCAAAATACCATAGCAGCTTGCAAAGACATCGCCAAACCCAAAATCGAGACGACAAAACATGGATCATGCGAGTCAAAATGGACCACAACAACCACTCGACTGAAGCCAATACTTCAGTGGGCAGTTCGCACGAACACGGTCCAACTAAGGCGACAAATATGTAGGGCCCTAGTACTTCATCAAATTGGCAAAGATGGTCACCTTTTCGAGCTCGGCGTCGGCGCCGCTGGGCAGTTTCTGACCCTTGGCGAGGCCAGCAATGACCTGCACCTGCACCACGTTGACGCCCGGGTGCAGGTTGACGTCGTAGAGCTTGGCGTTGTCGTCGGGTCGGGGGGTGGCGCCAGGCAGTGAGCCGGGGCCCTGGGAGGCTGTTGACGGCGACGGCGACGGCGACGGCGACGGACCAAGCGTGGCGCCGTTGGAAATGACAAACATCTTGTAGGTCCGCTGTTGCGATTGCAGGGTCGGGTTGAGCGACACAAACAGCTGCTGACGCCACTGGCCCGGCGGGATGTTGAGGGTCACGGACCGCTGCGTCAGCTTCGGGTGTGGTGGCAGCTGGATCTCGAACCGGCGGTCGCCGCTGTTGAGCGCCGCGTGTGTCTGGATGGTCAGGTTTGCCAAGAGGGGCTCTGAATGCAGTTTTTAGTATCACTGGTCACGAACAATATGGCTCACTGGCTGCCGGTGGAAACATACCTCGGTTGGCTTCGCGGAACCTGGAGGTTTCGTAGACTGGCCGTGCCGGGACGCTCGGTGGCTTTGGTGCTGCTGCCACGCCGTTCGTGGCCGTCGACTCGCCTGCAGGTGTCCCATTGGCCAGAGCGGGTGACCCGTTGGCCACAGCGCCGTTTGGCCGCTGGGACAGCGCCGGCGACGCGCGCGACGAGGATTCGCGCTTGGCACCGTTCACGGCCACGGCAGACGTCGCCGGGCTCGGCGAAGCCTTGGACAGGCCACGCGTCTTGTCCAAAGCAGACGGCGTCGCTGCCGCCCGTCCCGTCTGTGCGTCCGAGGACACAGACGCGGCTGGTTTGCCACTGGGCGAGTCGGCGGAACTGCCACGCGTGTTGGCAACGTGGATCGTAATCTTCTTGGAGCTTGCCGGCGTGGAGACCGCGGCCGACTTGATCTTGATCTTGGGCTGCGGCGGCTCCTGCACCACCTCTTTGGCCTGTCTCAGCTCGTCGCGGAACATTTTCTAGACGTGTCAGCTGCTACACAGCGTCCGGCGCGTACTCCTACAACAACAAGGGCCAATGACGTACCTCGAGCTCCTTGGCCATGTTGGCAATCGGGCTTCCGTCCTCGTTGTAGTAGTAGGCGTTCTCCCACAGCAGACTGGCCTTCTCTTCAAACGCGGCCCAGCTCTTGTACTCGCTCACGCCCGACCGGTCTGTCCGGCTGCGGATGCCCTTGACGAGCTTCTGCAGCTTCTTGATCGACAGCGGATCCTTGATAACCTGGAAGTAGTCCTTGAGCGTGCGTGGTGGCAGGTTGAAGAACGGCTCAAAATAGCCGTAGCTCGGGTCCCTGTTTGTGTTAGGACAGTGCTCAAAGCGAGATCATCAGTTGGACTACCCCGACCACCGTGCACTCACTCTTCGTCTGGTCGCCGGATGATCTCCTCCACAATCTTCTCCTGTGCCTCCTGGAACGAGAGCCCCTTGTAGGGCACGCCGTCAAAGTCGTGGTCCTGCTTCAGGCTCGGCGTCACTGTACGGTCTGTCTTTCGCACGACCCGGAGAGGCGTGCCGCGCATGCTCTTGGCGGAAGAGCTCTTTCGCCGTGCTGGTGTGCCGACATTGTCTTCGTCCTCGTCCTCCTCTTCGTTGTCTCCTGCCTCCTCCTCCGCTGCCCCCTCGTCGTCCTCGCCTTTGGCATCGTCGTCGCCGTCTGCGTCTTCGTCGCCCTCGCCGTCTGCGTCTTCGTCGCCCTCGCCGTCTGCGCCCTCGTCCTCGTCCTCGTCCTCGTCCTCGTCGGGAATCGGCGTTGGCACCGCCGTGTAGCCCTGGTTCAGCTTGTAGGCCGGGTTGTGCTTGACCATGAAATTGCTCGTGGCCTTGCGCACGCGCTCCGAGTCGTCGACCTGCTGCGAGCCCTTGGGGTAGAACTCGCGCACATTGAGCACCATGCGTTTGATGTACGACTCGAGCTCGGACAGGCTCTTGAAGTGGCCGTCCTTGAGTTTCGCCTCCACGTCCTGCAGCGAGATAGGCATGCGGATCGCTTTGTAGTATGCATCGTTGCCGCGCCGCGGGGGCAGCGTCTCAAAGTATTCTGCTATCCGGCGGCCGCTGGGAAGAATTAGTATACGATCAGTTGTCGACACGACATACGAGTATGCTCCCTGGACTATGGCCTACTTCTTGTCACTTGTTTTCCGGATGAGGTCGAGAAATTCGAGGCCGGTCTTGGTGGTGGATTTTGCCGTCTCGGTGGTTTTGTCCTGGCAACGAGAGTCAGCATGCAATGTCGCAAACAAAAAAGAAATGTGATGCAAATGCACCGAAATGTGCGGTTTCTGGCCGGAGCTGAGCGTGGAACGGGAATGTGCGGCCAGTATGCGAGGCGGCGATCGGAGGCGCTGGTCTATTCCACGTATGCCGCCGCAAGCCAGTCCGGGGTTCGTTGGACATGCAGCTGGAGCTGTCGCATAGCTCTCGATTTCGAGCTACTCCACGCCAACTTGTTGCGACACGCGCAGCATCGCCAATTGCCAGCACCGCAACAACGGACGCTCAATGCCATGCCCCGTGCTGCAGTGACATAAAATAGTCTCGCTGATGCTTTTCTTCGCTCCTCCTTTTGGCAACATCCTCGCGCAATGGAAAACAATCCCACGCCCCCCACCCCCTGGAAAACACCTACCACAACTTTTAACCGCTTCGAGGCGCGAACGTCTCCGCCGTCCGCGCCGGTTGACTTGCGCTTCTCCATTGCGACTTGAAACGGTCTGCACTAACGATGGAGGGACGTGCAAGTGCCGTGACGCGATGCGTAATTCGATGCAAACAAGGGCGCGAATTATCGATGCAAAATGGAATAATTTGGCTTTTTTTTCGGAGCAAAACTCGGCGGCTGGAAACGGCGAATGGGCGGTAGAAATACAATTCTTTCGGTGCAAAAGGTGGTCGTCGGACGCCCAGTGCGTGGCAGAGCGATCTTTGTCGAACAAGTCGCGATGCTGCTGGGTCGAGCTCTGTTCTTTTTTTTGTCGCCTTGTCGTTTGGCCCTGGACTGCTTTCTGCGAAAGAAGGGGTGGACGCGTTTTCTTTGGGGCGGAGAGGGGGAAATGCGTCGCTTGGCCGGAAAGAGGACACAGTCGAGGGTGCACCGTATTTTCAATGCGACACTGTATTGGCGCACGGTAGAGGCCTGGGACGCGCTGCACGTGACCAAATTTCGCTCCGCCCACGGCCGCCTCCGCGTCGTTCAACCCTCTGCGTGGCCAGAGCTTTTTCGGTTTGTTTACTTTGGAGCCTTTCCCCGATGCCGCCTGCCTACGCCAAAGTGACCCATCATTCCTCTTCAGATCTCCCCCCATTGTAATTTTTGCCCCTCTATTTCTTCACCGTTTTTTTCTTCCCCCTGCTCCCGTTTTCCTCACCTTGACCTCGCATTGCTTTTCTTTTCAACAATACTGTCCAAACCTTCAGATTCCCTGCGGGTATTTCTCTCTTTTCGGCATTGGCCTTTACGAAGACGCGTCGCCGACCAGAGCCTCTTTCGTCTCGCTTCTACCAACGACCCAAAGACCGCATTCAACTTGCGACGCGTTGGAATCGTTGGCGTCGACGACCGCTCGACTTTGTGACTGCTACACGACGCGCTTTTCTCTCGACGAAACGGTCATTTGCCGCCCTTTCTTCTTCCTCTCCCCGCAACCGCCTTCCAGCCCAACACATCCTCACGCGCCACCATGTCGTCCCTCCAGGAGATGCGGACGCTGGGCATCGACCCGAGTCGCCGAAACACACGTGCCATTCCTTTATCCGACGCCGAACGCAAGGTTCTCGAGCCCTATCTCGACAACATCCACTACTCGCAGAGGTGTGTTCGCCCCCAGGATGTTCGCTTTTGTAATGACCTTCACATTTGTCTGACTTTGCTGCGCAGATACTCAGACGACCAGTACGAATACCGGCACGTGCTTCTGCCCAAGCAGATGCTCAAGCTCATCCCTGACCAGTACCTCGACGAGAGCAAAAAGACCATGAAGCTGCTTTGGGAGGACGAGTGGCGGTCTATGGGGATCACACAGGTACGGCCATCCAACCAGGTGGAGGAAGCGGAGGAGCGAAGCGCTGGCTACGTTATTGTTTTCCATAAATAGGTCGTACTGACGTTCCTGACCTTGTGTAGAGTCTAGGATGGGAGCATTACGAGGTGCACGAGCCGGAGCCACACATTCTTCTCTTCAAGTGAGTCCATTGCTTTTGCTACCGCCTTTCAACAAAGCAGGCTGCGTATCCATTTCTACGCACACCTAGGGCTGCGACGCCACGACACACAGGAAGCTAATCTTGTCCCGTATGTTAGGAGACCGATCAACTACCAGCCCCCGGCAAATTGAGCTCTTCTTACTGATGGCGGTGGTGGTGATTTTCGTGTCTGTGGCGGTGCACGCATGTCCATGATTGTTGCCATCTGCGGCGCTGGAGTTTGATTGCATACGATAACGACGTTGACGATGACAGCGACGAGCAAACGACGACCGGCGCAGAGGGACAGCGGCCGCCTCTACTTGTGATTCCGACTGGTCCCTTTTCGCGACACCCCTCTGTTGTCGACACACACGATTCGGCAATGTCTCATCTCAATTTGGAGTTTCTTTGATGCTTTCCTTTGCATGGTCTTTCGGTCTTTCGGTCTTTCAGTCTTGCTTTCTGGTTTCGGCATACTGTGCCCTGCCTTCCGCCTGGGCTCATCTGCGGCTCTACAGTGTGGTTGTTACTGTACAGGTTCCCGGGTCGTTGGCAGGATTGCAGGTAGAACGCGTGCGTTGGCTGGGTCTTTTCGGAGAGGCGCAGGTTACGCTGTTACATCTTCCTGACGAACTGTCCTCCTGTCGTGGACTGATGCTCGCGATGTCAGCAAGGCGATGCCACTGGGGTATGGATGCTATGCGGCCTGCCGTTGTCGAGGTTCTGGCGTCCTTATTGAGGCGCCCGTCTCGTTTGCTGGTCGGCTCGGGGTGTATGATTATATTGGCGAAATGTGCTTTGCTGCGATCGTGCCTCTTGGTCCTATTTTATGGAGTGTTGATATTGTACAATCGAAATGATTTTTATGAATAGATTGCAGTGCTCGTTTGGGGGATTGCTTTCTTAATTCGACCCGTTGTTTCTTCGTATTCTCATGTTCTCGTACGCTTCTTTCTTTTGTCAGCGTGGCTGAGGCCTCGTATTTGCACAGTTCCTTCGATGTGCCACGCACGGATTTGGTGGTCTGATGAGTCCCGCGCATTAGCCTTTGCACCAACCGAGCGCTCCGGCGGCCACCAACACCAAAGTAAGCGCCATACGGAGTATGTTTGTCCTCCGCGCGTCGTAGATCTGGTCCATTTAGCCGCTCACTGCAAAGGGGGTGCATCCCTTTGGAAACTGGACTTTTCAACGGAAATCTGGCCACTGCCACCACCCTTTCCATCCTCGTCGACCAGTCGACATGTAGATATAATTGCATGTTCCTCAAGCATCGTGGCTTCGATCGTCCGCCGAAATGGGCCAAACCAGCCGACGTGGGCCGGTGCATCTGCTGGTGTTCAAGCATGCAGATCGGATGACATAATCTCTTGAGGCAGCACCGGTCGACGTATCGCATGTTTTGCGCCGCAATCGATGGCTGTTGCTCCACTCTCTGCAGCGAGTCATACAAGCGAGGCAGGTGCGAATGGAGGATGGGGAGAGACAGGGACGGCGGGCAAAAAGACATGTGTCTCTTTCCGTATTTGAAATCTAAATGCGGCCGCTTCGTGCTGTTTAATAAACTTCACTTTTTCGGGGTTTCGAGCTTCCTTTGTCCTGCAGACATCTGTCTTCACTACCCTGCAATTCCACTGCTGATCGGCGCTGGCTGCATGTTTTCGCCCCATTTGTCTCGAGTGTAAAGGTGGCCTCTCAGAATTTGAAGCTAAAAAAAGTGTCCGAGCTAGAACCACTTCGACCACATGTTCCTGTCTGTTGTAGAACAGCGCCACCGTTGGTTGAAGGTACGTACTTTGACGAGCCAAAGCGACCTAAAACGGGCCTGAATCTCGATACTCGAGAAGAACAAGACCGACATCATCGCCCGCCTCTTCCACGCCAGCACGCTTCATACAGAGTCTCTCCAACCGGTTAATTACGCTCGATATTAAACACCGGACGAAGCAGACACCCTTTATTTCTACGGACAGCGAGTTACAGCACCGCTGCCCGTCTCTCGCCCCAACACAAGCGCTCTACGGCTTTCTGCGCTGGCTGCCTCGCTGTTTCAGACCCTGCGACCCTGCAATCGCTACGCCGGCCATTCCTTCCTTCCTGCGCTTTGCGACAGCGTCTTTCATCCTCAGTTCGCTCCTTCCCGACGTCCATGCCAGTTACTGCTTTGATTCTACCGACCCGCGCCTTCCCCAACACACAACGTGCGCTCCTGCCACTGCCGATTGCCACCGGACACATATATTAAAATAGAGTTTTGTGTCTGCGGTCAGCTGTGTCAACACACTCTACACACTCTGCACACTCCACGGAATATAGACCCCCGTCTCTATTTCTTCTCCCGACCGCCCACCTTCGTCTCCCTCGCCTTGGGAGACGCTTCGATCCGGGACGCCATGAAACCAGCTTCCAAGCTGTTCTTTCTCAGCATCTTTGCACTCTGGAGCCCGCTGGGTCAGTGCAAGAGCCCACACGATGCAGATGCCTGCTTGGTATGCCGCAGATCACCCTTCTCTGCTTGTTACTTTGTTTAGCCCCTCTGCCCATTGTTCATTGTTGCCTTCTTCATGGCGCCGCTTTGCGGCCTTTTCGGCCTTCTCCTCCTGACCGCGGTCGACGTGGCCTCTGCCGCCGAGGCCGACCTCCGCTTCATCGTCTCTAACCGTTCCTACTACCAGATCTCGCCCAAGGCCATTGTGTCCGACGCATGTGCCTCCTACTCGACCCTCGAGAAGCTCAACAGCCGCCTGAGCCCCGCCGTCACCGACCTGACGCAGACGACCGACTTCTTTAGCCACTACCGCGTCAACCTCTTCCACAAAAAATGTCCGTTCTGGGACGATGAGAACGGCATGTGCGGCAACATTGCCTGTGCCGTGCAGACGCTCGAAAATGAAGACGACATCCCCAAAGTCTGGCGCGCCAGCGAGCTCGGCAAGCTGCAAGGGCCCTCCGCAGAGCACCCGGGCAAGTCGACGCAGCGCGAGCGGCCGCGGCGGCCACTGCAGGGCCGCCTCGGCGAAAACGTCGGCGAGAGCTGTGTGGTCGAGTACGACGACGAGTGCGACGACCGCGACTACTGTGTGCCGGAGGACGAGAGCGCGGCGTCCAAGGGGGACTATGTGAGCCTCGTGCAGAACCCGGAGCGCTTCACGGGCTACGCGGGCGACGGCGCCAAGCAGGTGTGGGAGGCCATCTACCGCGAAAACTGCTTCCAAAAGAGCTCGTTCCCGCACTCGGCGCAGCTCGAGACGGCCGGCGACAAGGCCGCCATGAACCCGGCCGCCATCGATTTCCGGTCCGTGCTCGAGGCGGCCGGCCGGCAGCAGGTGCTGGAGCAGCAGCGGCAGGTCGAGCCGTTCACGCCGTTTGTGGCCAAGACGGGGTTCGAGGCCGAGGACGAGTGCATCGAGAAGCGCGTCTTTTACCGGCTCATGTCGGGCATGCACGCGTCCATCAGCACACACCTGTGCTGGGACTTTTTGAACCAGACGACGGGCGAGTGGACGCCCAACGTCAGTTGTTACGTCGACCGTCTGCACCGGTTCCCCGACCGCATCAGCAACCTGTACTTCAACTATGCGCTGCTAACGCGCGCCGTGGCCAAGCTGGGCCCGCACCTCGAGCGCTACATCTTTTGCAGCGGCGAGCCCGAGCAGGACAACCTGACGCGCGACAAGGTGCTGGCCGTCACGCAAACGGCGGCGAGCGTGCCGCAGATCTTTGACGAGTCGCTCATGTTCATGAACGGCGAGGGCCCGTCCCTCAAGGAGGACTTCCGCAACCGGTTCCGCAACGTGAGCCGGCTGATGGACTGCGTGGGCTGCGACAAGTGCCGGCTGTGGGGCAAGCTGCAGACGGCCGGCTACGGCACGGCCCTGAAGGTGCTGTTTGAGTTTGACAACGACGGCGCCATTCCGCAGCTGCAGCGCACCGAGCTGGTGTCGCTGTTCAACACGTATGCGCGCCTCAGCAGCTCGCTGGCCAACATTCAAAATTTCCGCAGCATGGTGGCGGCCGACGAGGAGGCGGCGATCGCCGCGGCCACGGCAGAGGACCAGACGACGGGCGCCGAGCACGCCAGCCTTCTCCCCGACCGCGCCCGCAAGCCGCACCATGTCGTCGCGCCGCCCAAGAAGTACAAGGTCGAGGAGGGCGCCGACGAGGTGCTCGACGAGATTGACGAGAAGATGTCGGCGGAGCCCACGGTGCGCGAAATGTTTGACGAGGAGCTGGCCCGCGTGTACCGCGCGTTCCGCGTCGTCATCGGCCACTGGGTCTCGTTCCCCAAGACCTTCTTCGACATCTTCACGTCCGAGGTGGTGCGGGGATGGCAGGCCTTTATCGGCCTGCCCGTGAATCCGCGGACGTGGAAATTTCAGCGGCCGAACCTCGACGAGCTGTAGGACGCTCCGCGCGCGACCGCCCCTTTGGCCCGCCGGCGCTGTGCATGACATGTTTTTGTTTTTTGTTCTGTAGTTTGGGTTTGCATGGGAACCGGTGTCATTTTGTATTTGTGTTACTGTTTTCGTCTTGTATATTGTCCCATCCTCGGTTCCGTACATATAGTAGTCCCCGGAGTCTGCATGATTTCGAGGACAGGAGTTTTACCATTGCTCGATTTTGAGGTATCACATCATATGCAAGTCGAGTCGTCGTTGCAAGTAGAAATGAGTTTACATATCAACCAATGCTGGTGGTATCAAAATGCGGACATAGTTTGAAGCAATCCGTTGAGAGCGTCCAACGCGCTCACAATCCAAAGAGGCTCTTCTTGCTGTTGCGCCGCCGTTCAGGCAGCGCGTCGCTGCTATCCGATCGCGACCGTTTTGATCGCCGTGGGAGACGGTCCACGGCCGCGTCCGTTGTCGTTTTCATCGTCGTCGTCGAGGCGGATGCTGCCATGGACGCGGGCCGGAGTGGAATGTCTGTCACCACGTTGCCAATTTTGGCCTTGATGCTTTCCACGGCAAAAGTGAGCGGCGGTTCGTCCTTGCCCGCTCTCAGCTGTTTCTGCCAGTCATCGTACGCTTGTTGCGTGGCGTCCGCCCATGCGTCAAGTGTGGTCGTGGGCGCCAACGTCCACGCGACCGAGATGTGGAACGACGCAGGGTCCACATCGCTGTCGTCGCCGGCCACGGCCGGCGATTTCGTGTACAGCGCCGGCTGGCCCACGTCCGTCACCTGTTTGTTGCACTGCTCTAGGAGGCTGACGAGCGGTTCGTTTCTGGACCGGCGTCTGTCCTCGACGACGACTCGCAAGACCAAAAAGGCCCGGGCCGAGTCCGGACTGCGGAACCAGTCCAGACCGCCAAACGCCACGTCGAAGCGCTCGACGCCGGATGCCTTTACGCGGGCCTCCAGCCGCGCCACAAACGCCGCCTTTTCGGCAGTGGTGAGAACAAACGGCCTCGACAAGCTGATGTGCAGTGGCAGCGGCGCGCCCAGGTCGCTCGTCAGGAACGAATGGAACAGAGGCGCGGCGTCGTCGTTGTCGTCGTCGTCGCCGCCGCCGCTTTGCAGGGCACCTTGAAGAGCGGCGCGAAGCATGTCCAGCAGCCGGCTCAGATGGGCATGCTCCGGCGGTTGGGGGAACCCTTCCATGTTAGATGGGAGATGTCCAGTAGGGAATAAACGAAAAAGGGCAAAAGGGCACCCTTACACTCAATGTAGAGATGGCTCGGCCACTGGCCAGCGACGTGGGGAATGGCGCGCTGGCGGCCCTGGTGAAGGCTGGGGTCGTCGGCCGGGGCGGTGCGGACGGTGGAGGCATAGAGATCGTGGAAGGCGCGAGGCAGTGGCGGAAGAGCCGATGTCTTGTCCAGCGCGTTGGCTGGAACATCTTGACCACCGCTGCTGTCCTCGTCGTCCGACGTGTAGTCAACGAGCCCCATAGTGAGCGGCTGAAAGGCTGGCGGCCCCGTCTCGCCAGTCCGGCCTCCTACCCGTTCCTCTGTGTGTACGAATCTCGAATCGCCGTGGCACCATGGTACGACTCGCCAGTGCTTTGTTGAAACGTCTGTTGTCGAATTGTCGATGATGCTTTTGTGTCGCCGTGATACGATCACGTGAAGGAAACAAGGATGTGACGTCGCGGCCAGTAGGATAGCGGCCCCACTAGCGGCACTTGTAGCGCCTGGCCCCTGATGACGGCTCGCCGAAGGCTTCTAGAAACAGGGGACAGTGAAACAGCAAACATGGTTTTCTTGGTCGTCATGCTCGTCCCTCGCACAGATACGATCCTGCACTGTATATTTTGATTACTGTTCGGTTCACTCTGTTTTCTGGGGTTGCCTGTGTCCGCTGCAGTGCAGACATCACTCTCTTCACTCTGCATACTTTGCTGTCGTTAATCTGCACTGAGTTGACATTTCTGCATCTTTATTGCCTGCCATTGTCCTTTATCCATGCGTGTTTCCGCTTATCCCGATCCAATCGTCGTCTCCTTTTAGACGGGCTCGTCTTATGCGATATATGGGCCTATAGCATTAATCTTGCCTCGGGTTAAAGCCGGCAGATTGCGCCCAGTTGCGTATGACAGCATATGCACACGCGTAAGGACTTGGCCGCTTGCAGGTTCTGCGGACTTCTGCGGTGTCCTTCTTTTGCATGCATCCTGATCATTCAAGGACTGTTCGACCCGTACAGTTGTCGCGAATCTGGCAGGCCTCATGCCGAGGCGATTTTGTCGTTTTGTCATGGCCATAAGATGCAGACTGCAGACACCAGACACCAGTCACCAGTCACCAGTGCGATGGAGCGGCTGAGGCTGCATGCATCATGAGCCGCGTCTTCAAACTGCCGTTGGGAGTGAATCTGTGGCCTTGTACGGCCGGATCGTGCAGAATGACGGAATGCCTTATCGGAGAAACGCCCGAGATGTCCCACGCCAGGAGCCAGGCCAGCCCCTGCCGAGTTTGCGCTTACACGCCCAGGGTACGATGAAAGTAGACGGAGCTCGAAACGGAAGGAGTCAGAAACGGTGCGAAACAAGCCGTCAAGAAGGAAACTGCCCAACCCGGGGCGTCCACGTTCTCGTTCCATCGCGCCTGCCCGGCACGTCAAAACGGCTGGTTGACGACGCCCGCTCACCTCCTTCCGCGGCTTTTGCCAACCCATAAACAAGACGTCTTTAACAACCGCCCCTGCCTTTTTTGATTATACGGTGTGCCTGACAAGTTTTGTGACGAGGTTGACACCTTCCCTAAGTGGTGATTCTCGACGCCTTGTCCCCTTTTCTGCCTTTCTGCCGAACCTTTCGTTCCGTTCTTTTCTTCTCCTTTTCTTCCTTTTGAGACCTCTCTGTCTCTCTCTCTCTCTGCATCGACGACCAGGCCAACGCAGAAGCATCTTCCCAACAACAGCTTTAGAACACGATCGGGCCATTTGTCGCATTCGTGGTCGATTTCCATGGACACAAAAGACCTTGCATCCGCCTCCCCACAGCACTGCGCTGCGACGATTGTTCCCATCGGGACGAACCAGATCAACAAATCCCACCCAGACTGCCCTCGGCCTTGATAGCATCGCATCGTATCGTGGGCGCAGACAACCAGAATCAATTACTTAACAGACTTTTCTCCATTTTCGTGTATTCTAGGAGACAACTAGTTCCACAAAGACACCAGCCGTCGCCCATTGAGCTCCCGACAAAGTTGCTAGGATGGGCAAAACCAAGGAAAAAGAGGACAAGGAATGGGTGAGTTGTCTCTTCTCTTTATATCCCCTTTTCGGTCGTTATCGTCTCATCCTTTTCTGCTCTCTTGCCGTCGTTCCTTTCCATCCACTTTTCGCAGGTTCTGCTCGCCATGTGCACATGTCGAGCCAAGTCACAGTCCAGTTCGCACCCCGGCCCGGCCGGTTGACAAGCAGAGGATGTTTCGTAAAGCTCTAGTGGAGCCCGTTGCGTCAATTACCGCAGCCACAGGGCCGATGATGGATTCGCGAGTCTGGACACGGCTTTCAGACACACGCTTGAATGGCAACTTGACATCATGGCTCTAATGCCGGATGCCCTGGGATCCAATACGGACTACTGGCCATTTGGCAGCGACAAACCTTGCCACTTTCTCTGCATTTTTCGCGCGCCAGCTCCACTGAGAGACAAAACATCGATGCGTGCCTTGCCGATCCGATCGCACTGAGAAACAAGCCTGTCCCTAAAAATAACTTGCGTCATACCCAAATCCGGAATGCTGTCAGTGTGGATACACAGACTGATAGTGAGACCCACGCCCAATGTCTCTCACTTACACACCCTCTCTCCTCCTTTACGACAGAAGCTATGCCAGACTGCGACGGGACGACGCAATAGCGAGACCACTGGTTTGCGCCCGACGAGCTCTTCATTCTGACACCAAGAACGGCGACAACACGCACCAGAAGTGTCTGCTCTCCACCGCTTACTCACCGACCACGCGGCCTTTCCTTTGTCCTCGTTCGCCGTGCCCTGTTCCTGTTGCTTACCCTGACGTTTATCTTTAAGGTGTTGCCTGGTTTTTGTTTCCCAGGTCCTTTTTTGTTTCCGTTTTACTCGTTTTCTCTTTCCATTTTTAGCTTATTCTTTTTGCGTTTTGCTACAATCATTTCATCACCAGTATTCATATCCAAATTTGTGCCTAACATCAACATAGGCCAAGAGGTACATCCTTGACCCATTGACAGCTCCCGAACCAAGCCAATTGGACGGACCTGGCAGCTCGTTCTTCAACCCGCGACGCTCGCTTTCTCTCAACTGCAAGCCCAAAGAAGTACCGCTCCACATTCTGCAAAGACGTCACAGCGGCTACCCAACGCCACCCGACTCAAGCAGCCCAACCCGCTCTACATTCCAGATTCACCATCCGAAACCTTTCTCTCCAGGCCGTCGCCATTCGTATCTTCCTCCTGCAGACTGGGCACCCGCAGACGTTGTCTTGACACGCAGCCAAAGTCTCAATACACACGCACAACGACCTCCGACACTGGCGCGGAGTCAGAGTCTCAATCCGAACGCACAGCAGCTTCCCAATTTTGAGATATCTGCTAGCCAGAGGCAGCCGCTGCCCATAAGAAGGAAGCCCGTCAGAAGCGACACTCAACACTCTACAGCTACTACAGTGTCAGTCAGTATCCAAAATCTAAAGCCCGTGCCGCCACCAAAGAACCACGAGCTACCGCCGCCACCTCCGCCCAAGCCCGGAACTTCCGCCCGGCTTCAGAAGGCAAGATCCAGCCCCCGGCCGAACAACCTCAAAGTGGGAAGAAAGCCACCTCAGACCCATCGAACGCAAGGTACTGCGGAAATCATCGGTGACGTCTTTGCCGACCGGACGAGCAACTACGTCAACAGGCCTTTGCTGTCACCAACACAAACAGTCCGGCCTCCAACACCCCCAAAAGCCCGACAACCAACCAGTCCTCCTCTACCACTGCGTCGAACCGGCTCTTTTCTTCGTCGTATCACCGGCACAATGTCGCACCAATCACCCGAAATGAGCAAGCCGAAGCCGGCGGAGGAGCGCGAGCGCGAGCGCCGCAGCAGCTCTAGCCGCAAGCACCGGTCCCGGCACAGCCGGCCGTATGCCGACACGATTGATTCCCTCGACCGCGTTGGCGGTGTTGTGTACCACCACGAGGGTCCCTACGATGCGACACTAGCGGCTGTCAACAGGAACAAGAAGAAGTCGCCGCTCGAGGCCGTCAAGGACTCCAACAACGAAGCCCTCAAGGCAACACCGCGCGAATACATTCAAGATTCGTTGTCCAAGCACGTTCCGCTGCAGGGCACGTCCAACATCCCGTCGGGTATGCCGGACCGCAACGGCAATGTGCTGCACTACGAGGAGGGTGCCGACCTAATGCGGGAGCCGGATGCCCCGGGTGGCGCGTACCGGCGGTATGATTTTATTGTACGTATAGCTAGCCTATTCTCTAAACCATATGAATGTCTCGTTACTAACATGGTTCAGCAATACCACCCCGACGACCTCAAGGGCAAGGGCGAGCCGTCGTACTCGATTGAAAAGGCGATGAAGGAAAACAACGGAAAGCTGCGCAAGCACAGCTCGTCGCTGAGCCACGGTGCGCCCCCCTCCATGGTGTTCGAGATGGAGACCCGCAACGGCCGCCGCCGCGGCGATGGTGCCCAAGAACCACTGCTGTCATCCAAAGGCAGAGCAACAGAGTCGACACGGCGTAGGAGCTTCAGCCACGCCTCGGAAGCAGGTCCCTCGGCATGGAGGTCGGGTGCCGATCTGGATTCGGCGGATCCCAACCGACTCGCTGTGTCCAACGACGGCAGTGGCCTCAGTCGCAGCGGCTCGAACCGCCTCACGGACGGCATAAAGCGCCGTTTTGGCAGTTTACGGCGGAAGTAAACGCGTGAGCACGGTTTTGTGCCGAAATGGACGGTTAGACTTGGCTGGCGTTGTTTGTCTGTTGTGCTGTCTTGAGCTTTAATGCTCGTTTTTGGTTCCTTTTACATGTATCTTTGGCATTGCTTTCTTTCTTCATTGCCCTTTGTTTGCTCAATCCTCTGCTTGGACAGACTGCTAGACGCATTATATCTATTTTATTTTTGGAATATTGGGGCGTGTTTATTGTGACTAACAATATCATGATGGCCGCCATCGCTGGACACGCAAATGTTGCAGCACCACAGAAAGCCTTCCCTAACTCCCTACGTGATACCCGCTAAGGCCGCACCCCACTTTGCACGACGTCACTTTTCCAGCTCACAGTATCCACTCATCGTGCCTTGACACCGTACCAACGAGGTCAACCTGCGATTGAGTCGGGGTGCCCATTATTGCAGAGCATCTTCTTTTGTCTCTCGTATTTCCTGTCTTGAAAAAAAAAAAAAAAAAAAAATGCCGGCCGTGCCTGCCAACCTGCCGGACCTCGTCCGCGCCGCGTTTGTCCGCGCCCGCGCCGCCGGCGACCTCACCTTTTTCCCGACCCAAGTCGCCCTCCTGCGGGTGCAGGGCGTGCCAGTAGGTCATCACACGGCATACACATGACACAATGACGGCAAAACTGACCCGACACAGTTCCAGCTGCGCTTTGCGCCGGCGCTGGCCAAGAAGCCCAAGGCAGAGAGCCAGAGAGAGGACACCAAAGACGACGAGGGCCACGCCGGCGGGAGCGACAAGAAACCGTATGACCCGTTCGAGGCGCCGCCGCCGGGCCTCGTTGTGTGCCCCGCGGTCAACGGCGGCACCCATCGCCTCGTGCTCAACAAGTTTGCCGTCAGCCAGGACCACGCCATCCTGGCGACGACCGCCTGGCGGCCCCAGAGCCACCTGCTGGCGCCGGCGGACTTGGCGGCGGCGTACGCGTGCATTGCGGCGTACGCGGCCCGCGGCGAGGCGCTGTACGTCTTCTACAACAGCGGCCGGCACTCGGGCGCCAGCCAGCCGCACCGGCATCTGCAGCTGCTGCCTGTGGCGCCGATGCGCGCGGGTCTGGCGGCCGACGCCGTGGACGAGTGGCAGGTGCTGGCGGACAAGCTGCTCGACGACCACGCGGCCGTACCGTTCTATGTCGCGGCCGCACGGATACGAGGCGACGACGGCGACGACGGCGGCGACGGCGACAACGGCCGGGCCCCCTCGGCCGAGCAGCTGCACGCCACCTACCTCGACCTGTACCGGCAAGCACGCGCCGCGGCGCACGGCACGGCGGCTGTCGTCCCTGGTGCGAGCGGCGCCGACGTCGACGCCGCCGCCGAAGAAGCGGGCGCGGTGCCCGCCTCCATCAGCTACAACCTCGCGCTCACGCACCGCACCATGGCGCTCCTGCCGCGCACGGCCGAGGGCGGCGCCGACAGGCAGTACCACCTTTCGTTGAACGGGACGGTGCTGGCGGGCACGGCGCTGGTCAAGAACGAGGCCGAGTGGGACGCGCTGCGCAGCGATCCGGGCCGGCTGGGCGGCGTGTTGGCGCAGATTGGTGTGTCGCCGACAGAGGCAAAGGCAGGGACAGTCGTGCGGGAACGGCCATCGCCGTCGGCCTTGTGACGTGACAACAACAGGACCAAAATGGACCGTCGGCCTTGTGACGTGTGAGCAGTGAGGGGCCCGCTCCAGTGTTTATTGAGCCCTTTCATGTAGTCATGTAGAATGTTCTCGTGCAGAGTGGTTCATGCGTATTGACAAGAAAAATGTAATGAGAAACTAAATAACTTGGCCATATGTCGCCCGTGTCCCTCTTCTTCCTAGGGCCCAAGTTGCTATGAGCTATGCTAATATGACAGCTGAAATGCATTTCAGCCGTAGTGTCTGTAATATGCTATGTATGTATCTACCTTACAACATCGAATAAAGAAAGCAATCAAAACCAATATCCTTCGCCCAACCATGTACCATTTGTCTTGTCTCTCTGAAATGCCCAAATCTGCGTCTGTGTAAAATGCCTTGTCGTCGTGCCGATGCTGTTCATGTGTTCCTAATGGTCGCTGTACCAAATGTGGTTTGCTGTTGAATCGTGCCAAATCTCAAGGATATGTTGATCTGGACGATCTCGGCGTAATGCGAGAATCGCTAAATAAGATGTCGGAAATCAAAACGATTGAAATTGTTTTTTTTTTCTTTTTTCTTTTTTGTTCCTCGTACAATCAAATTAAGAAAATGGAAATACAAAACCTGTGAGGCGGCAGTGAAAAGGGGCAGACACATTGACATTGGTGGACGGGCTGTGCATCGGCTAGCAGCCGTCCGTTGAACGCCGTGCTACCGTGTTACCGTATTGATGTGGTCGGCCATGTCCGTTTATTGCTCGTCGACAATGTCCTCCGTGCTGGGCTGCTGTACACGTTCCTTGTTGGCCTTGGCTTGCTCAAGCAGAAGGAGGCATCGTTTCTTCAAAGTACAATAGCCGTAGCTGTATGTCCCTCGTTCGACCATCTGGGCCTGAACAACCTTCCACTTGATTTTGGCGTCCTCGATGGGCCGGTTCTGAGCGTCGGCCTGTTCGCCAGCGAACTGCAAGACCAGTGCGTCCGCCAGTGCGTCCCATTTCGGCTTGCGCACGCGCATCTCGGGAGGCTTGGTCATGGTGCGGTAGCGACCGCGGAGGGTGGACTCGTTGATACTAAACTCGCCGCTCTTTTGGATCTTGGAAAAGGTCCAGCCCGCCTCGCGATGCTTTTGCATCATGTATTGGTCTTCCTGCTGCCGGCGGGGATCGCCCTGGCGGCTGGCGTCGCGACTGCTGGTTTTCTGCGGCGGTCCACTCCTGTTCCGGTGGCCGCCGCCACGATTGCGGCCGTTGCGGCAAAGCGGAGCAGGGTTGTTCTCAGGAGGCGTCATGGCAGTTTCTCCGGTAACCGTATTTGCAGTTGAACTCGGGTACGCGGTGGCCCTGGCTGACGTGGTCGAGCCGTTTGTTTCTGTGGACATCATGGGCAGATGCTGGCCAGCAGTGAATGCAAGGCTGTTGCCGGCGACATTGGGCGCATTGCCGTGGTCGTTGCTGTAGTCGTGCATGATGCCATTGTGGCTGCCTGCAAACGAACTCGGATGCAGATGCGGTGGGAGAGGGGGGTTGGGATAGTGGAATTGACTCTGAGCGTGGGCCTGATCGTGTGTGTTGGCATTGTGGGCTTGATGAACGGGCATCATGGGACCAAGTCCTGGGTAGAAGAACGGGTCGGCAGTGGGTACGTGGACGGCACGGCCCAGTGGACCAAATTGGTCCAGATGCGGTTGAAGATGGGGATAAAGATGTTGAGGTAGATTCGCTTGGGCCGCTTGGATGAACTCGATGTTCTGGAGAGGGACATGGGGCTCAAGGGGGCCGTGGACACCGTGAGCATGCTCAAACTGCTGGCTATCGATGGCCGGTTCCATGTTAAGATCAGGCGAGTCAGCATGGACGTGGAGGTCTTTGGGGGATACCGTAGTGCTCGCTGGGGCTAGCACCTCGACGTGCTCGTGAATGGGAGTCGAGACTGTGAGGTTCCGGCCGGCGGCGTTGGATACGCTGTCAACACTTGCCGTGGTGGTGAGGCCCAGCGTGCTGTCCTCGGTGTGGCTCAGAGGCAGATTCTCTGCGGCGCTGCCCTGCTCAGTGGCTTGCTCGGCCGGCGGCGTGGACGACCTGGCCGGTGGAAACTGGAGATACTCGCTAATGTCGAAGTGGTCGGCGTCGACGTCGGGCTCCACGGAGACATCTGCCAAGCGGGAGGCTGTGTCCCTGTCCTCGGAGGCAGTGTTCACAGACCCAGCGGCCATCTTCGGCCTCTTGATTACCGGCTCGGCAGGAGCTGTGTCCTCGGTGTTATCTCCAGGATGCGACCGTTTGTGGGTCTGATAGGGCAAGGGCTCGGCGCTCTCCAGATGGAGCGGGTCAGGCAACAAAGCGCGAGGAAGACTGAGAGGTGCGTACAGCGACGGGTGCAGCTCGTGGTCGTGATCGTGATTGTATTCGTGATGCACAGACGACTGGGCGGAAAGACAAGAAGCCATGGGCTGGCTGCGCATGCCTTGCCACTCTTGGCTTCCTTGGTGCTCCATCGGGTACGCAGAGTGAAGGATGGGGGACGGCTGCATGGGCACCGTGGACAGCTGATGATGAGAGGCGCGGCGAGCCATGCTGGGGCCCTGCCGGGCGGTTTGCTTGTCGACGGCGTGGTTGACAGACGTGTGGCAAGGATCACTGCGAGCTGGGGCATTGGTGATATTGTGCTGCTGGCTGGCAGAATGAACGGGTTCAGACTGCGCCATGTAGCCAGTGGTGGCCAGAGAGAGGGCGTTGTTGACAGGGAATGGATGCTGTCCGTTATATGCACCTGGAAAGCCATATATATGGGGCGTCTGTTCGTTTGCAAGAAGGAGAGCGTTTGTTAGTCTGATGATTCTTTGGCAACGATGTGGAGACTGGCCATTGATAGAAGCAGACGTGTAAGTCTGACACGGGTGGAAAGATTGGGAGCATGGGACGTGGGACGACAGAAAGAAAAAGAAGAGAGAAAGAAGGAAAGCAAAGGGAGAGGTCGTACCATAGGATGGACGGCGCCGGAGAGGCCAGACATGTATGAAGCAGCCGAAGCTGCACTTGCTGTGCGCATCATGGAGATGCCCGAGCCAGACGAAGAGAGGCCAGCAGCCATGAAAGGTGGCGTGTGGAATTGGTTGTATAGTTCCATCCCAAAGCCATTCCATGGCACTGGAGCAGTGTGAACATTCAGGTTCGCGTTGGGCATGACGTGGGAATGTTCAACAGGACCACAAGGCAGACCAGGCAGCGTTTCAACGCCGACCTCGTATGCGCCGCCATCCTGCATTTCTTGTAGATACATGGAGTTCCCCTCGTCACCGCCAAAGAAGCTGGTGTTCGTTGAGGCGGTCTCGTGAAAGTGCGGCTGCTGCTGCTGGACGGATTGGTGAACGGCCTGTACATACTGCACGTCCATGTTGACGTCCAAGCCGGCGTTCATGTTGTTCATGCGGGCCTGCTGGGTGTCTGAGACATCCGGTTCCTTTGTTAGCTGTTGAGGCCCAATTTGTGTTGCCTCAAACGTATTGTCAAAGGACTTGCGGGAGGATGGATCAACATGGATCAACATGGATCGATCTGGGACGGTGTGGTGGAGAAACGTCTTGTCTCAGGGACACGACGGCAGACCGTTCAATGTTCAAAAGGGCGGCGGAGAAGGACGGAAAACACGTACCAGGAGTGGAAGACAGCTCCATCGACCGACCGGACGAAGGCGATGGAGGAAGAGAAATCGTCCTGTTCGGACTCTGCGGATCGTGCGTTAACATGTTGAGTGGGACAAGACGTTGGCAATGTAGAGAGAGGTCTAGAAAAGAGGGAAGAAAACGGCAGGACGATGGCAACCGGTAGGGACAATGTTCAAGCCGAAAGGATGAAGCTTTGTCAAGACCTGTGACAACAGCGTATTCTAGTAATGATGTGGAAAGATATAAATACGATGATTGTAATGATGTGGAGCGTGACGGGGAGCGTGACGGGGAGCGTGACGGGGAGCAGGAAGTGCAGTTGACAGAGATGGGAGCAGGCTGAGGTTGGAAAATCAGAATTCTCGACAAAATCGAATGACGAGAAAGGAGAGAAAAGTTGAGAAAGGTGAGAGGGAGAAAAGGCCAAAAAGGCCAAATATATGGAAAGCAGGAGAAGGCGGACAACCAGCGAGAAATCGCCAGATGAGGAAGGAACCCAAAGAGGCAAGAGGCAGCAACGTTTTTTGGTCTTTTGGTCTTTTGGTCTCCAGGGAGCATGGGCGTTGAGGGACAGATGAGGAAGGAGCGCATGGCAGCCGGGGAGGACGAAGAAATCGGGGCTAGAAAAACAATAATGAAATACAAAATAAAAACAAAGGAGAGGAACATACGTGCTCTTCCAAGTGGGCCATGTCGTGGCGCCCAACACGGCCCCGGACATGGACGCTCTCGTCGAGCCACTGCGCAAAGCGGCTGCTGTTGGCCAGCGTGCCGTACGTGGTGGCTCCGGTGGCCTGGGAGTTGTTGTCGTCTTCGCTGTCCACCAGCGGCAGCAGACAAAGGCAGTGGTGTCCGTGATGGGCGGACGGAGGCATGGCAGAGGACGGCGACATCGTATGGTGGTCACCCTGGCGAGGCGGCGAGAGACGTGACGCAACGGATGGGCAGCTCGTCTGCGTTGGGCGGGTGCGAGTCACCTGGTGATGCTGCGGCGGCGGCTGCAGTGTATAGACAGGACGGCAAGGGGCCGGTGGTGCGGGCAGACCAGCCGGCCGTGCAGCACACGAGAACGACCTCGACGACGACACTGGCTGCGTAGAATGGGAACAGGACAGAGAATGGACCATCTCGTCGCCAGAGACGTGGGCTGGCGGAAGGGCAGCAGAATCGCCGTGGCGTGGCAAAACTGATGTGTGACCAACAGCGCGGTGAACAGCACGCGGGTGAACAACAGAAGTGTCTGTTTCTTTGTGGCACTTTTGTTCCTGTTTCTTCTGCTGCTCCAGCTCCAGCTCCAGCTCTTTCTCTTGTTCTTGGTGGAAACGGCGATGATGCATCACCACATGGTCACGATGGGGCTGTCCACCATGCGACTGATGCTGTTGGACTGGCATCGGGCGCGGATCGCAGTGGCAGAAAGCCTCTCCGCGGATACGACAGTACTGGGACTGCATATTGGCAGCAAGAGACGAATGTTCAGGACCTGGGGAGAGGATGGTGAACTCTGTGCAGGCTTCACTGAGAGGTACCTTTGTCTCCACTGTAAAATGGCGGTAGCCCAAGTACTGTTATGACTCGCGGCGTTTCTGTGCGTGGTTGTTGTGTTGCACGTACAGCTTGGGAAGGAGCGATGCGGGTTTTCGCTGTTGCCCAGTTAGTATATGGAAGGCACACAGGTTGTTTCTCTGTTTATCTACTTGTGCACGCGCAGGGAAAGGACGACCCAGACACACAATTCGACAACACTGGAGAGCCATGCACATACAATTGAAGAGTTCACCGCTTGTTGGGTGAACAACGCTGGGCGTCAAAGACGTGGAATGCCGTGTCGGTGCGATGAATGTCTATGGGGTGACTGCCAGAGCGGCCGCAGTTAGCAAGTAAGTTCGTCTGTGTGTCATGGAGTCGGTGAAGGAGGGACAGCAAAACTGGACACAGAATATTAAACATTGGTTGAGCACAAGTTGGCGTACCATAAACTGCAGATCTCACGATGGGGAGGTTCTTGCACAGAAGGCTGACAGTGTATCTCCAAACTCTGGTTGCCTCTGTGCGGGTGCCCGTGGTTCAACAAAGAGAAGGCAAGAAGACGCTGGCAGTCACGAAAGAGGACAGGGCTTGGACGATGTAAGAGACGGTGAAGCGATACGATAGAATTGTGCTAACAAAGTGTGATAGACAGTAACTGGACGGGATCTGGGACGACGAGAAGTTACAGTGTCGACGATTTTGCACGTAAAACAGACAATAGGAGACGAACAATAAGGGCAGATGAACAAAGAGAATATGACAAGAATACGACGAGACTTTCGACAAAGGAGAGGGATGATACGTGAAGCGCAAAGGAACGTAAACAATGAGAAGACACAAGGGCAAAGAAAAGTTCGAAACGAATGAGGTAGGTGAAGGAGGTTGGCGAATGTGCATTGTTCGTGAACAAGATGGACAGAGGATGCCTTGCTCCTTTATAGAATGGAATACAGCGGATCCAGTCGACATTGTCTTTCGCCACGGACACAGACTGAACAGGACAGAGGCAGGGTCAGAGGCAGGGACAGAGGCAGAGACTGATCAGACACGACCCTCCGTCTCGCCTTCTCTCGTCAACCACAAGTGCCTTCAGAAGGACGCCTCTGTCGGCATCCTGACTCTGTGATTGGCTCGTAATATATCTCATTCTGCTGTTTCGGCCTCTTGTTGCTTCCTCTTGCTTTCCCTTGCTGTACCTTGCTTTTCCTTCCCAATCTGGCCCCGTCTGGCCCCGTCTGGACTGGTCCTCCCGGCTAAGGGCGTGACTCCGGTCGCCGCGTCTGTGTGCAACTCTTCGTATTGTCGTTGGGGCAGAGAGCAGACGCAGAAAGAACTGCACAGGAAAATGTGACAGAAAGAGAGACGACGGAGAGAGGACGAGTCGTCAACGGCAAGTGGAGTCAGCCTGTTCTGTGGAAGATGCACAGTAGCACGAATTATGGCAGGAGTTGCAGGAGAGGCAGGAGAGGCAGGAGAGCAGACGAGAGCAAGGACATAAGTGTGCGAGGTGAGGAGGGAATCGACGGGGAAATGCTGGAGAAGGGAAGGGGAAAGGGGAAAGGGGAAAGGGGAATCGAGGAGTCTGGGAGACTGGGAGAGGAGGGACTGGGAGAGGAGGGACTGGGAGAGGAGGGACTGGGAGACTGGACGGAGAGGGCAACGGCAAAGATCCGTCAGACACAGACGAGAGACAGCAGAACATGACAGATCAAAGTGACACGCAGAGGAGGCAGAGACAAACAGAAGCAGAAGCCGCTGCTGTGGACAACTGCCAGCGTTTTGGACCATTGTGGGCTGCAGTGGATGTGCTGAAAGACGTGCAGTGGGCTTTCCGTCCTTGCCGTCGGGAGGCAACGAAAGTGGAAGCGATGGCTGCTGGGTTCTCGACCAAGAGATGGGCACAAATGTGAGGAGTCGCTGGGGACGGTGAACAATGGTAAAGTGATCACACGACGCCATGGACAAGAAAGGGTGGACCGTGGAACAGTAGCAGCAGAATACCATGGGCGTGAGTGGTGGGCGATGTGGAGGCGAATGGACATGAGAACATGTTCTGGGTCCACGTTCTCCAGGGGCTTTGTTGTCGACTGCTCTCGACGTTCTCGACGACGGCCGGAACGATACAAAGACAGCAAAAAGAAAACAAAAGAATGTGACAACTGACACAGGCAACGCAAACGTGCCAGACAACAAGAGACAAAGACCAACGACGACCGCAAGCCTACGGCACTCGTCTCTGCCAGGCTCCTGTCCGGGTTCAGCCAAATTATGTGCCGTCTGTTCCGCGGGACGGGCGAGACGAGGGATGGCCAGACGAAGGATGGCGAGAATGGACACAACGGCACCGCATATCACATTTCAGGGAGCGCTCGAGGAAAAGTGAGAATACAAAATAGAGACAGGTCAGTCGAGAAGCGAGACATTTGTTTGCAGCCGGCCTCGAGTCCAAACGTCGTTGCTGCGAGGGGAGAATAAACACAGAAAACAGTGGGAGTACATGAGTATGGGATACTTTTAAAGAGCGAATGCACAGCAAAACAGCATAAAAACAACACGATGCACAATGACAATACACACTACACAATACACACTACACAATACACACTACACAATACACACTACGCAATACACAGTCCACCACAAAGGACCCAGCCAGACAAAGGTGCGGCACATCGCGGACCACGAACGCGAAAAGGCTGGACCGATGCTTGTCTCCGCACGCTCTACGCTGTCGCCCACGCTTTCGTGCGTCTTGGTTCGGGCAGGCAGAGCAAGGGGACAGTGGCAATCGATGGATTCTACAGATGCGATTTGACGTGGAGCGTGCAAGTACGTGCTGTGTGTGCGTACAGTATATAAGAGGAGTGTGCAGTGCAGCGTATAAGTGCAGCGCGCCATTGGGTCTAGAAGAGTGCAGTTTGACGTGCATATCTGCATCCTGTGCGCCGTACTCCCTTTGCAGATATGCATATGCAAAGCATGTCACACAGACGACGAGCACGACAGACACCCCTGGCAAACGTACCACAGCACGGCGCAGGCTCTGCAGACTGTCTGGCCGCCGTGCCCAGCAGGTGACAGCGGGCAGGCACATCTGTTATCGGAAAGGGGACGATTCTGAGCAGGAGTGTGAGAGGTATGGAGGTGCCACGGAGCAGGGATGAATTATGACAGAAATATGACAGAAACATGACAGGAATATGACAGGAATATGACAGAATGGGACTCACGGGAGCCGACGGCCCTGTTATGATACGTCAATTTTGCGAATGTGCGAATGTGCGTCTGTTGTCTGTTGCCTGCAGTCTGTGGTCCATCGTCGGCTGTCTCTTGTCTGTTTGCACGGTCATGCGGGCAGGCAAAAGGCAAGAAGAAGAAGGAAAAGACAAGGAAGGAAATAAAAGAAAATGACCGCCGACCTATTTAGGGGCAGAGATCCCGAGGAACGGTCCGTGGATGCAATGCAAAGGAGGGGTGTGCCGATAAGGGCCAGAGTGGGTGGATGCGCAGCAAAAACGTCGACGATGGAGAGAACGAGCCAAAGACGGGCCAAAAGTCACCAAAAGGCCCCTATGACAAGACGCAGTTCTGCGTGACAAAGTCTGGACCGCGCGTGACAGCAGCGATCGGCAGGCAATACTGTACTGGCCCTGCGACTATACCGCTTCTCGTTCCATGGCCCCTTTGTGTCGTTGACCGTCTTTTCCACTGTTGCATCGGAGCATGCGTTCTTTGTCTTGTTCCCTGTCGACTTTGTCTTTCCGTAAACGATGAAAATGGCTCTCGTCGTCTCGTTCCATTGGCATTCGTTCCGTTGTGGTGGCCTGCATCAGCAGAGGCGTTTTGTGCCGTCAGCTTGTAAACTGGCCAACTTGCATCTCGTCTCTGTCCTCGTCATCCCTGTGCATCCCGGCCCTGTTCCTACCCAAGTAGCGGTCGGGGCCGCAATTGACGTTGCAGCAAGCCGCGTCTCTGCGGTGGAGGGCACGGAGGGCACACGCCAGAACGGCCCCAAAGTCGAAAAACCGACGAAAAGCACACCAAATCCTACTATAGACAGGCCCTGGCCCGCATATACCGTTGCACGTGGAGTCAAAATGGGTTCTTTCCAGGTTGCTGGGAGCCTTAACAAGCTGTCTTATTGCGCCGGAGAACGTCCAGTGCTCCCCATCGTCTACCCAAGTCCTTGGTTCAACAATCGTCGGTAGGATTGGGGTTCGGGCAGCGAGAACAGCGCAACAGCAGCGGTGGAAATGGGGTGGATGGATGGGCGGGCGGGTAGCCAAGATGGCCATGCCACTGGGAATGGGCGAGATGGCGATGAAGATGTGATGAAGATGCGATGAAGATGCGACGAAGATGAGCAAAGCAACGGTGGCACTGGGCAATGGGCAATGTGGACGTGCGGACGTGGACGTGCGGACGTGGACAATGAGGACAGGACAATGACAATGAAGACAATGACGGCCCACGTCAGTGGACAAGACGACACAGCGTTGCATCCCACGACGAATGCGCCATACGAGTTCGGTTCGTTTGCAGCAGACGACCAACACTCGACGCCCGCCACGTCCAAGGGCCTCTGCTTCTGGGCACACCCTTTTCTTGTCCTCGACGTTCTTGGCAGTCTCTTTGTTCGTCCTCGTCGTTCGCCGTCCAGCACGGGAACTGCTTGCTTTGATGTGTTGTCCGTCCACTGCCCATTGCAACATCGGAAATGCTCCCGCGGCTCCAATAGGCCAGCCGGCCCCTGCGACTTTCTTCAGATGTGATGTATTGATGGACGACAGACAGACAGACAGGCAATGAGGAAAAGAGGAAAAAGCGACGACGATCACCGACTGTTCTGCGCCTGCATCGTTGCAACGGTAGAAAAAAGCGGTGGACCATGACATGCATGCCGAGGATGGCCGGCAGCGACAGTGGCGAGCACGACAAAGACGAGAGTGCCGAGAGACGACCACGAGCAGCCTGGCGGGCACGAGAGGTCGGAAGGAGGAGTGCCCAAACTGGACGGAGAAACGACGGACGCCAGGACGAGGCTCCAACGCCAAAGCCGCCAAGTATACAAATATAGTCAATTCGCGCTGCAGAAGCAGAAACAATATCGTCATTATGACCAGCCTGCTTCATAAGTGTCCCCTGCTGGCCTGGGGCCCTGCTCGACTCTGGACAGCCGGACCCCCTGCTGCGTCCCCCCCTGCTCGATTCTTTGACAGCGCATCGCCCTTTACCCTTCTGGGCCCTCCCTCGCTTGTTGATAGTCGCCGACCTGGAGCATGCATGTCATTTGTCTCGTTGCCGTTGCTTGCTCTGCGACCATTTTTGGCATTTTGACGTTTGACCCCCACACACTAATGCTTCTGGTCAATCGTACCGCGCACTAACGCTTTAGTGGCCGTTGAAAAGAAGAAGAAAAAAAAGGAAAGAAAAAACAAACTGATGACGGCAGTTTGGCTGTACGATGCACGACGCTCGACGCTCGACGCTCGACGGACGACGTACGACATGGTCTTGTTGGGCATGGAGCCAGCGTGCCTTTTGACCGTCAGTGGCCGGCCGGAGTACGGAGTGCGACTTTCCACGTATGACAACGAGGAGTCCAAGCGGAGGATTAAGCATATTTTCAAGACGGCCACACTGGGACACAGCAATACGGAGTAGACGTCCTCATCTTGCTTTGAGGGATACCCGCTCAGGCTCGCACAACGCCTTGTCCTCGGACCATTGACTTTGTCTAACGGCACACCCGCGGTGTGCACGAAACGTTGTCTTGCCTTTCTTGTCAGCGCGTCCCCTCCATGTCGCCATGTCGTATCACGCTGAAGCACAGATTCATACTCCCAACCCATTTGCGTTCTTGCACATGCGGTGGGTGGGTTAGCATAGTATAGGTGGTTTGTCCGGGATGGTCTTTGACTGCCGCGGGCACGAGGGTGTGATGCTCAACTAACATTTGTAGAAAAGAAAGAAAGAAACATGACAAAAAGGACAAAAAAAATAGAAAGAAGAAAGAAAATAGAAAGAAGAAAGAAAATAGAAAGAAAACACAACGCAGCGGCCGCAGACACCTCTCTGGGCCCTGCCCCATGGCCATCCTGGCTCCCCGTGGGTGGGTACCTGGACTCTTGTGCCTGTGTCCCCGTGTCTTTCAAGGCCCCTCTGTGTCGGGCTCTGTGTTGCCGTCTTCGACACCTCGTCCTCCTGTCCTCTTGTCAGTTGTCATATGATGTGGTCCGTGTTCTGCTGGCAGCACAGATACACAAACAAAGACATAAAGACACAAATACACAAGTACACAAACAGAAAAGAAGAGATACGGGCGTCTCGCGTTGTGTTTGGCCAGACAGAGGACAAGACGAAAACGCCACGACGCAGTTGTTGCGTTTGACACCCGTGGACGACTGTCTGCTGACACAGACACGGATGCATCATGGCTTCTGCCCTCCCTCGTTCCTTGTCCTCTCTGCACATTCCGAGAAAAGCGAAAAGCGATATCTGATACCGAGAGAGTGGGAGAGTGGTCAAGCATGGAAGGGAGACGGGAAAGAGGAAGGAGACGTGGTGGTGCCCGCTGTGCCGACTGAGCCGAATGTTCTAAAACAGGCATGTTGGGACGATATTCAACAGTTTCTTTGACAGATGCATGTTCATCCAGATGCTTTGAAAGCCTAGTCGTCAGGCGTATAACCACAATGGACTTGTTCATTGCAGAAGCCAATGACAAGCAAAACGATCCATCTTTTACAGACTTGGCCATTGTCGTCCGAGACTCTACATCTGCCGTAGAGACCAACAGTGGAGGAATGGTCTTGGTTCCCGTGTCGGCTTGGTCTGTCACATTTCAGATGCGCGCACGTCGCTGCTCGTGGCTTCCGTTCCGTCATTCTATTGCACGGCCGCGGTCCCATTCGACGCCGTCCCTGGCTGCGACCCGATGGTCCAAATCTATTTTCGGGATAGATTTCACACAGATGTCTCTGACGGCCTCCTTTTCCTGTTTCTGCTTTCAACCGCCCGGCTTTCTTTCTTCTTCTCCTATTCCTCCACCCATTGACCATTGACCATCGACCATTGACCATCGACGCCTTGACTCTTGTCTCGTATACTTTTCAGCTTCACAGACTGGACTGTTCTTTGAGCCCACGATCTCCTCCGCTGTGCCTCATGCTGTGCATTGCTGCCGTGCTCTCTACAAGAGCCTGTCTCGGGCATTCGCATTCGACCAGTGTGCAGGACCCAGGGGTTTGCGTTCATGCACATGGCTTTTTACATTGTGCAGCGTGCAACGGATCCTGCCTGACAGCATTCTTCTGTTGCACTTCGACTCAATAGCCCTAAAAGCACATACAGTGTTCATTTTGAAATACTGGAATAACACTGTAATGGCACTGTGTCCTAATCACGTGTACACGATGCAATGGTAACAAATCTGCAAATTGGGAGCGTCTCTGCTTTCTCTCACCTTTGCCTCCAGCATACTCCATTCAGGATGCCGCTCTTCTCCAGCCCTGTTGACCTGAGCGACTGTGGAGCAGTGGCCCATGGTCATCAACTGCAGCTCACTGGCGCATGAGATGTCTCCACAATGCCGTGGATCAATTTAGTACGCAGACTGCCGCCCCTGTTCGATCTTCCATCTGCGTCTCCATCTATGTCTCCATCTCTCTCGCCCGCCTCTCCAGACCGAACTCGGCCACTGCTGGAGGCCGGAGTACGACTGGGCCGAACGGAATTCTAGCAAGGCCGCTGCGGCGCGTGGAAGATCTTGCCGGTCTTCTTCGAGCACTTGTCTGAGCGCGGGAAAATCAACTTGGCCGTCGACATCACCAGCTGCCAGGATGACGAGCAGCTGGTCGCTTTAGCGAGCCATCTTGTCAATGCGCTGCTCAAGCCGTGTATGTTTCGTGTTTTCTGTTTTCTTATTCTTGCCCCTCTGCCCATTTCATACTGACAAACTCTGGCCAGTTGCCCTCGCGTCGGACACGCACCTCCGCCATGGAGCACGCCTCCCGGCCAAGACGCCGCAGATGCCATTGACCTGGCAATGTCCAGCATCGAGTTGTCTGCGCGACGCGAGCAGACGAGGCTGCGCAAGGACTGCCTCACCAGACGGCTACCGGTGCGTCTACACTGGAGTGTGGGCTACGTACAAATACGACGAATTCGAACGAGGGTCGGTGACGCCGCCGGTCGACGTTGACACGCAGCATTGCGGCCAGCTGGGCTGTGCCCACATCATACCGTTTGCGCTCGGTTCTTTACACGAGAACGACGCGGTGCAAACCCGGAACAATGCGATCCTCTGGTCCTGTATACACCGGTACTTCCCCGACGCAAAGGGAAAGATTGATGCGGCCAGCATCCACCAACGCAGCTACGCCATTTGCTTGGAGCATGCTCTACACAGCTACTTTGGTATCTACCGAGTCGGACTTGACAGGCAAGACCAAGACGAGCAGCCGGACAAGCAGTCGGACGAGCAGCAGGACCAGCGCCCGGACCAGCAGCAGGACGAGCAGCCGGACCAGCAGCAGGACCAGTACAAAAGCATCAAGCTCGTCAACCAGGCTATTTTCTTTCCCTTCCAAAACCACTTCGTCGCTGGTTGAGTCTACAGTGCCGACACGACCATTCCATTGCCCGACCCGACTTCTTGCAGGTGCATCTGGCCGTTGGGCAGATACTCGACGTGAGTGGATTTGGTCGAACCATCTTCTGCGCACTGGACGACGCCAACTTGGCTCTCGACTGCCCGGCCTCCGTCCCAACGGCAACACGGACGCAAACGGCTTGCTGTCACGGCTCTTGTTAGTCAATGTTCATGCAGGGTGCGAAGAAGGAGGCTGTTAAAGTAGGGGACGACGTTGTTTGTTTTGTTTTACATTGTTTCGGTTTGATACCCAGGGATATACTCGAGGCGTTGGAGGGGACAAAGACAGATGCTATGTCTCTGCATAGAATAGACCACAAGAATACCACGACCCGAATTACCAGTCATCGTCATCGTCGTTCCGTTTGCCTGTCCACGCCGTGCTGTGGTAAAGAGTACGCGTAAACTCAAACCGCAAACCAACGACTGTATACCGTCTGTACAAGTACGCCGTTCTCCATAACCTGACAAAAGCAATGCACCGCTTGCCGTCTCCTTACAGCACCAGCCAACTTCACGCCTTTCCCGTTACTCTTCACCTAATTGAGATTCTTGCTCACAACCTTTATCTTGTAAGTGCAACGAATCAGAAGGCGCAATTGTATTGGCCAAGGTGCAGATATCGAAACGCAAGAAGAAGAAATAAATCCAGAAAAGCACAGAGCACAAAGAAAGCCGACGGCTGTTTATTCGTCATCTTCCAACGATTCTATTCGACAAGTTGAGGCTCTGCTCTCGCAGCTGGAATTGCCTTTTTCCTGCTCTGTGCTCACAGCTGTCCACGTTGCACGTTTCTGCCCCTTACCAGCTGGCTGCCAGGATCACATTGAATTTCCACAGCCAAGACCCGGCGCCTGCGATGATTGGACGCGGCCGTCAAAGCGTCGTCTGTTCTGGGCCCCAAAATACATCCTATTCCGTCTGCACTGCATTTCAGCTCCTTGTCTGCCAAAGGGGGCATAAGAGTCGAATTAGCTCCCAACGCCACCAACGCGGCCAGGCGCCATGTCCTGCGTGTTTTATTGCTTTGGCGCCAGGGGAGCACAGAGCATGAACTTTTGTAACCTCTGGCAAGGCCGCGATGTTGCCCCTTTTGAGAAGCCGTTGCATCCATGGTGAGCTCAGCCCTGCCAAATTGGCTTCCTGTGGCGTCAACTTTACTTCACCAAAAACAAATACGACATGCAAGAGACGACGACACGACGACACAGACATACGAGCACCCCCGTATTCTGTACAGTCAATATTTGCTGCCGGGGCCGTCAGCACCATTGCCGATATTGGCACAAAATAGGAAGTATTATGTTGAGCCCAGACTATTGACTGCCCGCATTGGGACCATTTTGGAACCATTGTGCAAATTGCCCGCGCCCAAAATACCGCGCAGAAAAACGCCACAGCACAGCACGCCGCCGCGTGTCAGGCTCCGGCTCATTACGGCGTGCGTGTTCCCGTCTGTCACAGCGAGCTGTGGGCTGCAGAAACGAGGCTTGCCTTGCCTCGTTGCCAATATCAATATGCCCCTTTTGTCATGGTCTCTGGTAGATGGTCGCAGATGGCCGGGTAGGAGATCTACCAAGACGTGAGTCTTGTATAATGTCTCTCCTTTTCGCCAGCCCGTCCCCCCGTCTCGGCCCAAACTACAAAAGCCGTGACGACCCCTTTCCTCTCCGGCACAGCGTCTCCTCTTTGCTCGCCCCTCTCGCCACCCTCGTCGTTCGTTACTTTGCCCTCTCCAACACGTTCTTCTCCTTCTGCATCTCACCAACATGAAGGCCTCTCTCGTCCTCACCGTCGGCCTGACCTGGGCCGGCGCCGCCGTCGGCTCCGTCTGCAAGCCCAAACCGTCGTCGTCTTCGGCGGGCCCGTCCTCGGTTGGCCCATCCTCGGTTGGCTCGTCGTCTTCCGTTGGCCCGTCGGTTGGCCCGTCTTCCGTTGGCTCGTCGTCTTCGGTTGGCCCGTCGGTTGGCCCGTCTTCCGTTGGCTCGTCGTCTTCGGTTGCCCCGTCTTCGGTCGGCTCATCTTCTTCGGTTGTGTCCTCGCCGTCCAGCAGTGCCGTGCCGTCGTCGTCTGCCTCGTCGTCCGTGGCTCCGTCAGTCTCGTCTTCGGCCGTGTCGTCCAGCGTCGCCTCTTCCAGTGTTGCGTCGTCCAGTGTTGCGTCGTCCAGTGTTGCGTCGTCCAGTGTTGCGTCGTCCAGTGTCGCGTCTTCCTCGGTCGCTTCCTCCAGCGTCGCGTCTTCCTCGGTCGCGTCTTCCTCGGTCGCGTCTTCCTCGGTTGCATCGTCCAGCGTCGCTTCTTCCTCGGTCGCTTCCTCGAGCGTAGCGTCGTCCAGCGTTGCGTCGTCTTCGGCCTCGTCGTCAGTCGCATCGTCCTCGGCCGCATCGTCAAGTGTTGCGTCCTCCAGCGTCGCCTCTTCCAGCGCCTCTTCTTCGGTAGCATCCTCTTCGGTCGCATCCTCTTCGGTCGCATCCTCTTCGGTCGCATCCTCGTCGGTCGCATCCTCCAGCGTTGCGTCGTCCTCCAGCGTTGCGTCGTCCTCCAGCGCTGCGTCGTCCTCCAGCATCGCACCGAGCGTGTCCTCGTCTGTCTCGTCGAGTGCCTCCTCGAGTGCTTCGCCCTCTGTGTCGCCCTCTGCTTCGTCTTCCGTCTCCTCGTCGGCATCGTCCTCCTCTGCGCCCTCGTCGTCGTCGTCCCCCGCGCCGTCGTCCTCGCCCGTGCCGTCGTCCAGCGTCGCGCCGTCCGTGTCTTCGTCCTCCAGCGCGGCGCCCTCGCACAGCCCGTCGTCGACGTGCACGGGCAACATCGTCCGGGACCCCAGCTTTGCCGACCCGTTCCTGCTGCCCAACTGGGGCAGCCTTGGCTTGTATGCGGCCTCCATCGCCCGCAACTGCCACGGCAACGGCGTCAGCTGCGTCCATCTCCACGCGCTGGGCGTCGGCTCGTCGTTTGTCACGCAGACGACGGGCACGACGAACCACGCCACGTACCAGGTGACGTTTGAGTACCGGGTCCTGGGCCAGAGCGTGGGCTCTACGATTTCGGTGAGCCGCGGCGCCACGGTCATCGAGACGATCCCGCTCGCCGGCACCCCGGCGAATGTGTGGACGACCTCGCCGCCCGTGCAGTTCACGGCGAACGGGGCGCTGACGCTGCTGTCGTTTGGCGCCAACGCGGTGCGGAACGGCGGTGCCAATGTCGAGATTACCAACATTATTGTATCCAAGTGCACGTAATGCAAAAAAACGAGCCGACGGCGCGTTTCTTTTGGTCTTGTTCGGAGAATCTCAGTTTCTTTTTCGTCTTGATTCACTTCTACTTTCAATTTCTTTATTTTTTTTCATAATTTTTATCTTCGTCTTCCAACTTCTTTACATTCCTTACATCGATTTGGGCCATATTACTGCAGATAATATCAATAGACATTTATGTGACGTGGGCATATGAACAGCTTGAAATGGATGGCGACCGAGACGAGATGTTGTGTAAAATGAGGCCAAAACAGTCTCGCCCGGTGGCTGAAGCGGCTCCATCGGAATGTCATCTGCATTAGTTTTCCTTTTTCGGGTTTTGGGCTTCTTTTCCATCCAATGTTCTGGCCTCGCTGGCCAATGACAGGACAGCTGGGCGGAAGAGATGCCGTCCGCGGGTGGTATTGTGGGCGGAGAAATATTGGCTGATCGCGGCGGCGTCTTTCAGCTTTCACAGCTCTTTGCAGCTTTTGGTTTGTTGACACGGACAAAGGCGCCCAGGGCTGAAAAGGGGCAGCGGATTGGGTTTAGCGAGCTGGTCGATATCGTGGCTAGGCCGAAGCGGGATAGATTGGTGGGCAGAACCAGGAGGGAGACGATACTACGATACGAGGAGCTCTGAGAGTTGTGCAGATAAGAAGAGAGGGAAATAAGGACGCTTGGTTTGGTGAGAAACGCGGCTGTCAATATGAGATGGGAGTGAAGCGGGATCATCAACAGTGTGGCCATGTTATGACAAAAACGCAGGATGGAAAGCAGACGGAGAGTCGACGAGGCCGTTGACGAGGCCGTCGACGATGCTGTCATCAACTCTTGTGGCACGGGCTCTCTGTTTGATTTTGTTTAACCCGGGGTGAGATGTCTGAATACCAATGATGTATGTTGTAGATGTACAACATACAAGTTCTTTTTCTCTCTTTTTTTCCCTCCTGTTTTGCTGTTTTATTTCTCTCCCTCCTCCTATGTCTGTTCCCCCTTCCGACAGACAACATCCCCACACCGACACCACCAGACAGAACGCCTCGCCTGTGCGCACCTGCAGAAGGCAGACTGGCCTCTTTCTCGCTCATTTCCCTCCACTCTGAGCTGCCTTTATGGATCGGAGCCGATGGCCTATCGGACCTGAGGCACAGACCATGACTGTGCATACGATGCACCAGCTATCGCTCTTATCCTTTCCCTTTGCGTGTCCATCCCTCCGTTCACTCCTTTTTCCCGTGGCTCCAACGACGCCACCTATTTCGTCCAGCGTCTCCCGCCACCCTTTGTCGCTGTGCCGACGTACACGCCTCTTGGCGGTGAACCTCCATCTTTTGTGAACCGCCGACGCCATTACCAGACGCCCCCATGCACCGCTCCTTGCTGGCCCTCGCCGGCCTTGTGCCGTCGCTGTGCGGCGCCTCGGTCGTCCGTCCTCGTGACCGGCCGGCCGGCGTCCCCGACGTCGGCGCCCCAGTGTCGCCTCGGATCACAACAGCCCCCGTCGCCCACGTTCGTGGCTTGCCCGGCCTCCTCCGCGGCATTCATGACGTCGACCGGCGGGCCGCCGCCGACAGCGTGCCCGCCTGCGCCGCGCCGTGCATCGAGAGCGCCCTCACCGACGACACGACGTGCAGCGCGCACGACGTGGCGTGCGCCTGCGAGTACCAGAACGCAGTCGCCATTGAGACGGCCGCGTTGTCGTGTGTCGAGTCGGCGTGCGGCTACCTGGGGGCGTTTAGCGCGTGGGTGACGCTCGAGAGCATTTGCGCGACGTATGCGTACACGGACGCGTTCACCAACGCATACACGGTGCCAGGTGGGAAGGCAACCGTGGCCAAGACCAACGGGGACGGCGCCACCAAAACGGCGCCGGGCGGCAGTGATGCAGGGGCGACGACGACTGTGACGGCCGGTGCAGGCAGTTCTGGTTCTGGTTCTGGTTCTGGTTCTGCCTCTGGCTCGGACACTGACTCTGTCTCGTCCTCCTCAAATGGCCTCTCCAAGGGCGCGATCGCGGGCATTGCTGTTGGTGCGGCCGCCGGCGCCATTGCCCTCTGTGCTGTCCTGTTTCTTGTCTGCCGCTACACGTAGCGCAACAACCCACTCTCTGCTGACGGGGCTGCGGCCGCCACGACGTCAGCGCTGTCGCACCCGCCGGCTGGCGGTCCATCGGGCAAAGGCAGCGCCGCCAATGCCAGTGACGGGCCCCTGCGTGCTGCTGCTGTCCCCGTCTCGGGCGCTACTGCCGCTGTTGCCGTTGCCCTCCCGGCCGTCCAGAACGAACTCGACGGCAAGTCGTCTGCGGTTGTCTCGACCGTTGGCTCGACGCTGACGCCGCCGGCACCGTCTGCCAGTCCGGCCAGTCCGGCCAGTCCGGCCAGCGTGCCGACAGTAGGTCAGACGCCCACGCCCCAGCTGTATGACCAGAGCGGCGTGCCTCTGGATGCGGCCGCCGTGGCTGCGTGGTAGCAGCAGCAGTACGCCCAGCAATACGCCCAACAGCACCCGCAGTATGGAGCGGCTGCCGCCCCGCCCTACATTGTCCAAGGGTACAGCATTGCCCCTGGCCAGGCGCCGCAGCCGCAGACCGTCGTGGCACCGGCCGGCTATGCGGCTGCTCATCCAAGCCTGCCCGTGACGGGCGTCGTCTACCAAGAAGCGCCGGCCGGCATTCCGCAGGCGCAGTACCCGCACGAGCCGCCTGGACAAGGGGCAGGGGCCGATGCTGCAGACGTGGCATCGCCGGTACCGCAGCATGTCGTGCCCGTGGCCGTGGGACCGTCGGCGGCGTTGCCTGTGGCGGCGGCATCCTCTACAGCAACACCGATACACGAGGCGCCGACGCCTCCACAGGCGTGATGTTGATTGCCGCGGCGTAGTTTTGGTCTTCAACGAGCATTGTCGATTAGCCACTGTGTCTTGTACAATATGAATTTGAATTGGATGTCCTGCAGGCATGGCCTCGGGCCGTATGTCTTCTTGGTCCACATCCGTCGCTTGTCTCCTCCGTTGTCCTCGCTATGCCGCCGGTGGTGAAATCTGCCACACGTCCAGCGACACACCGTCTGCCGTCAGCCCGCCGCTCGCATACGCCACCGCCGTGTTGAGCCAGCCGTAGCTGCTGCTGCCCGTCTCAAACAGCAGCTGCATATTCGGCGCCCGCCCCCGTTCCGTCACCATGATGCGCGCGCCGTCCGTCGTCGTCAGCACATAGACGGCGTCCGGGCTAAAGGTGCCTTTGCTGTCCGTCAGGCCCCAGTCCAGACCGGCCGAGACGTTGCCCGACAGCTTGGGACCGGCAAACGTGCCGCCCGTGATGGGCAGGATGCCGCGGCTGCCGATGGCCGTGGTGCCAATGTCCAGCGGCGCAGTCATGGAAATGTTGATGCTGTAGAGAAAGTCGAGCGTGGGCGGCTTGGGTGTCGCGGCAGACACGACCGCCGTACAGCCGGCGACAGCAAAAAGTGTTGGAAGCATGGTGGTATTGAGGTGGTGATTGAGGTGGTGATCACAAGTCGTGCCTGTGAGGTTGCAGCACAAACAAGAGTCGCATCTCTGGTGTACGGTGACAAGACCCAGCATTTATGTATTTCGATGAAACGCCGAGCACTGTCTGGACGCGTGAAAGTCCGTCCGGACGTCCTGTCGTTGCCCAGCGCCCATTGAACCGCATAGCAATCTCAATGCAGGTACAGCCGTCACCGGGCGGACGTAAACGGGGCTAATAAAAATAGACGCGCAACCTGGAAAGACAAGTACCGCACATTGCCCAGTCAGTCGCGATTGCGGGACGGACAGCGGGTAAATCAGGCGGACATACTGCCGTTCATTATAGCACTGGGGCAGAAAGCGCCACAATGTTGACATTAGCCAAAATCAAGACAACAGTCGGCCTCTGGTCGCATCACCCTGTGATGTGAGACATCCCGAGTTGTCAGAGCAACCCACCAGCTAAATTCAGGCAGCTCTGGATCGCAGCAAGAGCACCAACGACACAACTAGGGCAACATGAGGTGGCCGATCCACGTGGCTGTGGCCATATTCGCGGCGCTGGTGACCTCCTCGACTGCATCCCCCGCAGCCACCACCGCCGCCCCGACACCGCCCGCCGAGTTCACAGCCAGCCCCAAGACGGGCCCCGGCGGCACGGCCTTCCGCGACTACCCGCACGTCCGCATCTACAACGCCCCCAATGCCAGCATCGCCGACGCCTCGGCGCGCATGCTCGAGTCGGCGTACAGCTGCTTCGTCGACAATCTGGGGTGGCGGTCGACGGGCCTGTCGTTCAACCAAAAGACGGACGGCGGGCCGTGGTACAAGCTGAATGTGTACCGCGTCGACGACATTCCGGGCGCGGCAGCCAACACGGGCACCGACGGCGGCACGGGCCTGTCGTTTCTGAACGTCGTCACCAAGTACCTGACGGTGCCCTCCATCACGGTGCACGAGTTTGGCCACGCGCTGACGTATGCGGCGCGCGTGTGGATCAACCAGGCCAAGACGGGCGCGTGGTGGGAGACGGTCGCCCAGTTCGTGGCCGACACGTTCATCACGTCCGACGTCTGCCGCGCCGCCCGCACAGCGTACGCGCAAGCCGACGACGGGCCGACCATGATGGACCTCAAAAAGGTGCTGGGCGACGCCTTCCAGGCCATTGTCGACGGCACCCGCAGCCCGGCCAAGGGCGAGCCGACCGCCAACTACTACCAGGCCTGGCCCCTGTTCGTGTACCTCTTCTACAACCCAGACGACCATGCGCCGCTCCGCAACCACGCCGTGTTTCCGGGCGTCTGGACGCAGTACGCCGAGAACAGCGACGAGACGCCGCTGCACGTCCTGGCCCGCATCCTCGCTGCGCCCGGTGGCACGTCGATCCAGGCGCTCGTCGGCCGCTACTGGGCGCGCATGGCGTTTGTCGACATTGGCCACCCGTCGGCGCACGCTCTGTATCTCGCGCAGCGCAAGAGCATCAGCTATGCCGTCCTCGACAGCATGGCCGCCGGCCACACGGGCGCCTACCGCGTGAAAGCGGCGCGCCAGCCGCGCTACATGGGCGCCAGCATTGTGCCGCTCAAGGCGGCCGGCACCACGGTGTCTGTCAGCGTCACCGCCAGCGCGCCGTACACGGCCACGCTCGTCACGAGGCGGCCCACCGCGTCGGGTCGCCGCAGCAACTGCTCCTACACCGACGTCCTCCATGGCACGGCGCAAATCACCGTCTCTGCCGGCGACGAGCTCGCCCTTGTCGTCGCCAACACCCCCGACCAGCTCTTGTCGTACGATCCCTTCAACATGCCCGCCGCCGCCAACAGGGGACTCGACTACCAGGTGCAGTTGACTGGCGCCACGCCCGGGAGTTGGTGAACGATGTTTTGCTGGGAAAGTAAACAAAACGTTAGCGCCGTCCAATGACATGCCGATAGCGCACCAAGCCAAGAAACTAGGAACCATCAAATCAGGAGAGCCAAAGCCATACTGGATGCCCTGTTCTCTCCAATCTCTTTCGTCTCTTCGCTCTCTTTGTTCTCTCTATTGATGTCCGTTTATTCGACGCGTGCATTGTTATTGTCGTGTCTGTCGGCGTGGATGCTTTGTTTTGATTCAAGCTGTAGGTACTTCGCCTCGACCGACAGTTGACAACGGGGCTCCGTGTATTCGCGTTCAACAACGTAGATTGTGATAGATGAAAAGAATAAAAAAGCCCAACAGATCGATAGACCTTTTTGACAGTTGTTTGACACTTGTTTCAACACCATTCAGGTCCCTCCTTCCGTTTTACGAAACCCCTGAGGCACTGTGGCAGAAATTCGTGTCCGGGGAAGGAACGACAATTGCTCCGCCAGTCATGACAGGAACGCCGCTTCCAAAACAGGGAGCGACGACGGGGAAGGCTGCAAAGACTTTATTCAAACGAATTCGCCCAAAGGAAGGCGCGACTGACGAAGCTGCTGGGTGCCAGTACACGATTTCATCCCGAGACAAAAAACAACCGACTAAACAACAGAAACGCACGCCGAATAACAGAAAGGAAAAGCGACGGTCAAACAGCGGTGTGGGGCACCGCAAACTGGAGTGTCCCCGACCTGTTCTTCCTTTTTGCTGAACCCCGTGGCTGACAGTGGCGGGCGGCAAGGTTCTCCGCGTCTTGTTGTGGCAGGCGCGGGATCGCTGGGTCCCTCCTGCCTCCCCCTCCCACGCAACATGTCTTGCCCGCACGCTTTGCCCCATTGTTGACATCCTGCCGAAGAATACGCACTAACCTGTCCAAGGTACCAAGACACTTTGTACTAGTACCGCTACAGAGGGCTATTCCGCGCACAACCGGGCCCTCTCTCAAGTCTCGTGCCTCGCGTCGCAGGTACCGCCAGATCGTTCCGTCTGTACCTTTTCCAACGGGGGTTGCTCTTTCCTTTTTCTTATTTACCCTTTGGTTGGCTGCGCCTTTTCCCCTGTTCCTGGGAGTCCCTTCCTTTCGTAGTCACAACACAAATAAAGTCTACTTTTTGTCGCATCTTTGCGCAAACATCACGACCACAACAAAACATTGGCATTGGCGCATACTCCACACCAGCGCTCCAGCGTACTCTTTCTTGATAGCTTTTTTGGTTTATTTCTTACCGCTCCACTTGGTCAGCTTTGCGACACCTTTGCGACGCCCCACGAAGTCGTTTCTTCCCATCGCCACATCAACCACTACATCAATCACCACAACACGGCACAATGGTCCAGACACGTTCCGCCTCGGGCGTCGACGTCCCCGCCACCCCGTCTGGCCGTCCGCGCTCCTCGGGCAACACCGCGCCCTCGACGCGCAAAGCCACCGGCAGCGTCCGCTCGCGCAAGTACAGCGCCGGCCCCAACGGTCGCGCGTCGGCGCGCCGTCCGTCCTCGTCGTCGTCCTCCGTCTCGCTCTCGTCGTCGTCCTTTGCGTCTGCCTCGTGGGTCTACGTCCCCGACTCCGTCACGCTGTTGTGGCTGGCCATCTCACTGCCGCTCGTCATCTGGGACACGGGCTACGTCTTGCTGCGCCCGCTCACCATGCCCGGCGGCTCGCTGCACTGGCCCATCTGGTCGCCCTATGCGCTGTACGGCGAGGTCGACCACATATACGGCTTCAAGGCGTGGAACGCCGGCAACGGCTTCACCGCCGCCCAGGGCGTGCTCAACCTGATCGAGACCACGCTGTACCTGGCCTATGTCTACGTCTGGTGGACGCGGGGCCAGCCCGTCGTGGCTGGCGGGCGCAAGGGCCTCGTCGGCCGTCCGGCCGCGTGGGCCGTGACGCTGGTGCTGTCCTCGGCTGTTATGACCCTGAGCAAGACGGTTCTCTACTGTACGTTGGCGTGCGCCCCTCTCCATCCCTGCTTCCGTTCCTCCTTCTCTGACCTGCCAGGGCTCAACGAGTACTTTTCCGGCTTTGACAACATTGGCCAGAACGACATCTACGCGCTCATCTTCCTGTGGATCATTCCCAAGTACGTCTTCCCAACCAGCAGCCCTTCCACGTTGTCCCCGCCTCCCCCATACTGACGTCTGTAGCGGCCTCTGGCTCGTCTTCCCGACCTACATGGTCTACCGCATTGGCAGTGAGGTCATTGACGTCCTCGCGAGCACCGCCGACCACTTCAAGGACGAGTAAACATCGTCTCAGTCCTAGCAACCGGCCATCTGGCCACGTCCTGACTGCCACGGCCAACCCATATCTGCGTCTCGACACTGTACATACACCCGACGATGAGGACTGGATATTTCAAAAAAAAAAAAAAAAAAAAAAAAAAAGGAATAATATATATATAATATATACGTGGGAGGACACCATGGTAATAGAAGGTGGCGAAGAGGCGAGGAAGGACGCATTCAGGGTCATTCGGTTCAGGAAAAGGAGTTCGCATCTCGGTGGCTGTTTTCCTCCGGTTTGGTGATGAGGAGTTTATGCGTCGTTGTACGCGTTTTGGCTTTTGTTTCTATTTGCTGTTCTGTCTTGTTTCGTTCCATGACGACGTTTACTGGGGTTTCTACGTCTTCGACGTCTTCTGCTGCATCGATTTCTACTCCATTCCATCGGTTCGCTCGGGGTCTTCCGGCAAGGCCTTCTGTGGTCTCTTTGCATAGATACCCTTTGTTTTTATCCGTCTTCTTATTTTCTCAACCTATTCGTGAATCCTCTTCTTGGAAATGAAATTCAAACCGATTTTCTTAATGTGCATGCCTTAAAGGAAAAGTAAAAGATTGTGTATTGTTCATTCATTATCCAAAAAGTGGCAGCAGGTGACAACATGTAAAGGAGTCAAAGAGTGACCATTGACTTGCCATAGCATACTGCGATGAAGGCCATCGAGAATTAAGAAAAAAGGCATGATATGAAATCCAAAGCCTCATTACGTGTTTAACGAGAGAAAAGTAAAATGTAAGAAATAAGCAAGGAAACGACAGTATCGACATAAACCCATGACGTGAAAAATACGAGAGACATAGGAAAATTAATAACAAAAGCGAACGTGAAGCGAGCAACGAGACTCGCGCGGGTATCGGATGACCAAAAATGGAGACAAGATGACCAAAAAAAGAAAGAAAATTACCAAGACCAGAAAGAAACGAACGAGCAAAAAAGAAACGAAAAGTGAATGCACGTCAACGACTACACGGCAGTATGCCCACCGAGGCCCATGGCAAACTTTTCCCATTCGGGCTGCACCTCGTCCGTCGTCGCATCGTCGTTGTGGTAGCCATGGTCAAAGTCGCTGTCGCGCGGGCCAATGTAGCTGCTGTGCCGGTGGCGCGCTGCAGCTGCGGCGGTGGCCATGCGCATCGACTGCGACCGCGTCATGAGCGGCTTGACCACCGGCGCCATTGAGAGAAAATCGCCAGCGCCGTGTTGCGCGTCGTCGTCGTCGTCGTCGTTGTCGTGGCCGGCACCGTCGTCCTCTTCCTCGTGCACGCTGCGCAGCGCCGCCACACCGACAAATGACGACGCGCGGGAGATGGGGACCGACAGCGGCATCGGTGCCAGGGACTGCTGCTGCTGCTGCTGCTGCTCAAGCGTCTCGCGCACCGCCATCATGGCCTCCTGTACCATATCAAAACTGTGGTAGGGTTGCGTGGGCGCAGCCAGGTTCGACGACACGATGTTGGGCATGGTGCGCGAGCGGTGCGGTGTGCCCACACCACCACGGCGGCCCGAGTGGTATTGCTTTTGGTGTGGGTGTTGGTTTTGTTGGCGGGCAGCCGCAGAGTAAGAAACCGGCATCGTCCGCTTCGCGTCGGGCACGAGGCCCATGGCCCTTGGCGGCGTAGCTAGCGGAAGCACACGCGCGTACTCGTCGCCGCCACCGTACACGCTGAAGCGGCGGTGGCGCGCGCTGTTGCGGACCGGCACGGGCGGCGGCAAGGGTGCTTCCAAGACCGAGGCCGAGGGCGAGGCCAAGGGCAACGCCAAGCCAGCGCCGCTCTCGCGCATGGACACCGTCGAGTACACACTGCTGCTGCGCGAGAGGGAGGGCGACGGGTGCACCGGAACAGCTCGACCGCGGTCCCGGGGTGGGATGGTGGGCGGCATATCCACGGCAACGCCGATTGTGGCCGGTGTCAGTGTCGGAGTCGGTGTCGGCGCGTTGCTGCCGGCCGTCCGCGTCGCTTTTGAGCTGGCATTGCTGTACACACTCGACGACCGGCTCAGCGTCTGCAGAGCGCCAAGGGCCGTGTCGCCAAACGAAGCAATGCTGTCGGGCAAGGGCGGCAGAGTCACAGTCGTAATGGCACAGCCAATGGAGTTGCGGTTAGCAGCTTCCGTGTAGGTCGTGAGCGCTGTCTCGGCGGTGAGGGCCGACGTGTTGGAGTTTGTCGAGGACGTCGACAGCGAACGGGACGTCGACGGCGTCGCCACAGAGTCGTCGGCCGGGTTCGGACTGTTGTCAGACTTTTGCATGTCGCTACTGTCGGGGCCAGCAGCATCGGCCGACACGGCCAGCTGCACGGGGTTCGTTCCATTGCCGTAACCATGCACAACGATCTCGTGGTACGGCGAAGATTTCGGGCGCTCGCGCGACACGGCACGCTGTTTCTCGCTCTTGGGCTGCGAGGGCGCGCGATGCAAAATGCTGTTGCGCTTGGCGGATGTCGGTAGTGCGGGAACCGGCTCGGTCGTCCCCAGCTGTTTTGCCTTTTGCAACTTGTTTGGGCCTTTTGGCGACGCCGACGATAGTGCGCTAGGCGTTGTGGCACTGTTCCCATTGTTCGCCCGGAACAAGCTCAGAGAGCGCCGGAAGGCGGCCTTTTGAGACAAACTGCGAGTAAGACTGCGAGAGCGAGGCAGCATCACGACCTCGCCTTCTTGGGGCGAGGAGTCGCCGCGGTTGGCAAGACCCAAGTAGTCAATGTCCGGGCGAATGTCAAAAACTGGCGACAAAGCACGGCCCCGCTCGCCACTGCCAATCTCTGCCAGAGACTGCATTGTGGGCGCGTCTGGCAGAGCAGTCATGGACATACACCGGGCCGGCGGTGCGGCGTCATTGTCCCAGCTGTTCCAGCGATCGCTGTCCTTGTCCGCGGACGCGGGAAGCTCGGTGGGCCAGGCGGCCGCGGTTGATATTGTCGGGGACACGGGAGAGGACGCAACGACAGACAGTGACCGGGCCACCTCGTACCCGTCGTCCCACGTTGGCAGGTGCTTAGGCGAGATGGACATGTGGTAGTGAACGGCGCCCGTGCCGTTGACCTCGGCCGGCGGCGGCAGGAAGCAGTTTTGAAGCGTTTGGTGGACGGCGTAGATTAGGATCCAGCGCACTTTGCGGGCATCGAGCATAGAAATCTTCTCCATCCGGTCGGCCTTGTACGGCTTGAAGACAGAGTCCTCTTCAAACTGCCGGTACGCACAGACAAACTCGTTGTGCCAAAGATCGGGGCGCACCTTGTTGCTCGCCTTGAGCAGCGCCGCATTGGCCAAGAGACGGGTATCTGGCTTCAGCTTCTCGGAGCGAGACAGCAGCAGGCGGTCCATGGTCTTGCCGCCAAACAGCGACATCCGGCGACCAAAGCCGCCTGCTTTGTTGTTGCCCGCACCGGGGCCAGCACCTGCCGTGTTTACCGGCTGGTGCGCCACCTCTGGCAAAAGTGGCAGCGGGTGCTGCATCGTGGTGAAGCCGTGTCGCTCGTCAAAAGAGGTGACACTCTGCAGCACGCAGAAGCCGCCTTGCGCCAGTGGTGGGGCATTCGCATCGGCTGTGAAGTTCTCGTCGACCAGAAAATCGTACATCGCCTTGAAGTCGTCGGCCAGCCTTCGGTACACATGGGGCTCAAAAATCGTGCTGCGCGTGTCGAGTGACCGCGGCGGGTAGTAGCCGAGACGGGACGTGTAAAAGCCTTGCACATAGGTCCGGAACCGGTCGAGGTGGGCGCGTGCCGGTTCAGGGAGGCCCAGGTGCGTCTCGGACAGGGCGTCTTCGAGGAAGTTGCTGAGCATCGACCCGGCCGACCCTAAGCGCATATCCATGTCCAAGCGGGCGCGGCGGACGAGTTTGCGAGAGTCGGAGCTAATGTACTGGTACTCGGTGCCGAGGTGCAAGTCGTTGTACATGCCGACGCAGTGCGAGAAGGCGTCGATGTACAGCGCGCGGAACTGCATGGTCTCGGCCAGGTGCAAGAGGGCCAGAGCGTACACGGGCTGCCCGGCCATGGCCGAGTAGCCTTCGTCCTCGAGGTAGCACAAGAGGTCCTGCACATTGTCGGCCTGTTCGTAGCGGAACTCGCGCATGGCGCTGTACAGACCGGCCAAAGCGCTGCCGAGATGCTCACCGACAACGGGGCGGCGGAAGACCCAGGCAAAGAGGTTGCGGATGGCGAGGTAGTACAGGAACGTCTGGTCGCGGTCGACGTCCTTGGGTGGCGGGATGTAGATGTCTACGCGGCCGACGAGGTGGGCGCGGCTCCAATAGTCGAGTGTCGCAAGAGGCGGAGGCACCGGCGTCGGGTTCATCACGTCATACACAGTCGGAATGTCCGGGTAGGGGGCATGTCCCTTGTGATGAAGCGCTCGACAAGCGAGTGGCACTGCGCAGCCAAAAGCGTAGAGATGGGCACCTTGAAGGAAGGGCCCCTCCGCGACTGCCCGCGCGCATAGAGATGCACAAAGCAGTTACCGTGGCGGTACCACAGCTCGGGATCCTATTCATTGTCAGCTGCCACTGCAAAACAGTAAGGAAAAAGGCCGATCTACCCGAGGACAAACTCACTCTCCTCAGCCCGTCCCAGGCAGTGCTCGTCCTCGTCTTGCCATCCCATCTCCGGATGCCCGTGTGACGAGTGGCATGGGGTGCTGGCGTCTCCGTCACGTCGCCCGGTCTCCGGGACTTCCAGCCGCGCGACCGGTTCGAGACGCCATTGTAGAGAGCAGAATTCCTCGACTCGTGTGCGTGGGCCATCTTGGGCAATCACCACCTCGCTCAGCCAGCGGGCCTCTCACAAGAGGCAAAACACTAAAGGCGATTGCAGCTACAGGTGCAGCATTTCTGGCGAGATGCGGTGTTACTTTTGCGTAGCGTGGTGAGATTCGTACAGTCGTAGGTCGTTCTTGTCCGTCGCCTGTCGTGAGAATGATGAACGCTGGGCAATAAACCAGGCCAGAGAATCCAGCCTCTGGTCGCTCTGGGCGAACCAGCGTCGTATGGAATCTGAATGCCGCCCCAATGACAGTCGGTTCGTGTGTGGCCGTCCGTCTGCTTATTTGACCGTCCGTACACTGCAACCAACGTTCAGCAGCTTAATCTCCCAGTCAGCCGTCGATGGTCGTCTAGGTGCGTCTCGGCAAAAGTCGTCGATGAAGATGGGCGAAACGAACACCAGGAGAATGGACAATTAAAAGAAGTAAAAGCAAGAAAAGACTGAAAAGGCAAAGGATCGGAGGACAGGACGAGAAGCTACACTGTAACCCCACGCAGCGGCCGGGGATGCAAGCAGGTAAATAGTTTCGTGCTCAGTGCACACCATTCCACCCTTGCCATGCGAGAGCTTTTGTCCAGTGTTACGCCACGCCTTGTCTGGGGACAGTACGGAGTACCGTCACGCCCAAAGGAATAATAGCTAGGCTGTCCGGCATCGAGTGCTTTGTGCTTCCACGATGCTGTGCAAGGACCAGTACGCAAGCTGAGTCGTCAAGCAGGGGGGAGCTCCTCTTTCTTGGACATTTAGTGCAGACAGTAGCGTATCTTGTCTCGTTGCCAGCAAAGCTAGCTCGACTCGTTTTCGTCTTTTTCGCCATTATCGTCGTCACTCTTTTCGCTCGGGTCCCTCTTTTTTTTTCGCCGCCCTCTGCCAATTCCCTATTTCGCTTGACAGGGGTGTAGCTTGCAATGTAATTCAAAGGGGGGAGGCTGGTAATACCCCATGAGGGCGGCTGCTGCTTCTGTGTTTGTGCACTGTTCGTAGTAAGTGCAAGCCGTGAAGCGCGCAAACGGCTCCATACAATCCATTGCTGCTGAAAGGCTTTGGCAGCAACCATGTGCTTAGTGCAGGATGTCATTGTGTTGCCGTGACGCTCGAGCATACGCAGTGCGTTGCCTCACTCATCGCATGATGCAGCGGGAATTTCCATTGTTCCTTTGAAGCCAGGATATGCTCAGTGACGTCTTCGAGTGGTTAGATGCGGCGCCCGGTTGAAGAGATAGGTGCTCGTAACAATGGGCGGCTTGGGACTGTCTTGGCCCCTGGGCCATGTCTTGCCGGGTTTTCTGCTCATCTTCATTTGGCCGAGATACGGTGAAGAGCAAATCGAGATGAAAAGCAATTTCAAACCACCTATAGGGGGAATCTTTGTTTTGTGCTCCCTTTGGCAACAATTACGGCATCGTGTGAAGCCTGAATATTCGCATCTTTCGAAGCATTGCTCAGGGTCAGGATATTTTGGAAATATTGTGTTCCCAGCACGTAGACACCTGATTTGGAAACAATATCGCAAATTATTAGTATGACCAGGTCTGGCCGGCACTGTCCAGCACACCATCGGGCCTCCAAATCAGGAAAAACGCGAGGATGCAGCATTCTGTTGGCCTCCAATTGTCGATGGCATCGGGAGTCGGGTGCAGAAGCAATGAATTCCCCGCCACCTTTTCAGAGGCGTCCAGCTGAAAGTGGACAAGGTCAGGGGCTAGTCGCTGATTGATTTCTTTCCAATTGGTCTCCCCTGGGCAATCCCGATAGCAAGAGGTGTGTGTGCCAACCCTATCTTCTCTGGGTGGGTGAGGCTTTCCATTCTATTTCTCGACCGTGTTTCCTAGTTTCGTCGAGCGGTGCGAATCGCTTGTTCTTTTGCTTCCTTTGCCTTTCCACTCGTCCTTGGTCTCCTCCTCCTTCGAATGACTCTCAGTGCCGTTGGGTGTTTGGCATGTGTTGTGAGACAACTGCTTCAATCAGCCATACCAAACTCGGTGCAAGAGTGGTATTGCTATGAAGAAAAGGATCGCCGTCAAACACCCCGTCCTGCAGCTTTCGGCCGCCGGCTGCGCTGCTGTTGTGTAATTCTATCGCGCAAGATCTCAACACGGTGGCTTCCAGTTGAAAGGGGGCAATCCGAGCATACGCAAGGTTTACTTCTGTCCCCGCCGCTCGTGTTCTTTTTTTCAACTTTTTCGGCAGTGTAATGAACTTGCCCGATACGAGGGTGACGGACGTAGCCCCGATGTGTTTGACGTGTTGTCAATTCCTAGAACTGCTGCCCAGTTCTCGAAGTCGCTGTGGGAATAAAAAGGCGGTCGACGAACGGTACTTTGTAAGCAGTGGCAAGGTCTTGGCTGTTGCGGAGTTTAACAGTGAAACATGTTAAACCCTTCCTTGCCGTCTTCTTTGATTCTTTGATTCGTTTCCTTGTCTTCTTTATTTCTTCTTTCTTGCTTTCTTGCTTTTCTGTCGCGCCTTCTTTGTCGTTAGTGTCTGCTCCCCACCTCCTTCGTCTTTCATCTGGCATTGGTCTTGCTGCTCTGAAGGGCCAGACACGTTCATCGGCGATTCGATGTGGTAGCCAGGACCCATTTTGCAGACAGGCGACTAGGAAGTCGGGATCCATGTCAGTGATCTTCAGTGGTAACTGTCCGAGCGCTCCGATGTATCCTCCCAGGTCACAGCGCCAAATTCGTCGTGAAAATGGGAGAACCCCCTACATTATCCCAACCCCTCGGCTTTCGCTTTTGTGCCGCAAAGTGACTTCGTCGTTGATTTTGGTCGATAACAGGCTGCCGTGACGTCTGATGCCCGACATATGCATAAGAAGTCCCACCTGCAGCAACGTGGCGCAAGACGAACAAAAGAGGACCATTGGCGGTGTGGGCGTGTCACAGTTGGTGAAAGCACATCCCGTGGGATATCTGTCCGTCTGACTAGAAGGCAACACCAAACCTCCTAGAATATGTCAGGGTTTGCCACGAATCAAGCACGGTTTCTCCGGCACGGGAGTTGGCAGCTATTGATGATTTAGTGTTATGAGGCCAGCGACCTCTTTTCGTTCCGAGGCGTTCTCGCAATACTGCCATAGGCGTTATCCTGCTTGGACAAATCGGTCGGCAAGACTTTCCGAGGCAATAGCAATACAACCCTTGCTACAATAGGCTGGGAGGCTGAACCAGCAGGTGAGTACATCTTTGCATGCCTCGTCGTATCCTGGCCTGTGTTTTTCGCCTCCCGCGTTGCGGTTCCGGGCTTTGTTGCTGTTTCAACACCGTGATCAATACTCCGTATGCGACATACGTTTGTGAACAGAGCCAGTCTATTTGCAGTCTGTGGTCTTCTCCACAAGCTGGGTGCAAGAACCAAGGCAGCGGCTCGTCGTCCAACCTTGCAAACGGCCCAGGTCCGTAGTATGTTTTCGCCAAAATAGAACACTTGGGAATATGCTGCATAGCGATCAATCTATGCGCGCAGGTTTCGCAGAATTCGAAAGGCGAAAGAAAGCCGGATACGGACAGCTGTCGTTTGTCCCAAAGCAAGCGAATACCGGCGTCCATGTGTAGTACGGAGTCGCGTCGCACTGTTGAGAGAGACACTCTGATGGGATGCTGTGCGACCGCCACCGTGCACGCCGTCTTGCTTTTTACGGCGTATTAATCAACAAAACAGCGCCTCGGCAACGTGATGCGGGCAGCCAAAATGCTCCTGGTTTTCCTATTCATCTGGACGAGAACGCGTCAGCGTCGGACAAGGAAAACAAAACGAGGAGGCGATAAAACTTGCCACGTCCTAAAACAGGGACGACTCTGCGTGACTATTCTCCATCGCATCACGGAGTCCGCTCGCCACGACGCCTCTCTTCATGCGATGTCGGGACAGCCTTTGGCGAGCTGCTGTACAGGTCAGTCTTTGGTGTTTCCATGGTGTGGTTGGTCGAGCATGTTTGCTTCTGTTGAAGTGGGTTTGGATGTTTGAGATGGCCATTGTCTACAGTGCACGGCATGGCATCATTCCCATTGGAACGGAAGGAGCTGGTTCGTAGCTTCCTTGATCATGAGAAGCTTCCCAATTAGGAAGTACACCGTCCACACCAAATGACAGCCGCGCCTGCCCAAGTCCCACTAGCTAATGCACCAAAACCCCCTGGCCGTTGGCTTCTCAGGGGATTCTGCCGCCACCCACCGCCATTGTTTTCAATCAGCTTCATGAACAGGAGAAGCTCCACTGACCACTAAACTCTACGAACCATCGCGGGCAAGCCACGCATCGCAGCTCATCCTGCAGCACGGCAGCCGGCGCAAACATCTGCCTCTCTCTTTTCGTCGCAGATTGCAGAAACGCCATGGCGTCCGCCTTTACGCCCTACACATACATACAGTGTCCCTGCTCGGACTCTGCACATCTACCGAGCGCGGCCCGCGAATCCTCGAGTCGCCCCTCGTCGTCCGACCGAGAGGCGGGCGGCGCCGGCAGCGGTGGAGCAGCCGCAGACCAGGATGGCGAGACCGACGAGGACGATCACACGTTCGACCCGCGCTCGCCGCGGGCCAACTACAGCCTCTACCCGCTCGAATATCTGCTGTACTGCGAAGACTGCCACCAGATCCGGTGTCCGCGATGCGTGGCCGAGGAGATTGTCACCTACTACTGCCCGAACTGCTTGTTTGAGGTGCCCACAAGCAACCTAAAAAGTGAGGGCAACCGGTATGTTGTTCGTCCCCTTCTTTCTGCTCTTGCAGCTCGTTTCGGAGCGAAGACAGCATGCATTCCTGTGTGCGCACGCGTACGTAAACGTATGCGTGTGCATGGCTGTCGACGCGTAACGTGTTGTACCTTGTAGGGCATTTTTGTGCTTGCGGCCCGCCGTCGTACGGTGGCACATGGGTATTTTGTCTTGGTGTGTTTTGTTGTGCCGAATCGCTGTTGCTGACCAACTGCTGTACGCTCCCAAGATGCACGCGAAGCTGTTTCCAATGCCCTATCTGTATTGCCCCCCTGACCGTCACCAACCTCGAAACCCCCTCGTCCAGCGCGAACCTCGCCGTCCCCGAAGGCGGTGCCGCATCGTCACACGCCGGGAGCTTCTTGTTGAGCTGCAGCTTCTGCCAGTGGAGCTCGACCGAAATCGGCATCAAGTTTGACAAGGCGAACGGCCTCTACGGACAGCTGGCCAAGGTGCGCAATGGCGGGAAGCCACGACTGATACCCACGGAGCAAAAGGCCAAGCGGCGCGATCTAACGTCGCCGTTGTCCTCGGCACCCAACCTGTTGCCAGGAACGGGCGACAACCTAGGCGGCCTGAACCCCTCGCCGGAGCCTGCTAGATTTGGGCACGGCGACGGAGAGGGCGAAGAGGGCCTCGATCTGGAAACACAGTACGCCCACCTGAAGCAATTCTACCAGCGGCAGCTATCTGAGGCCAATGGTGGTGGTGTCGGCGGATTGTCGTCGCTTGGTGATCTCAGCTTTGGCTCGCCTGCTTCATTGTCCCGCATCATGAACATGTACACCTCCGGTATGGCCGGGAGTGGTTCGCGCTTTGACAAGAAGTCGCAGTCGCGGATCCGCAGCATGCGCGAGGCCCGTGAGAACGCAGAGGGATTCCAGCCGGCCGTCTTGGACGAATCGGCTGCCATTGCCCGTTTGCACGGCCAGGGACCAGACAACCAGGGCAGGAGTGGCGGCGGCCGAGGCGGTGTTTCTGGCGAGAGCAGTGCAGACGGCTGGGACGTGACGGCATCGTCCGAACAGCGGGCCGCCCAGACCAAGTTTATTGGCGACGAGCACCTCCACGGCCGTGCACGGTTTCTGGATGAGCTGCGGCCGATCCCGTTTCTCCTGCGCACAAAACGGTCCAAACGCTGTCCGATATGTCGGCACATCATCAGCAAGCCCGAGGCGAAGTCGACTAACAACCGCTTCCGCATTCGGCTTGTCGCCGGCAGCTACATTCCCAGCATCTCTATCCGGCCGCTTCAGGGCGGTGCGCCGGTGCCAGTGCCCACGTCAAGGTCTGCGACAGCGGCAGCGGCGGCAGCAGCGGCAGCAGCAGTGCCAAACAACATCCTGGAGCCGCTCAAGCCCGTGCAGTACATTTTGACATTCAAGAACCCCATCTTTGAGAGCGTCAAGGTCACGTTGGCCACGCCGTCCACGACCCCAGGCCGGTTTGCCAGCAAAGTGACTGTGCTGTGTCCACAGTTTGAGATCGACTCCAACACAGACGTGTGGGACGATGCCCTGCGCGACAGCGTTGCCGGCGGCGGCGGAAGCAGTGGTGGTAGCGGCAGTCGCAGCCGGCGGGCGGAAGACGGTGGCGGCCAACAGCAGGCCATCGCGGGCAAGATCTGGGAGCGCGGGCGCAACTGGGTCAGCATCGTTGTGGAGGTGGTGCCGCCGTCGCTCGACCTGGACCTGCTGGCCATGACGAGCAAGCCGATTGGCAAGGTCGACGAGGGCGCGTCCAAGAGGATCGACCTGAGTCCACTGCGCGAGGACGAAGACATTGTGGAGATCCCCATGTTTGTGCGCGTGGAGTGGGAGACGGACGCGGGACAAGACGGCGTGGGCGTTTCGTCGGCCAAAGACAAGGATGTCAAAGAGAAGCGGGAGCTGGCCTACTGGTGTGTCCTGGGCATCGGCCGCGTTCGTCACGATTAGGCCGGGCTTGGTCTCAGTACGGTTGCTGCAAAGTGAAGATGCATTTTTAAAACAGTACCTGTGGAGAAGCGCACTTGCCATTTACTACTGATACAATATACCCACGTTTCTATCTGACAGCACATGTGTTGTGAGGTGACTATTCACGAAAAGACAGGAGCCGTTATGTTTTGTTTGTAGACCGTGGAGATTGCACTTTTAAGATTTTTTTATATTATTCCATCTTTGCGAAAAAGTGAAGCACAGTGTTGACTCCAGCCGGTTCCCTTTTTGGCCTTGTAAAAAAGAGAACGAAACAAAAAAAGACTATCCCGGTTCTCTCCTTTGCTTTTCAAGTGTGGGTGAAAAAAATACCGAGTAAAAATTCTGTCACACCATTTTTTATAAGAAAAATCATCTACCATGTTCCTTTCCTTGCATCGACAAGTCCTACATTTAAAACTCGGCGCTGTTCTGGGGGAACTCAAAGACGACGGCGCGGCCAGTGAGTCTCCGGTAGACCTCGGAGTACGAGTCCAGGCGGTAGTCGACGCCACCACGCTCCTTCTCGTCGAGGATGACCTTGAGCGTCTTGGAGCCGTCCTCCTTGGTGCGGAGACGCTTGCCGACGATCTCGACGGGGTAGACGAGGTCCGTCAGGATGGCGTCGTGGACCGCAGTCAGCGTGCGCGAACGGGGGCGCTTCTGCTTCTGGGTGTTGCGGGAGCGGCTGGAGCGCTTGGGGCGGGGGAGAATGCGGCGCGAGGCCAGGATCAGGACGTGGCGGTCGGGGAACTTCTTCTCCAGCTCACGGGTCAGGCTGTTTTGTGGGGGATTAGTGCGTGTTCGTCCATGTCAACAGAGGAGGACCGAGGGGGGAAAACGACGTACCGCTGCTGCACCCGGTGGAAGCCCTGCAGGGATGGGACGGGGACAAAAATGACAATAGCCTTCTTGCCGTGGCCAACCTCGATCTACAGATCCAAAGTCAGCATGCGAGCTCCTGGAGTATGATTACATTGTCTGCAACAACATCCATGGACCGCTTCCCGTCCAGTATCCAAATTTCACGTGTATGTTTGTCGGTACGAGGGAGCGTATCGAGGGAAACGGGTCTTTGGGTATCGGAAGGAGAGAGAAAAAGGTCTGCTTCTGTTGACGTCCGTCGACCAATGTTGCGAGGGTGTGTCGAGTCGATGTGACGAATTTCAGACATGAGGCTGGAGACGAGAGCACCTTTCGGTCGGTGAGGCTGCGGCTTGCCCCGGTCTTTCGACAACAGGGCTTCGCTCGAATGCCCGCTCCGTCGGTCGCACGGCTCGAATTCGTTGGCACTGATCGACTCGTCTCGACACATGGTCGTCGGAAACGTCGCAATGGTCGAATCCTTCTCACATCGTTTCGTCCGCCTCTTTTGTCGATTTTCGTCGCCAAACAGTCGGATGGTCTCCGGCGGTCACAGACCATGGATGTTATGCAGCACACGTATGCAGGAAAGGGCTCATCTCACCTCGCGAGCAGACACGAACTGCAGAGGGCGCAGGGCAGCCTTGAGGTCGGCGGTGTTGGACTCCAGGTCGAACAGAGCACCGGCGATGCTGGTCTCCAGCTCAGAGGGCTTGGCGCGGGACGGGCTGTTGGCCGCGATCTTGTTCAGCTGAGGGGCGCTCATTTTGACGGTAGTGATGGGCTGTCGATTGGAGAAGTCAATGTCGTCGTGGGTGTCGAGAGGAGAAGGGAAAAGAACGAGAAAAATCGAGACGAGATGCGGTGGGACTAGTTTTCGAGGGAAAGCGGCACACTGAGAAAGGCAAGCGGGAAAAAATTGGCCTGGCTAGCGCCATATGCTGGGACTTTTTTGGTAGACCATATTTTGGAGTGAGGGTTCGCAAGCCCTTGATCCTTGGACCAATAGGAATCGTGTGTTGGCGTGACCAGCATAAATTTAGCGGTGGCCTGCGGCAGAAAATCGATGGGCGATTTGTTGTATTATGTAATCTTTGTAGGTACTTGACTGCGGGATGCCAAGTCACTCCCAAAAGTATCACCAAACTCAAAAGCTACGAAGCTGGCGTATGTTGCACACGACGTCGACGAAATTGGGGCTCCGACGACGTTTCCAAAAGTTGTCGTGTGATAGAGCGTGGGATCCTGGGTTTCTCGTGCCGTCCTCGGCTATCGCCTGCCATAGGATTGCCAATGCACTTCTCTTACAAAAAGGCTGGCCTAAGAGAGGGCTGGCCTAAGAGGTTCTCAGCGCTGTGTACATCTAGATCAGCCCTACCCTCTTATACTCTGTAATACAAACACCGTAAACGAGTTCACGTCACGCTCTCATACTATGAATGGCAATTTATGTTGTTTCGCGTTTAACTGTTTTTTTCTTCTGTCATGATGGCACCAACGGCTTCCCATCCTCGTCCGCATGCCTCCTCAGCTTTCCCTACTGGCCGAAGACGTCTTCATAGTTGGTCAGGCAGAAGCGGTAGTGCACGTCGTTCTTGTGCAGGCGCTGCAGGGTCTTGGACAGGTTGTCGGCGCCAATGGGCACCTGCTCGATCCAGGGGTGGATGCCCTTGTCGGCGGCCAGCTTCAGCATGGCCAGGACTTCTTTGCGGGAGCCCAGGTGGCTGCTGCCAATGAAGCAGCCGTTGCTCAAGAAGTCCTGGTTGCGGATGGCGGAGCCCGCGCCCTCGGGCAGGCCGACGCTGACCCAGCGGCCGTGGACGTCGAGCAGGGACAGGTAGGTCTTGAGGTCAAAGTCCTCGGTGGAGTTGGCCGTGTTGAGGATGAGGTCAAAGGTCATGGCGTGGTCCTCGGCCCAGTTCGTGTCGGCGGTGGCCAGGAAGCCGTCGGCGCCCAGCTTCTTGGCGTCGGCCTCCTTGGCGTGGGAGCGCGAGATGGCCCAGACCTCGGCGCCCAGGGCCTTGGCGAACAGCACGCCAAAGTGGCCGATGCCGCCAATGCCGACGACACCGACTTTCTTGCCGGGGCCGCAGCCGTTGCGCACGAGTGGGCTGAAGGCGGTCAGGCCGGCGCACAGCATGGGGCCGGCCTCGTGGGTGGGGATGGCGTCGGGGATGGGGAAGACCCAGTGCTCGTGTGTGCGGACGTGCGACGAGTAGCCGCCTTGGGAGACGATGCCGGTGTCGGGCCACTGGGCGCCGTAGGTGTCGAGCTGCTTGCGGCAGTAGGTCTCGTTGTCGTTCTTGCACTGGCGGCAGTCGAGGCACGAGTAGGACTGCGCACCGACACCGACGCGCTGGCCCTCCTTGATGAGGGTGACCTTGGGGCCGACGCGGATGGCCTTGCCGACAATCTCGTGGCCGACAGCCAGGGGGAAGTGCTGGTCGCCCCAGCCGCCATTGATGGTGTGGACGTCGCTGCCGCAGACACCGCAGGCCTGGATTTTGATGTCGACGTCGTAGTCGCCGAATGGCTTGGGCTCGAACTCGTTCTTGTGGAATTCGGTCCAGGTATCAGGGCTGTGGACCTGGAAGCCGGTGAACTTCTCGGGGTACGGCATGGTGGCGGTGGTTGTGCGGGAGGGATGGATGATGCTGTGAAGAGATTGAATTTGGGTTTGGGTATCAAGGCACAAGGAAATACGGGATGCAGAGAGACTGGGGAGACGAGACGAGAGGAAGCATGAAGAAGAAAGCAAAAGATTGAAATAATAAAGCAGCCCCCGGCAGCTTGGGCCGACCATCACCTTATATTAGCAAGGCATCGTGTTCGATGGTACCCCCGAAGTGCTCATAGTGCAGCTCTAGCTTTTCCTTTGTTCCACGTTCTCGTCCGTCGGTTCTTTGCTTCATTCCTGTGGTAGTATCAGGCACCGGTCGCTCGGTTTTCCGCCTCCGCTACCGCTTCCGCTAATCGAAACAGAGGGGCGGGTGGAATGGGGAAGAGCGCCAGAGAGCGCACGTCGTCATCCGGGAGAAGCTAAGCGGGCAACCTCGAAAGAGCAGTACCGCCGCCAGCTAGGCCGACGAGCAGCCCAAACAAGCAGTTCCAACTAACTATTTTCTTCTGTCTGGTTTCTTTTCTCGTCTTCGATTTTCTTTGCGTCGGTTGGTTTTACCAGAAATGGTTTTCTCCATAAATCTCCATAGTTCTGTTTTGGCCTCGTAAATCTTGTTTCTATTCTTTTGAGTCTTTCTTCATCGTGACGCGGCCCTGCAATCCCATGAATCTATGGGCCCGTGGACCACTCCTAACAAAATATAAATAATACTAAACGAAAATAAATAAAGAGAAAATACCATCATCTGATCGTCGGGTTCTCTTCTGAGTCGGTCAATGCCCCTCCTTATTCATCACCAATGTTTGGCAGCAGGATATATCCGCGAGGGCCCAAGCCTCCGCACGAAGATGCTCTAAAAGATTCCCTGCCGGGAGCTGATTAGCCCGAAGCACCTGAAGGACGGGGAGTCTCCAATTTCGTTCAATTATTCCACCAACTGCATGCGATGGTTTGAGGCGATCATGGTGGGGTCCTCCTATGGACTTGGAGGTGGCTTCCTCGAGTTTGGGGGGAGGGCAACTGGAGAGAGACATGCGCGGACCGGCCTGTTGTGGCATTCGGTGCACAAGGCCGAGCCAGCGAGCTGCAACAATGGGATAAGAAGCCCGAGATTCCCATAAAGGCCATGCATCCCACGAGGAGAGCAAACCGAGGGCAAACCATAGAACGAAACACGGTCTCAAGAACCGAAATGCCAATAGCAGCTGAAGCAGGCAAAAGATCATGCAGTTTGGTGCTGCCCTGTCCTGCCAGCAGTTGTCCCCCACTGTCGTTTACGCTAGAGCCGCTGTAAGGTGTACGATTGGTGAAGAGCTAGCGCATGTCAAGGGGAAATACAACAGGCAAAGTCAGGATGGACGGCAAAAAGGCAAATCGGCTCCGAGGTGGGTGTCCTTCAACCGAACAGACAAACTGGGCAAACCTCGGCGGGTTTGCAATTTCGGCGAGACTGTGTACGATATTCCGGGATTTCCTTTGAGATTTTTCTTGACAAAAACCGGAGAAAAACTGGAGACGAACTGGGGCCTCCAGACGAATAAACACAAAGTGAGAGGACAAAACGACGACAAACATGGCAGTTCGATTGGCAGAAAGGTGACTCCATCTCCTAGCACGTTGCACGGTAGTTCCGGATTGGAAATGTGATTGTGTCAGGAAGAGCTGCCGTTCAACCGGCGTCAATACAGTGGCTGAGTGGGTGCATCAGGAGTACACATCACCAACGAGATTGGATGTCGATGGCCACTGGAAGAGACTTGATTTGAAGCCCTTGCTCGTCTCGTGATGTTCCATCTTGGGGAAATGGATCAGAATTCAGGCCTCGGATCGGTGTGACAAAACTTGCCTGATACATCCGCCCATCACTATAACATTTTATCGATGAAGACGCTGGTATCGCTTGAGGAGTTGTTATATCCCGTATGCGTCATAACGTCTTCTCACTTAATTATGTTATGGTATATCGCACGTTACATAAAATATTATTGTGTTCATGAATATCTTTAGCATATGATAAGATTATATATGCCAATGTAAAACTTTAAGGTTTATAATTATACAAAAGAAAACCTATTTATTAATAACGTCGAAGCGAAATGAATAATCAAGATGACCAAATTGATTATTATTTTATACTCTGTGCGTATAAATTAAATACTAGCAAATACGTGAACTCTGGAATGTAGAATAGACACGTCTGAAACATGATCTCATGGGCCGAAATTCGAACAAGGTCAATTCAACGACACGCTCCTCATGTACACCGCATCGTACAAAAGAAACGATACCACTGCATCTACCGACGCATCGGATCCGCGTCTCGTAGTCCTGGTCCGCAGCAGGGGTAGTCATCTTGTTGGTGTCGACGTTGGCGCGCAGAGATGGGCCGAGATGACGAATGGGCCAAACACGACGCCATCTCTCGACCCGACCCGACGTACTGGGACAGAAACTCGTGTTTTAGTAATATGTCGCGCTGACGCCTGCTACGAGAACAAGCCAATGGTGTATACAACATACTCTGTCCTACTTTTTTCATACGGACAACTATAGTCGTTGATGGAGCACTACTACCGCGCAAGCTAAGGAAGGCGATGCCAGGAACAGCCGTGTGGTCACTCATAGGGCCATCGGCAGCCAACAGAATTCGGCATATTCTCCGTATGTATGACGGTACGTATTGTGCAGACAGCAAGTGACTGGGAGTGGTAGCGAGGGCAGTCAGGCATTTCATAAGCTGTTGTTTTTCACCGTTTTTCACCCCGCAATCTCAGCATCCATTCACAATGCCGACCTATCAGAAGAGTCAGGGGCGACAAACATAAGTATACGAGTTTCCTCTCACCGCCGCGTTTCTGCCTTATGAGAGGACTGCTTCAATTCATCCAGCCTGTCTCCCGCCTACGGAGTATGCCACTACCTTTGACTTTATATTGACGAGCCGCTATCTCGCTCAATCGGGTCACAATTAGTCTCTGGACTGTGTGTCCATAACGGTTTCCACGATACCCAGACGCCTACTCTTCTTTTGTTAGCAACCCACACCTACGTCGCGACAAATCATTGGCAAGCATGGACACGCAAGCTCGCCAAGAGGCCCTTCCCCTGTGGGTTCACCCCGCGTACTCGAAGCACATTGTACGGGGCAACTTTATGGCCCTGAGCACGAGGCCCAAGACGGTCGAAATGGGCGACTGGATTGCTCACCAAGGTCTGCTCCCCACGACATGCAACTGTGCGAAGCAACGTTGGTTTTAACGTGTCCTTGCCCAGTCATGGAACACCATCGGCTTCTATGGAACTTTGTGCGTGTGGTGCACGAGAAAGAGGCCGATGGAGACAGCATCTGCAACGCAACCTCTTGCCCAAACATGTCGGCAGGACGGTGAGATGTTTTCCCTTTGCCATGCGCACCCACAAAGTACACAATACTCCATAAAACGTGCTGATATGGCGCGTACCCATAGGAACCACTCCTACACGTGGCTCAACAGCCGCCTCGAGCCGACCGAGATTCCGGCGCACGAGTACATGTCTCTCATGCAGCGATGGGTCGCCAGCAAGACCGACGACCCGCACCTGTTTCCGACCGACCCCGAGGGTGTGAGCTACGCGCCGAACCCTGCTGCTCCGACGACCCTGGCGGCAGACCCGGACGACTGGGTGGGCAAGCGAAGCGGGTTTCCCCGAGAGCTCCGCGGCACCTGCAAGGCCATCTTTTTGCAAATGTTCCGCGTCTACGCCCACTTGTTCAGCCGCCATTTCGTGGACCCGTTCTACCACCTCAACCTGGAGAAGCAGCTCAACAGCTGCTTCAGCCATTTCCTCTTGACCGCAACGTCGTTGGACATGCTCCACGCCGACGACCTCGAGCCGGTGCAGTTGCTGATTGATCTCTGGGCGGCGGACGGGACGTTTCCGCCCGGATCCAAGGCGTATGGTTTGGCGAACCTTGCGTCTGGCGAACGAATTATGGCGGCCGCTTGAGATTGAGTCTGCATCTGTATTTCCCAGCCGTCCTCCATACACCTGAATAAAGGCGACGTTTTCCGTAGACCATCATGAGGGGAGCACAGTGCAGGCGGGCTTCTTTCAGACGTCCAGCAAGACATTGCACAGCCACGGTCTGGCCAAGTGCTACAGCATTGTCAGTCGGGCGTCGTTCTTCGCTATGCGTTATGCTGTCGTTGCGTATCGTCCGTCGGCAGTTGTTTTGGTGAGAAATTGGTGAGAATGGGCAAAACACAGTCGGCAGCGGGGCAATAAGATGGAATCGGGTGCAACTGAAAGGTGCAACTGGGTGGCGGGAGCGGTGCCGCTAATTGCTCCGTGGACGCTAGACTTTTCTGGACAGGCCCTCCAACACGCTGAAAGGACCCCCAATTCCATCGCTGCCCCCACTAAAAATATTAGCTGTTTCCCGGAAGCTCGCAGACCCGGCGCATGTGCCACTGTTTTTGCCCCTGGCAGTCTTGGCTGGCGACTTCCTTTTTCAGCCTTGGAGATTGGACCTCGACGAAATCGGGGGCACATCTCGAGATTTTCGCCGTTTGCCCGATAAATAGGTGTTCTCTGCCCCTTTGTTCCCGCCAATTGGACACCTCTCGCCACGCCAACATCGAAACACACTACACCATCCCCAATGGCTGCAAACACGAAATCTACGACGGGCGACGCGCCCAGAGTCGCGCGGCACGGCTACGAGTTTGGCGGGCCGTATGTTGACCCCTTTTCGCGACCCTCGTGATCCCTTTCCACGCAAAAAGAAACACGCAGCTGCTAACAACCCCAGACTCGGCGCGTTTGCCATCAGCTTCCTCCTGCCCGTCCTCCTCTACCTCTTCACGTTTGCCTGCAACGACGTCTCGGGCTGTCCCGCGCCCTCTCTGCTGAGCCCCTCGACCCTCGACCTCGAGACCCTCAAGCGCGAGGTCGGTTGGCCGGCAGACGGCGTCTGGGGCCTTGCCAGCTGGCGTGTCACCGGCTGGACGCTCGCCTACTACTTGCTGAGCGCCGTGCTCTACCGCGTGCTGCCGGGCACGCACACCGAGGGCGTCGTCCTCGACAACGGCGGCCGCCTCCCCTACAAGTTCAACACCGTCTACTCGACCTTGTTTACCGTCAGCCTCGTCGTGGCCGGCACGATTGCCCAGGGCGCCGAGTTCCCGCTCTGGACGTTCATGACCGACAACTACCTGCAGCTGCTGACGGCCAACATCCTCATCGCCGTGGCCCTCGCCACGTTTGTCTACCTGCGCAGCTTCAGCGTGCCCACGCCCGCCGACCGCCGGCCGGGCGACCTGCGCGAGCTGGCCGCCGGCGGCCAGTCGGGCAACGTCATGTACGACTGGTTCATCGGCCGCGAGCTGAACCCGCGCATCACGCTGCCGCTGCTGGGCGAGTTCGACATCAAGGCGTTTATGGAGCTGCGCCCCGGCATGCTGGGCTGGATGCTCTTCAACTTTGCCCACGTCGCCAAGCAGTACCGCACCTTTGGCGTAGTCACCGACAGCATCCTGTTCATCTCGATTGTGCAGTCCATCTACATTATCGACAGCCAGATCATGGAGCCCGCCATTCTGACCACCATTGACATCACCACCGACGGCTTTGGCATGATGCTGTCCTTTGGCGACCTTGTGTGGGTGCCCTTCTTGTACTCGACCCAGACGCGCTACCTGGCAAACTACCCGCTCTCGCTGGGCTGGCTCGGCGTCGTCAGCATGGGCGCCGTGCTGCTCACCGGCTTCTCCATCTTCCGCCTCGCCAACAGCCAGAAGAACACCTTCCGCACCAACCCGGACGACCCGCGCGTCGCCCACCTCAAATACATTGCCACCAAGTCGGGCTCGCGCCTGATTGTCTCCGGCTGGTGGGGCCTGGCCCGCCACATCAACTACTTCGGCGACTGGATCCAGTCCTGGCCGTACAGCTTGCCGACTGGCCTGGCCGGCTATGCCATCCTGGCGGCCGACTCGGCGGGCGGTCTGGCCGCTGCCGCGGCGGCTGCTGCGGGAAACACCGAGGTGTTTGTCCGCTCCGACGGCCAGCTCGTTGTTCCCGGTGCTGCCCGTGGTTTCGGCATGGTCTTCACCTATTTTTACATTGTCTACTTTGCCGTCCTGCTCGTCCACCGCGACCTGCGTGACGGCGAGAAGTGTGCGCGCAAATACGGCGACGACTGGAACAAGTACAAGAAGATTGTGCGCTGGCACATTGTGCCCGGCCTCTACTAGGCGACCAGACGCCCCCGCCCCCCAGCTTGAGTGACGCGTTGCCGATACTCTTCTTTCACTTCACCCGCCTCTTCTTCCCAGGGCCATGAAGTCGGCGTTACGGGAATTGTTGGATATGTGTAGGTTATGTATACCGCCTCCCCCCCTCCGACCTAGGGCCATGGTTGTGCGGTGACACAGGAGAAGGGTGCCGGACGGCATTTTTTGTTGGAGTTATATATTGGACGACTTGGGTTTATTTTACGGAGCACCACGTCGCATATTACCCCAGGGCCATGGATGTTCGGCGTAACGGGGTTACTGCGTGCAAAGCATTTGACGGCAAACACAAAAAGGAAAGAACAGGAAACAAAAGGAAACAAAAAGGAAAGAAAAGAGAAAGGAAAGAAAAGGAACTAAAAGGACCGCCCATGTCCTTGGATGACCATTCCCAGGGCCACAGACGTTCGGCGTACGGGATTGCATCGCATACTGCATTTGCATTTTCTTGCATTTCACACCACACATTTTTACCTTCGTCTCACTCCCAGGGCCACTTGATGTCCGGCGTACGGGACCGTTTTTTTTACCCACCACTGGTGTTTTATATCTTTTTTTTAATCTCCCAGGGCCACCCGAGGTACGGCGTACGGGATGGATTTAGCGAGGACCAAGACTCTCGCCCGAGGTGTACATAGACGATCAGAAGAGAAGACCCGAAAAGCTTCCCAGGGCCAACCGCTGTTCGGCGTACGGGATAAAGCTATAATTACCCCACAACAAAAGAATGGGAGAAAAGAATGACTGTTCTCTTACAAAGCCGTTCCACTCCACCGCATCCTCGTGTAGTACGAAAGGTACGAACGTAGGACCGGTTGCAAAAATGTTTATTAACCTGGGGCTTTGGTAACTCCTCGGATCGGCACATGGCCTGGGAACAGGGTCTTGTTGACTTTATTATGTGCAACGTATTACTGCACAAAACTCGGCGGGGCTCGTTTGTGTCTGCAAGCACTCGACGTCTCTCGTCGATAGACCGAGTTTCATTGGCGGCGGCCTCGATTTCCTATCTGGAACAGAACGAAGGGCCACACACGATTGGTGTCGAGAGGGGCCCGGAGTCTCGTCGCGGGTTCCGGACTGTCGATGCCCGAATTACCGGGGCTCGTCTAGTGGCAACGCAAATGTCTACTCCTTTTGGGGCCTGTGGACCGGACGATCACCGCCCCGCGTCGGAGCAGCTAACCGTTCTCTCTCTCTGCCTCTCACTTCTTCTTCCCTTCGCTTATCCCCTCAAGTTCCTCTACAAAGTACATCTTCTTTATTTCCCGCCTACTCCGTCTTTCCATTCTGCGGATTCTCGGATATATGGTCAAGGGGACAAGGGTCGGCCGAGGCCGTCACCATTCGAAAGTTAATCATTCAACAAAAGTTGCCACCAGTATGTACCGCTAGCGGGTAAACGTGCAACGACATGTTCAACAAACAAAAACATGAAAGCGGTAATTGCCGGGACGGTGTCAGGGTGTGTTGCATCTGGTGAGGAGAACAACTGCACGAAAGCTGGGGTAAGCTGGCTTTCGACGGAGAAGCAGCGCAAGTGACGGGGAAACAGTGCCGTGAGGGGGAAGCTAAAAAAGAAGCTCGACGAGTAGGGCCGAGACGACAAGAAAACAACAGACAAGACGAGGCAAAAACAGCCCCAAAAAAATTGAGAGAGAGAGAGAGAGAGAGAGAGAGAGAGACAGGATAATAGAGGCAGCGTTTGAGGTAGCATTTGTGGGCAGTCAACGCTAGGTTGGCGACCCTTGGGTCTGATTGAACAGGCCCCAGGTTCCTTGGTTCTCGATGCGACCAGGATGTGAAAATGACCATGAAGGGTGAGATGGACGGCAAGGACACGCTTCGTAGGACTGTGAGGTCAAGAGGGTGGTAGTAAACTCCCACGTGAGGCAAAAGGCTGGATACGGAAGGTCGACAAAGTAAATGGCAGACACAATGGAGACTGGAAAATATATGGCATACAAATACATACACGTGAGTCTGCCACCAACTGCAGTCGGTGTTACGCTGTGCTCGAGGTTAATTTGGATCGACAACCTCTTTCGTCCCGTTTCGAAACAACGAGAAAGTATCCCCTTCGTGCAAACAAAGCCCCCAAAAAAGTGCCGCGTCGGCGTTCCCTACGACGTAGTTCAAGTTGCTTTTTCTCCACAGTGGACATACGTCGTACTTTTGCAGCGATGGCGGACTGTGTGACTCTGTAAGTGTAAATAATCCATCGCCTCTCTGGACTACGCACCCTGCACTCCATGACCCAGAAACTTGTCGGCCACGATGCGGCCATTGCTGCCATTGACGCCAGCATCGATTTCATAACCGAAAACGCACGAATCGGTCATGACACCCCTATTTTGCGTGTAAATATGTAAACATTGTACCAAACGTTGAACGACAACATTTTTACGTCGCATATGCAATGGCTTCGCGCCTCGTAAAGATACATGTACCGTCAGAGCATAATGCGGAGAACCAATACGCACAATTCCCCACAGGATCTCCCCATGTTTCTCCTCTTGTCCTTGCGATCGGCCCGTTTCCTGCCATGACGTTCTATGGTGCCCCTCTTATGGTTCTCTTTTATTTTCTCGTTGTTCTCGTCTCTTTTGCATTTTGCTTCGCCAAGCAGCCAATGCCGTTGCCCGAGCCACAAAGGACCTTTTTGAGCCTACCACCAACTGCTCTCACCATAAATTGCCTCCCCTGCATTGGCAGCATTGCATGCTCCCCCGCCCATACCGCGCATGGTTCCTCGGGTGAGTCGGTTGCTGATCTTGGCGCGGTTCGTGCATGCGACAATGTACTTCCATTTGCTGGTGAGATGCGTGTGTATGTATGTATGTATGTATGTATGTACGGGAGTATGTGTGTACGACATGCGTCCGAAGATGCAACAGCAACGTCGTGGCATCCGATACACTGCGAAATGGGCTGACTCGATACCCTGGACTCGATGCTGCGCGACCCCAAATCAAGGACAAAATACTGCAGTTGGATGCTGGATGATGGGTGAGGGAGAACACAATGGAGAGCACCAGTTTGTCACCTCTTTGTATTTTGTCGACTTGGCACGCGTTCCTCACTCTCTTTATCCTTGTCTGTCCACTGCCAATCCCCACAAAATGCCCAAGATTCCACGCGGCGATCTGCACTTTTCTTGTGGCAGCAGCCAAGTTGCAAATTAGCTAGCAGGGCCGGCTGGGTAGGATGAGGTCAACAGAAACCCCGGGAGCAAGGCCAAACTGGTCGTCGAAAGGCAAAAACGGACAAAAAAGGTCTCAAATGACTGTACCGCACATCGTAAACAGAAGACAGAAAATCATGGCCTGACAGGTGCCATTTGTTGATTCGGCGTTGCACCAGTAGCATGAGACGAAAGCGGAACCTTACTTTGGGGACCTGATCGACATACTTTGTCCGTCTGCGACTCAGTCGCTCAGCGTGCCTGCGTGCTCAGCGCCCACGCGCTCCTTGTGATTTCCATATAAGTTGCCCATTCGGTCCTCGTCAGACGCATTCCTTGCCGTCGATTTGAGTCGTGTTTGCCTGTTGCCCATTTTTCTCGCGCGTTTCGTAAAGTGCTTTGGGATCTCTCGATCTTTCCTTGAACGCGGACCACGAGAAGAGCAAATTGAGGCCGACCAAACTCTCTTCGAACGATCTCGCCCGCGAGATTTCCATTTTCTTTGAAGCAGAACCGTGCATCTGCTGCGAGTCTGAGATACCAGACAGATCACACCTCGACCGAACCGCTCGACGCTTGTTCGCCTCTGTTCGCCTCTGTTCGAGTCGCGACGCGCCGGCTGACATCGTTGTCCCAGACACGGCCTCACCCATCGACGTGCCCCGGCCAACGGACTGTCGTCGACCATGAAGGCGTTTGCTATTTTTGCGGCGGGCTGCGCATCTGTCGCTCCTGCCGTTTACGCAGGAGCAACTCCCAAGGCAAGTGCGACGGAATTACCATGCGGCCACCTGACGTCGAAGTGAAAAACACATCCATTTTAGACAACATGGAAAGAGCGTGCTCTGTTTACTTTCGCTCCTTCCTTTTGTTGAGCCGTTTTGGCACATCCGCTCCTTCCCTTCTTGAATCTCTCTGGGCCTCGCGAGTCCTTGCTCTTCCCTTTTATATCTTGACCGCCCCCGCCTGCATCCAGAATGTTCCTCCTTCTTTTTTTGCCTTTCTATTTTCTATATGTCTCTTTCTTCAGGATGTCTACATATTTTACGCCAACACCTTACACACATCACAACATCTCCATCATCCCCTTGCCGTCTTTGGTCTTTGGTGTATACCATTCGACTTTCTTGATTTTGGCATATCACAGTGTGCATCGTTTTCCCCCTCTCCATATGTCCATTTGCCGCAGATTTGACCTCTTCTGGAAATGATTGAGCCCATTTGGCTCTTGGCCGCTACGGCCGTTTTTGCTGGCCTTGCGAATGCTGACCGTACGCAGTTCGAGCCTCGCGCCCTCAACGCAGAGTCCCCTCTTCGGCAGCGCGGCGCGGATGCCCCGCAAGCCAAGTCGCCGCCCTTCTATCCGGCGCCGTGGATGAACCCCAATGCAGACGGCTGGGAGAGTGCCTACATCCAGGCCAAGCAGTTTGTCTCGCAATTGACCCTTCTGGAGAAGGTCAACCTGACCACCGGTGTTGGGTAGGTCCATTTCGCACATTCTCACTGTTCTTCTTGTCTTTCCTGCCTTGCCGACTTCCTGCTGACACAACCAGCTGGCAGGGCGAACAGTGTGTCGGCCAGATCGGCTCTGTGCCTCGTCTCGGTCTGACGAGCATGTGCATGCAGGATTCGCCTGTCGGCGTCCGCGACACAGACTTCAACTCCGTCTTCACGTCCGGCCAGACCGCCGCCGCCACCTTTGACCGTGCTCTCCTCTATGCACGCGGTCTTGCCATGGGCCAAGAGCACAAGGGAAAGGGTGTGACTGTCCAGCTGG